AAACATCTATAAAGAAATCCCTCAAAAGGTTTGGGTAACAAAGCGTCTGGGAATGTATTTGGCCTATGTTCAACAGGACATTATATGTTTTCTTGTATAAATCATGTCCTGGAAAACGGAATGTCTTTATTTAAAATAAAAACTCTACCATCCAGCACCATAAAGGTAGTTCCATGGAAAACATTTTAAACCTCTTTTATATGTGTAGTTTTAAAACATATTTTTATGCTTCATATTACACTAGGTTTACTGGGGCTTATTTTATATGCTCTTCTAGATTTTCTTCAAAAAAACAAAACAAAACAAAAAAAAAACACTGTAAGGAAACTTTCCATTCTCAACTTATAGACTTTTTAAAAAGCAGTCACCTTCTTTAAAAAAAAATTTTTTTTAAATGGGCCAAAAACCTTAACCTCACCAAAGAAGATATACAGATGGCAAATACGCACATGAAAAGATGTTCCACATCATATGTCATCAGGGAACTGCAAATTAAAACAAGCTATCACTACACACCTATTAGAATGGTGCACTGGAGCTCCAGCACCAGCAAATGCTGGTGGGGATGAGCAACAGGGACTCTCATACATTGCTGGCAGGGATACAAAATGGGACAGCCACTTTGGAAGCCAGTTTGGCACTTTCTTACAAAACTACCATACGTTCCAGCAATTGCACTCCTTGGTATTTACACCAAGGAGTTGAAAACTTATGTCCACACAAAAACCTGCACATAGATGTTTACAGGAGCTTTACTCATAACTGCCAAAACCTGGAAGCCCCAGCCAAGAAGTCCTTCAGCAGATCAATGGATAAATAAACTGTGGTCCATCCAGATAATGGAATGTTATTCAGCACTACAAAGAAATGAGCTAACAACCTATGAAAAAGACACGGTGGAACCCTGAATGCATATTACAAAGGGAAAGAAGCTACTCTGAAAAAGCTCCATCCTGTCTGATTCCAACTCTATGATGTTTTGGAAAAGGCAAAACTATGGAGACAGTAAAAAGATCAGTAGTTTCCAGAGGTGACGGTGGAGGGGGGGTGAGGAAAAGATGAAGGGACACAGAGGATTTTTAGGGCAGTGAAAACACTCTGCATGATACTCTAATTTTGTAATTCATTATAATCTGCCCAAACCCATAGAATATATAACACCCAAGAGTAAACCCTAAGGTAAACTGTGGACTTTGCATGATGATGATGTATCACTGTAGGTTCATCCTTGGTTAAAAATTAAAAAAAAAAAGTACCATTCTGGTAAGTGATGTTAATAACAGGGGGAAAGGGGCTATATAGGAAATGTCTATACCTCCCTCTCAACTTTGTCACAAACCTAAAACTGCTCTGAAAAGTCTTAAAAAACTAACAACAAAAACAAAACAAAAAATCAGTTATGGGATCCTTCAAGGTGCAGCTCTGTACTGGCAGACATACCAAAAGATACTCCCAATGCTAGAATCGAAATTTGTATTGTTTATGAAAGCTTATTTCTGTGTATCATAAAATAATTGGTATCAAAATGAGAACTATTTTGTGCTATTTCCAATTTTATCCAATCATTTTCATTTAGGCAGGAATTTATCTCAAGGACGATGGTAGAGAACAAGAAGTGAAAGAAGTAAAACGTCAAGTCTGGCCATAAATACAGCAAGATGACACATCTTTTAATGGTTCAGCTGTAGTCTAGGTTTCCACAGGTGTGTATTTTCCCATGTATGACAATTCCACAGAAATTCTGAACTCTGATCAACTCAAAATAGTGAAAGAAAGACTCTTCCTATCTGCTTCACAGAGGACTAGCATCTTAAGTTTGAAAAATCAGTAATACAGGATTGGCATGTGAAGTGAGTCTTTGGAACTATACTGAACAAAAACGCTTTCAGGCAAAATGATTATAACTTCTAGTAGGAAGGAAAGCAATATTTCTTCTACCAGACACATTATCTATCAAAATATAGCACCTACAGGACCTTAGGGTTTCCTTTTCTTCTTATTTTATGGGAAAAGGGGGTCATGCGGGGAAGGGAGACAGAAGTTCTTATATTTTAGGGGTGAAATCTTCCTACTAGTTTAGGGCTCTACTCAAGTTCCTTTCCTCCACGGAATGTCCCTGACACTTAAGGAGATTCTTGGGAGAGGTAAATATGCATGTCTCGTGACCACTGCCATGTGCCACTAACTTATGCCGTGAACCTATGCTGGATCTACGCCATGTGTTACTTCCTATCTCGCTCACAAAGCATCTAGCATGAGTCCAGGTAGCCGGTTCTCATTAATTACTTAATGCCTGATAAAGTATCTTCATATTTTTCATACAAGGCCTGTAAATACCTGAACCTAGAACTATAGTTCCAAGTACATACACAACTGTGTACTCTAAGAATGAGCGAAATCATCAATGATCTACTGTTTTAATATTGGTGTTGTAAGTAATGGCTCCCTTTTCGTATGTTTGACCAAAATGAATCATCTCATCTCCGGTAGCAAGAGCATAACCAAGCATTTTGAATAAAATGCCACTTTTAAAGTGAGTTTCCCAATATTGTTTAAATGTTGAAACTGCATATCAACTAATCATCAGTCTACAGATGCTTAGAAATAAAACAATACTTTGCTTCTACAATTTAAGTCTCTATGTACTTTCTTGCAACAAAAGCCAATCTGTCTCTTTCAAAATTGTTTCTCCTGGCAAATATTTTCGCTGTCTGGCCAAGTTTCGTGTTAAAAATAAAGTACAGTATTACAACATCAATCAACATTTAAAGTACTTAATGATCTATGAAAGAAAATATACAGTGATTCTTTTGAAACAACCAAGCCAATCAAGGTTTATTTATATTATCAAATCAAGAGTGCAGCTTTGAGAAAATAAAATCACATTTGTGTTTACAGATATAAAAGCAATATTAAGCACTGAGGTAACGAAAGAAAACATCGTTAAGAAGAGACAAGAATGACTTAAAGACACAACAGAACAGTCTCTTCACTCCCCTTCCTGTCTGTGTGACACTGGCCTCTTGCCTGTCCTCTCAAACACTAGTTGTGTTTGAGGGGACATAATCAGAGTTTCCTGCAGCTAATATTTACCCCATAAAACGAGTCCTAAGTTTCTATACATTTACACTGAATGGTAATTGTCATTTTTTTTTTATATCAATAGGGACCTCTAAGTCTTGTCAGATATAATCTAAATCTGAAATATTCTACTACTGGGGGTTTAACTGAGTGCCTGAACAAGTACTAAGTAGTGTAGGGACTCTGATAATATTTACCAACTACAATAAGTCACAGAATTTTTTATCTTAGCATCATCTACTGGAAATTACTCAGGTAGATATCTAAAAAGGGATGTGGCCTTAAACATTATATAGCAGCATGCCACAGAGCATCGTGGTGTCACAGGACCAATGAGCTGGCTCAGAATACTGTTCACTTCCATTAGTGCAATGCTACCCTAAGCTATCAATTCTCTGGCTAATTCTTGAGTAACCAGTGCATCTTCTCTGGGTTGGCCATGTCTGCGGATAATGCTATAGTTGCTCTGGCATTTTCCCAATAAATACTGCCTCCCCATAAGGGCAACCATATCAACATTTAGGGCACAATATAAAGGATGCTGCCCTATCTTTAAAGGAGATGGGGATACACAGAACAAAATACAAGTCAGACTATAAATAACCATTTTCCTGACAGGACAAAATAAAGTAACATGGAAACATCATGAGCTTTGGTCAAGGGTAAGAAGATCAGAGCTCAAATCTCAGTTTCCTTGACTTATAAAATGAAACTCATATCACCTATTCTAGAAATGCTTGTGAAGAGTAAATAAAAGAAGACTAAATATAATGCAGTATATGTTACATAAAATGCCCATGATACTCAATATGTAATTGTTTCCTTGCTGCCCATTTCTGGCCTCCTACGAGATTTAGAGTTCCAAGGCTGGCCAAGTCTGACAAAGTAAGGGCAGTGATTTGCTCAGAATCAAACTATCTTGAGGACACCTACCTCACACGACGTAGCTTATTGTTTTTTGTAGTCCTGAAAATCTCTCGTCTGCTCTCCGCTGTTAAGATTCAGGACAACTTCCTCTGGATCATCCGTTGGTACCCATGCGTCAGGGGTTCCTGCTTGTTTGCCTCCTTACTGTCCAAGTCACTGTTTCTGTCATCTGACAGCATCTCTGCTATGCCATCTCCTAATTTTGCCTATTTCTAATTTCTATTTTATGTTAAGTAGCACTTCTTAATTCCTTAATTACGGACCTTGGCACTTACTGTGCCCAACCCAGATACCCAAAGGTGGTACATTTCTAGGTTCCATGATCACCTTAAATCATTACCTACTGAATACAGCTCTAGAATAGCTCAACTTCCAGGGACCTTTAAATCAGAGATTAAACAGAGACATGCAATCTTAGTCAGCTGTTAGATTCAACAAAGCATTCTGAACCACCTGATTACTTGAGGCCCAACTGATAATGCTAAGCATAGGACTCACCTTAGGGAATTGGTTAGGCTTATATCTTACCAGCATCACACAATCACATAATGAGTGCCTATACGTAAAGCACCATCTATAATCATAAAAAGCTAGTTATACTCATTCATTCCACAAGAAGTTACTCTTTTTCTTGAGAATATTGTCCTACTACATCCCCTGGATGAACACAGAATGAGCAGAGAGAAGTCCTAGCCATAAAAAGTCGGGTCAGTAAAATCACTTCCCAATGATGGTCAGTAGGGTGACAACCAACACAACTGGACTGCCTCCATATGCAGGAAACTTAACTGGCCAACCAGGGCCAACTTTCGACTCTGGTTTCACTAGGACCATGTTAAAATTGAAGCAAGCTGGTCACGGGAGATGGAAATGGAAGTCCCACCCAGTGGAAGCTGGGCTCACTCAACTACATGGATGCCCGGGAAAAGACTACATCTGATTCAACACTAGTGTTGTAGGGGAAAAAAAATGGAAAAGAAAGAAACACATACTTTGTTTTTTAAGTTCTTCAATTTGTTCTTCCTTTAAATCTAACTGTTCTGTAAGTCTTGATGCTGAATCCAATGCAGCATTTGCTTCATCGAAACGCTCCTGAGGAAGAGAAGTTCATTAAAAAGCAGCATGCAAAAACTATTTCACAAACTACAGAGCTGGAAGCCAGTCAATCGATCCTCTTCTGTTCAGCTGACGAAGCTCTGCTTCTGTGACCTTGGGCAAGTTCACACACTGACTATCAAAGACAGAGCCCATACTTCACAGCACAATACTGTCTCCCTCAGAACTAAATCAAAAAGAGGATGCCACTAAAAGACAATATGGTGACAAAAGTTTTAAAAAGTGACAATAAGAGCATAAACACTACAAAAGGCAGACACAAAAAGTGAAGAAATACAACAAAAATTCTTTTTAATTTTTGCAAGTCTGATGAGTATAAAATGACATTTCATTACTACTTGATTATTTTAATTTTTATTTCCCTAACTGCTAGTGAATTTGAGCATTTTTCCATGTTTACAGGACAGCTAGAGCTGCTTTTCTGTGAAAACTTATTTGCATACCTTGTCCATGTTTCTCTTGAGCCTTCTCGTCTGTTTCTGAGCGTACCTTGTCACCAGCGCTACAAGTATTATTTGCCAGATCTGCCATTTGTCTACTGACTGCATGATACCTTTTGCCACGTAAAAGTATTTAAACATTGTATACGGTTAAATACGTCTTCCTCTGCTTTCACAGCTTCTTGAGTTTTAGTCTTGGTTAGGTTCTTCCTTTAGTCTTGGTTAGGTTCTGCCCCTAGGCTCTACATGTACTCTTCCAGATTTTCTGGCAAGGTTTTTGTTTTGTTTTGAGCATTTACATCTTTCAAATAGTGTTTCTCAATGGGAGTGATTCTGGCATTCCTGGCCCCTGCCCAATAGATCCAGTCACTGTAATGAGCAAAAACAGCCCCAGATTTCCAGCACCACTCCCAGGTGAGAATCTGAGCTTTAATACAATTGGAATTTATTTTTACACATGGTATAATATAGGGATCCAATCTTATTTTCTCCCATATAGATAGCCAGCTGTGGCAACATCATTTATTAGATAATCTATCCTTTTCCCATTAAATTGAAATTAGTTTAGGGTTTCATTTTAAATTCTCAAATATATCCTAGGCTCTATTTCTGGATTCTCCTTCTGTTTGACTAATCTAGTCAATATGCTATTGATTAATGGCTCTACTTTGATATTTAGTAGGAAGTCGCTCCTAACTGTTGTTCTTTCACACAGTTTTCTTGGCTATTCTAGAGTATTCACCCATGTAAATTTTAGGTCAAATTTTACCATCTTGAATCAAAGTGACCGTTTTTTTGATGTGTCATCTTAGATAGGCTATAGTCCCCAGTTATTCAATCAACCATAATCTAGATGTTGCTGTGAAGGTATTTTGCAAATGTAATCAAAGCCCCTAATTGGCTGAATTTAAGGAAGACATGAATAATCAGAGTGGGCCTGACTGAGCTAGTTAAAAGTCCTTGAAAGCACGGATGAGCCTTCCCCAAAAAGAGAAAAAATTTCTGCCCAACTGCAACCTCAGCCCCTCCCACAGAGTCGTATGTCCTGCTTGTGATTTTCTTTCTTGACCATCTGTGGAGAACAACTCTGGCCCATGCCTGTGATGGGATCTTCCCATTTTGACTACCAACTCCCAAAATCGCACTGCCAATTCCTTATAATAAATCTCATAGATGTCTATCTCTATATGGCATATCAATATGTGTGTGTGTGTCTGTGTGTGCGTACTCACAACACCCCCTCCCCGCTGGTTCTGCTCCTCAGGTTGAACCCTAACTGATACACAGAGGGACTGAAACAAAAAACTTTAAATAAAAATTTAATATTCCAAATTCCACAAAACTAAATTTAGTATAAAGGAAATTTAAATAAATCTTCAAGTAATTTTTTTTAATCTCACAGCATTTCTATTTAAGAAATTATTAAATCTCACGGGCTCCTGGGTGGCTCAGTCGGTTAAGCGTCTGCCTTTGGCTCAGGTCATGATCCCAGGGTTCTGGGATCAAGTCCCACATTGGGCTCTCTGCTCAGCAAAGAGTCTGCTTCTCCCTCTTGCTCTGCCTACTTGTGTTCTTTCTCTATCAAATCAATATATAAAATCTTAAAAAAAAAAGAAATTATTAAATCTGAAAACTACACTAAGACTTTTTCTAAAATTAAGATTTAGACTTAATTATTCTTTCTACCATTTGCTTGGGTTTTATTTCACCAATTTCAGCTTTTATTTTTACTAATTCCCTCTTGGTTTCTTCTGATTTGTTTTCTAAGTATATGTCACATTTTACATTAAAAATAAAGCTAGTTTAAAAAGAAGATCTGCACTTCTATTCTAATAATGTGGCAGACGACATACTCTGGACCCATTAGAAACAACTAAAAGTATTGGATAAAATATTTTTTTAAACATATTAATGAGCAGACCAGAAAGTAAGCATAAATGGTCAATGAACATATTAAAAGATGCTTGCTCTTGTTAGCAGTCAGACAAATGCAAATTAAAACCATAAGAAGACAGCCCTACCCACTACACTGGCAAAAACTTTAAAAATTCTAAAATGCCAAGTATTGCCAAGGATGCAGACCAAGAACTCTTATGCACCACTGTTAGGAGACATTAGGACTACCGCCATAAAACAACTTGCCATCATCATATAAAGTTGAAACTGCCCATATATATCTCAGGACTCAGCAATTCCGATCAAGATACATGTCTGGAGGAAACGCTCGTACGTGTGTACCAGGAGATGTAAACAAGGAAGTTCAGAACCACACCGTTTGTATAGCAGATGATAGCAAGGTCTATTATCAGTAAAATGGATAAATTATACATTCATGCAATAAATACAGCAGTGAAAATAATAAGCCATGCACACATAACACACAGTAACACAGCTAAAACTCATGAACATAGTAACTAAGTGAAAAAAGCAAGTTTCAGGAGAATTACTGAATTTACATCCATTTCAAAATTCCATTTACACAGAGTTCAAAATTATGCAAAACCATACACTGTATCATTTGGAGATGCAAATATATGTGATAAAACCATAAAGAAAAAACGGGGTGCATAAATACATTCTGGACTCGTGGTTCTCTATGAAGTGGTAAGAAGGGGATGAGAGGGCGCCTAGGTGGCTCAATCAGTTAAGTGTCTGCCTTCGGCTCAGGTCATGATCCCAGGTCCTGGGCCTGAGGCCAGCATGGGGTTCTCTGCTCAGTGGGGAATCTGCTTCTCCCTCTGCCCCTGCCCCCTGCTCGTGATTATCTCACTCCCTCTCCCTCTCCCTCCCTTTACCTCCACCCCCGCACCCCCCAAAATAAAATATATAAAAAAAAAAAAACCAGATGAGAAATGGATGGTATGCCAGGACTTCCAAAGATGACACTGTTCTTATAATGGGCAGGCAAGTACGAGGGTACCTGCTCTACTGCTCTTCTTTTATTTTATATGTATTATCTATATACTGTTTTACAGCCACTCAGTATTTAATAAAAATTTCAAAACTTTAAAGGAAATATGTCTTCCTTTATTAGAAATATTAACAAGGCTGAACAGTATATTCACCACTAATGACAGGTAAACAAATTGTATTACTTTCCATCAGGTGTCGACAAAGTCTACTTAAACTTAGAAAAGTTCATCCTAAATTCTAAAAGCAAGTCACATCTCTTCATGGGGATTCATTTTATTTATATTTTATATATAATTTTTCTACACGTGAACTGTAAGAAAGAAAGATATTTTAAAGAATTATGCTGCAAAAGAAAAAGATCTAAAGAATAATATACTTTATTTTAATCCATGTGAAATAGAGTGCTCAATATATCTTGTTGAAAAGAGAAAATTATAAAGTTACAAGTGTAAATTAATTTTTTTAGTGGCCCCTGAAATACTCATCTGTGCTAAAGAATTAAAATTTCCCATCATCTCATATTTGTTGTGTCTAAACTATAAGCCACATGGGGAAAGTCCTGAATATCTTGTTCACCATTACATCCCAGCATAGGGTAACAAGTAACCAAACAGTACTTACTAAAACTAACTGTTTAGGAAATTATTTCAAGATAAAGATTCTACAAGTAATTGTTCATGAATAATAATATTTGTAAGAGAAAATTATTTCAACCAACCTGTAATGACATCAGTTTTCCTTCCAGATTCTCTGCCTTTTTCTTCCATTCAGCTACAAGCTGTTTGTACTTTTCTAGTTCAGCAGAATACATAGCTTTTTCCTCTAAAGAGAAAATAAAAGTTACATTAGTATTCTGCAACTGTGTGATAAAATTAGAATTTTATTCCACTTGAAATTTTAAGAATTCAACAGAAACAGTTCAAGTCTCTCAACAAGAAAATTATATATGCCTTAGATCATGTGAGCTGGAATTAAAGAAATTAAGTTTCCTCTGCCTAAAACCTTCTCTACCTTGTTCATCATGCAAACTCTTCCCTCCCTTCAGAACTCCAATCAAATATTTCATCTTTGGTAAAACCTTCCCTACAGACATACTACTTTGTACATCTGTCCATTCTAGTATGTATTACATACAATGGACCTTGAGAATTCTTATTTTAAAATTCAAGATTTCAACCATGAGTAAGCCTGAAGACTGAGATATGTACACATTCAAAGTTTTGCTTAGGCACAAAAATTAAAACCCCTATTACTTCATCACCCTCATATCCCCCAATCACTTGCACCCTACTAGCAGTTAGTTCACTGCCAATCACTACTGAATGTATGAATAAACAGACAGATGGGTAAAAGGAATGATCTAAAGGAGGTACATGTGAGGTGGGAGGTAGATGTGAAAAAGCATACTTGGTCATCAGAGTAATACCTGCTCTCTGGTCATTGTGTCTGTGTCTCCAGAAAAATATTTTCCACCTGGACTAGAAAATGTAGTTGCCTCAAGGTATATGAACAGCTAAGAACAAGTCAATCAATATTTCAAAGGACAGTAATTACTGATGATTAACTCTCTGAAGTAGATTTAACCTCTGACCAGTATCTCAAAACCTAAGTATTGCTTCTACATGGTCCCCTTTTATCACGTGATCATCCTTCCTATGTCATCCTTATTAACCTTCCCCAACTCTCACCTTCACTGGTCATAATATGATACTAAAACGTATCTTTAATAATTCCTATATACCACATTCTCTAGTCTTAACTGTAAAAGGAGTCTACATTAACTTGTTGATGGCAACTTATCTTTCCCTCCTACAAGTGGGTAACCTTTCAAAGATTTCCCTGTGCCTATTTCAAAATAGCACCAAAATAGGCCAGAATTCCCAATAACTACAATAATTTTTCTTCACTGAAAGACTGACCATACAACTCACCTTGCTGGAAATGCTCTAGTACCATCTGGAGGTTGGAGAGTGATAGAGCATACTGCTTTACTTGTTCCCGAGAGACAGAAAGCTGCAGTGTGGTTTCATCCCTTTGCTTGGAGACCATATTCAGTTGCTCCTGCAGTGACTCTACCTGCAAACTGGCCTGATGGCTTCCAACAAAAAGAATAAAAGTCAGGGGTGCCTGGGTGGCTCAGTTGGTTAAGCGTCTGACTTCTGATTTGAGCTCAGGTCATGATCGCAGGGTTGTAAGACTGAGCCCTGCGTCAGGCTCCATGCTAAGCGTGGAGCCTGCTTAAGAGTCTCTCTGTCCCCCCACCCCCCAAAAAGAAAAAGAATAAAAGTCAAAGTGTTTCTATTACTTTAACAAGATAAAACCACTTCCCTACTTTTGTGTGTGTGTGTGTGTGTGTGTGTGTGTGTGTGTGTGTGGAAATACATACATAACATTCACAATGTTGTGCAACCATCACCACCATCCATCTCCAGAACTTCATCCTCCCAAGGGGAAGCTCCACATCCATTAAGCAGTAACTCCCCCTTCCCCCAGCAACCACCATTCTACCTTCTGTCTCCATGAATTTGACCTTCCTTACATTTCATTGCATTAAATTCAAGTTAGATTTCAAAGAAACTTTGTTCTCCCTGTTTTGTTAGTTCATTCTTCCCGTGAAAGTGACTTTGAACAAATGGCAGTCATTTTAAAGATTAAAAGTTGAACTAAACAAGAGACATAAGTATAATAAAAATTTACAAACAGTCTGCAACATTCATGTTTCCAGGCTAAAACTCTAAGATGTAATTTATCATAAAATTGTAAATTGCAAGGACCTTGGAAGTCATTTTGTCCAGCTTCCAACCCAATAAGCAATGGATTCTGAAACCTTCTTCGCTTTTGACACTTGCAACTATGGTGAACTCACAACTTTCCAAAGGCTATCCCATTGACAAAATGCTCTAATTATTAATTATCTTTCACTATCATCTTTCTTTCTCTTTAAATACAATAACCCCTATATCTGCCCCAAATAATAAATCAGAAATCCCTTAGAGATTTATTTATCCAGGTTTGTGTCACTGATGTACTTCCTTAATGTATAATGATTACAAATAAGATACTGCAATAGCCTTTCCTGAGTTTTTAATATCCAGTTAATAAATTCTTATTCAGGAGCCATCCATTAAAAAGCCCATTAAGCACTGCGCACTTTGAGGAAACTTTACCCAATAGCACCCTCTTGTGGGAAGAGCAGTAAATTGACAATCAGGAGACAACTCTGCCCTCAAATATCACTGGATTTTATGCAACCTTGCTGGTTAGCATGTCCCTGAACGGGTGGCTACAAGGATGAAATGGGCTATGAGGTCACTCAAGAAGTTAACACCAGGTATTACTACAGTTAATAAAGGGTTCAAAACACTGTAATCTGGTTTGTAGATCTGAGTCACTCATTCAAAAGTATTACTGAACATTTGGGACGCCTGGGTGGCACAGTTGGTTAAGCGTCTGCCTTTGGCTCAGGTTGGGATTGAGCCCCATGTTGGGCTCCCTGCTCCACAGGGAGCCTGCTTCTCCCTTTCCCTCTGCCTGCCACTCACCCTGCTTGTGCTCACTCTGTCAAATAAATGAATAAAATCTTATGAATGAATGAATGAATGAATAAACAAACAAACAAACATCAATGCCCACTCCCAGTGACCTTATATTTCACTGGATGGGAGAAGATATAAGATGGGTCAACAATTACTTTTGTACCCTAAAGTAAAATGGAAGTGTGCTACCAGATTCAAACAAAGCATTATGCAGGTTCAAAAGAAAAACATCACACCGGGGTTTGGTTTTGAAACTGAGGAATGGGATGCTAACTAAAGCATTCTTTACAAAGGATATGCTATTTGAAGAAGGTGGGACTAATAGAAAAACTGTTAGGAATCAGGCCTACTCTAGGCAAAAGAATATGAAATGAAATGTAGAAGATGGGGTGCCTCGGTGATTCAGTCAGTTAAGCATCTACCTCTTGATTTCGGCTCAGGTCATGATCTCAGTCAGGGTCGTGAGAGCAAGTCCCACATTGGGCTCTGTGGGGAGTATGCTGTAGATTTTCTCCCCCTGCCCCCCAACCCTGCTCACGCATGCGCCCTCACATGCTCTCTCTCCCTCTACCTAATAAATAAATAAATCTTAAAAAGAAAAGAAAAGCAGAGGAAATAGGAAAACAGTATCTCTAGCTAAAGGACTGAGTAAGACAGTTTGGCTGGATGTATAGCGCGAAATAAGGCTAATGAGGGTGCAGATAGCCCAGACACTATTTTAATTAGAGAAAATAAGGACCCAAAAATTTGAAGGAAAGATTATCTAATTTTATTGCCTGAGAAAGTTCTGGCATTTCTGTCAATGTGAAACACACACACAAATGATCACTCGTTTTAATTATCATTTTAAACAAGTTTTCTTTATGAGACTGAAGGTACAATAATATTCCCTGCAAAGCACTGGGAGTGCACCTCAGAAATACAGTCTCCACTGGCCTATAATCTCTTTGCAGAGGTAATATCTACTATGTCCTTATATCTCCCTCAGCATCATACACAGTGAAAAACAAAAAGATGTACATACCACTAATGGAAATATAAATGGACATGATATTTCTGGAAGATTATTTGGCAATACATCTCAAAAGTTTTAAAAATGCCCTTTGAACCAGACCTGCCATTTCTGAAAACCGAAGCTAAGAAAATAATTTGTCATCAACCCAAAAATATCTATCTTGGGATATCATGACAGCATTCTTAGTAATTCTGAAAAGCTGAAACACTTCTAAATGTCCAATATTAAATGACTGGATTAAAGTAGTTAAGGAAAATCCAAATAATGGTATGCTATGTAGCCATAAAATGATAATGCAAAAACATGGCTTAACATGTGCTGATACTCATTAAGTATGGAAGCAGATTACAAAACAGTATCAACAGTATGACCTTAATTTTGCTTTTAAAAACACATATAATATGGGGCACTTGGGTGGCTCAGTCAGTTGAGCAACCAACTCTTGATCTCAGTTCAGGTCTTGATCTCAGAGTCGTGAGTTCAAACCCCACTTTGGGGCCCACTTAAAAAATATATATATGTAATATATACATACATATATAAGAAGCATGCAAAGGCACCAAAAAAGGATTATCTCTGGATGGGACTGTGACTTTATGTTCTTTTTGGTTTATGTAATTTTCCTGAAGTGCAAAATAGGTTTTTATAATAAAAAGGGAAAAAAAGAAAATACATTATTTTTAAAAGTTTTTTTTAAATTTATTTGAGAGAGAGAGAGCACAAGCAGGGAGAGCAGCAGAGGGTGAGGGAGAAGCAGGCTCCCTGCTGAGCAGGGAGCCTGAGGTGGAGCTCAATCCCAGGACCCTGGCACCCCAAGAAAATACATTTTATTGAGAGAAATAAAATTTTAAAATATATAAGCAGGGAATCAATCATGCCTCCGTAATGAAGCCTCCATAAAACCTCACAAGGAGAGGGTTTAGAAAGCTTCCAGGCTGATGAGCACTGGGAGATGTGGAGAGGGCTGCCTGCTGGGAGGGAGCTGGAAGCTCTGCACCCCTACCCCATGCCTTGCCCCTACCTATCTCTCCATCTGCTGTTCCCTGAGTTAAGGCCTTTTATAATAAACTGGTACTCTAGTAAAAATAAAATAAAAATATAGAAGCAGGGACCTAGCAATTCAAAAGTTCCAACAAACCAAGAGCTAATTCATACTGACTTAGGTCTTCACTAGGCTACTTCCTTTTTTTTTTTTTTTTTTAAGATTTTATTTATTTATTTGACAGAGAGACAGCGAGAGCAGGAACACAAGCAGGGGGAGCGGGAGAGGGAGAAGCAGGCTTCCCGCGGAGCAGGGAGCCCGATGCAGGGCTCGATCCCAGGACGCTGGGATCATGACCTGAGCCAAAGGCAGACGCTTACCGACTGAGCCACCCAGGCACCCCTACCTTGCTACTTCCTTTACTCTCTCCCTTCTAATACCCAAACTTTATTCAACCTTAGATCATTTGACCACGAATAAAACCACATATGTCAAATTAGTTCTCTGGGAGCATGACAAAGTCAATTAAAATCCGTCAGGAAAAAAAAAAAAAGAAAATCAGAATTTAAGTCTAAACTCTTAAAACAATGAGAGGCAATTATCTAGGGTGGTAGTTAAGATTCAGAGAGAGCTAGTACACTTATGATAAAAAATAAATAAATAAAATTATTTTTTAAAAAAGGAAAAAAGAAAAGACAGGTTCAGAGAGAGATGTTTGAATGCCACATCTGGTCAAGAGTTACAGACCCAAATGTGAAACTCACACACATACTCTGCGTCTGACCTTGGGCAGCTTACTAAACTTCTTTACCCTCAGTATCTTCATCTGTCATTTGGAGATAATGAATTTCATAAGAGTAAAATGAGGTAAGCCAGGAAAAATGCTTACTGATTCTGACACTCAAGAAGTGTTCAACTAATGTGAGTGCTAAAAACAGGGAAAAGTTACCTTGCATTTTCCATTGCATTGGAAGATGAAACTAGCTTTTCCTCCAATACTGTGACTTTCTTTCTCAGTTTGGCCTCTCTATCTTCTGCAGCCAAAGCTTCGCGGGTGTAAGAATCCTCTGATTCTAAAAGATGGTTACGCAATCTCTCTAGCTCCTGGTTTAAGCGTAATTCTTTGTCACGTAAATGTTGAACCTAGGCAGAGGACACCTCTTTATTTTTCTTCTATAAAATGCTCCCCTTTCCCCTCTACAAGCCACTTTGTTATCAAATCTTTTGCCCATTACTGAAGTATATTAATTATATACTAATTACTCATATTGTAAGATGTATTTATATTAGGAAAAAGGTTTCCAAAAACCAACTTTTCATCTGGAAGTTTTATTTTGTAAGAGCTCATGCCCTGTGGCTGTAATGAAAAATGGAATTGTACCAAGTACAAGGCTCTTTGTGACAGACCACTTTTTCAGTAAAAATCTCACTTTTTCATACGTTATGGGTGAGAAATTTTTTTTAAACTGAAGTATATTTGACAATATTATACTAGTTTCAAGTATACAACATAGTGATTCAACAATTCTACATGTTACGCTCTGCTCACCACGGTCAGCGCAGTTATCATGTCATCATACGTTATTACAATATTGACTATATTCATTATGATTTATTTTTCAGCCCTGTGACTTATTTATAACTAGAAATTTTTACCTCTTAATCCCCTTGACCTATTTTGCCCATCTTCCCTAAACCCCTCCCCGCTAGCAACCACCAGTTTGTTCCCCATGTTTATGATTCTGTCTCTGTTTCACTGTTTTTTTAGATTCTACATAAGTGAAACCACACTGTATTTTCCTTTTTCCGACTTATTTCACTTAGCATAATACACCCTCCAGGTCCATCCATGTTGTTGCAAATAGCAAGATCTCATTCCTTTTTATGGATGAGTAATATTCCATTTATACACCACTTCTTTATTCATTCATCTATCAAGGGACGCTTAGGTGGCTTCCCTTAGTTCAGTAAAAATAAGGATGCATGTATCTTTCTGAACTATGTTTTCATTTTTGGAGGGTAAACAGTAATGGACTGCTGGATTATATGGTATTTCTGTGTTTAATTTTTTGAGGAACCCGCATACTGTTTTCTACAGTGATTGCATCAATGGGAAATTTTTTTTATAACCAAGATATGCCATGGGGGGTGTGTGTGTGTGTGTGTGTGTGTGTGTATAAAATATATACTCTGGGAGGTCAAGATCCTACAGTATAACACATCAGAGGAATACTGAGAAAAAATCACCCAAGAGACAAATTAATTTTACTAATTCATTCTAGCTTTCTTAACAATTAGTAAGCCTATTGTTTGAATCAATTTCTTTAAAGTAAAAGCATACCTCATTCTGTAAAGCACTGTTTTCCATTTGTTTCTGTTTCAGGGCCAACATGACCTGGTCTCTCTCCTGTTGAAACTTAACTGTCTTCTCCTGCATTGATTTAACTGCATTTAAAAGCTGATTTAACTCCCCAGTCTTGCCCTTTTGGAAAGAAATAACTTTAGCTTTAAGAAAAACACATTTAAAAAGACCCAGTTTCTTCATTAAATAATTAATTTTGAGATACAGGTAACCGTAACAAGATCATCAAAAACAGAGTCTGAGAAACTGTCTAGAGAAGCCTAAGGAGACATGACAACTAAATATAATGTGTTATCCTGGATGCCATCCTGAACAGAAAAAAGACATTTGGTAATTTTTTTGGTAAAAAAAAAAAAAAAAATTAAGGAATTTTAAAAAAGTAGGAACTTCAGTTAACAGTAATATATCAATATTCGTGAATTCATTGTTACAAGTATAGCATAGTAATCTAAGATGTTAATAAACAAGGGAAACTGGGTGTGAGGCATATGGGAACTCTATTATCTTTTCAACTTTTCAAATAAACTATTCTGGAAGACAAAGTTATTAGAAAAGTTGTTAAAAGAATTCTCTCACTCTCAAATAAAATAAAATCTTTTTAAAAAAAGGTTTTAATTCAAAAGACACAATCTCTTCAAATTTACCCTATACAACAAAGCGTTCACAGATCCCAAAATCAATCAAAAGAGTATGAGAGAGAGTTATGTGTGTGCGTTCATTCATCAGGCCTGCACAACTGTTCCTCAGAAAGTACAAGTCACTGGCAAAGAAAAGACAGGGAAGTCATTTCAACACTTCAACACTTTAGTAGTCAACAAGACTACTAAAGTCTTATTTCCTATTTAAATTAACCTGTTGCTAAAAATGTTTGGAAAGATCTAGTAATTTAGGGGCGAAACCTCCAGGTACCTTTGAGGAAAATTTCATAAAACCCTGAAATGAATATTTCTGAACGAACTTCACATTCCCGTTCAAACATAATTATCTATAAAGTAATCAACCCATTGGAAAATTTCTCCACCCCAATTTTCCTCTATAAAATTCCATCCCCAACATACCTGCTCTTTTTCTTTCAGTAGCTGCTCAAACGCGAGAGCCTTTTCCTTCATTGAATGGCACTCAAACTCTTTTTCTCGAAGCATCATGGAAAACTTTGTATTAGTCTCCTGTAATGCTTGATACTCCGTTTCCTTTTCCCTGGTTGTTTCTACTATTTTTTCATTTTCTTCTTTTAGTTTGCAAATGTCCATTTCTAAAATTAATATCCGCTCCTTCAGGTTGGTTACTGCCTGCCTCAAAAGTTCATTTTCATTCACTTTGTTGGTGAAATTTTCATTTAAAGAAAGCAACTGATCACTTTTGGCTTTGATTAAGAGGTCTTTCTCCTTAAGTGACTTTTGTAGGACATCTTGTTTCTCCTTTAGCTGCTTAATTTCTGAATCCGTCTGTTCCTGTTCTTTTCTTTCTAGCTCTGAGGTGGCAGCAATCGAATCAGACAACCTGTGATTGTTTTCCTGGAGCGTTTTAATTGTTGCATCTTTTTCCTGCAGTGACTTTCTTAGCTCTTCCAGCTCCTGTTTAGAAGACTCGCTCGATGTATCGGGCTTAACTGTTCCAAGAGACTCTGCTGGCTGGGAAGGAGGCGATGATCCGGAGGAGAGTTGAGGTGAAATAATATCAAGTTTTCCTAAAAGAAGATCTTTGGTACTGCACAGCTGCCCTATGCTGTGCTGAACCTGTGCTAGCTCCTGCCCAAAACTTTTGAGTTTGGTTTCATTCTGCTCATAACTTTGGATCAGGCCAGTGTAGTCCACTTGTAATTTAGAATTATTATCACTGTCAACCAAAACTTGTGCCTGAAGCTGATGGAGTTCCTCCTGAAGCTGGGCGGACTCGTGCTGCATATTCTGGACCGTGGTCATCACCTGCTGTTTCCACTCTTCCATCTTCTTCACTTGTTGTTTTAATTTGTCGCGTTCCTGTAGAAGCTCCTCAAACTGATTGCTGTTAACACCTCCAACCTCATTCCCAGTGCTGGATGTTTGTAAAACCGTCAATAAGGTCTGGCATTTCTGACTTAATGCATCTATCTCAATGTCTTTTTCTCGAATGATACGTGATAAATTCTGAACAGTTTCTCTAAACATATCTTGGCCACCACCTTCAGATCTAGCGGATAATTTTTTATTTTCATCTTGCAGCTTCACAAGAGCTGCCTCTTTGGCAGCAATGATATCCATCATTTTGTGGTATTCCGTTTTCAGGTGGCTATTCTCCCTAGTCTTCTCACTCAAAACAGCTAATACCTGTTCTCTCTCCATAGCGTAGGCCTGCAGCTGCTGCTGAAGGTAGACAACATCCTGGGAGTAGGAAGCTGAAGAAATTCTAGCGTGAAGAGCTTGTATCTCCAAGTCTTTCTGCTGGATGATCTGAGTGAGTTTACCAACCTCATCTTTGGACAGCTGATCAATCTGTTTCGTTAAAGATATATTCTTTTCATTCAGAAGTTTAATCTCCAATTCTCGTTCTTTTATTCCTTTTACTAATCTCTCAGTTTCGGCTTTAGATAAATCATGTTTTTCACTGCCATTTTCTATGTTAAGGCTCTGTACTTTCGTTTCTTGAAAGATCTCACAATTCTCCGTTTGAACGCCCTGTCTTTCTTCACGCAACTGGGTTTTGATTTGTTCAACTGTTTTTTGCAAATTCTTAATCTCTTCATCTTTCTCTAAGAAGAGTCGGGTGTGGGTGACATTCATCTGCTCATGCTGGCACTTAAACTCATCCATTTCCTTCTTCTGTTCCTCTAAAGACTGAAGCAGCTGCATTTTACTCTGGTTTTGATCTTCAATAATCTTCTGATGATGTTTTATTTCCTCCTCAAGATTCCCCTTTATAATATTCAGTTGCAACACCTCAGACTCCAGCTCAGTAACACTGTCAAGGGGTTTAGGCTCCACCACAGGTGCAGCTCGACTCTGCTGCTCCCGGAGCCGTTCCAGTTCTTCTTTTAGATGATTGTTTTCTTCTTTCATGGACCCAAGACTTCTGTCTTTTTCCTCCATGGTTTGCTTCAAACTTTCATTTTTTCTTAAGGCCTCGGTATATTTATCTAATTCCTCCTGAAGCTCTGAACTTCTTTCTTTAAGTTTTTCAATAAAAATTTCCTTCTCACTTATAAGTTGTGTTAAGTGCTTCTGCTCTTTTAAACTAGAGGACAAAATTTCCTTGGTTTCTTGATGATGAGTATTCATTTGTTCAATGTTCTTTTTGAGTTCTGCTATTTCAAAGTCTTTCTCTTGACTGAGTTTCATTAAACGCTGCTGTTCCAGCTGTAAAGCAGAGGTGCTCAAATCACGTGCCTTTGACAATTCTTTAATCGTCTGCTCGTACTTACTGGCTTCTTCCAACAGCCTCTGTTCAGCCCGACTCAATTCTGCTTCTAACTGTCCTTTTTCCATTTTTAGAGCCTCCACAATAGTGTTTCTTTCCAGAGAAATCTGATTGCTACCAGCAATGGATTCTTCCAACTGATGTCTTACATCCTCACATGCTAAAACCAACTTTTCATTTTCCATTTTGAGATCAAAAGCAACTTTGTTTAAACTGTCATTGAGCTTTTCTATTTCTAAAAGAGTTTGCTTTAAATTTCTGACTTCGGCTTCCCTTTCTTTGAGTAAATCATCCTTAAAATCACTGCCAGAGTTGCAATTTAGAGACTGAGTTAACTCATCCCTGATTCTAGAAAGCTCTTCCTCATTTTGTTTAATATGTTCCTTAAGTCCACAGTTCTCCTTCTGCATGTTTAAATTACTTTTTTGTGATTTATTTAGCTGATCTACTAAAGCTTCTACTTTTTCCTCAAGCTTCTGCTTGGCTAAATGCAAATCATTTAGGACGAGTTCACTTTGAACTAACTTCTCTTTCTGCACATCTAGCTCTGTAGTCATGTTAATTTTATCATCTTCAAGTTGATGGACTCTCCTGTTTTCATCATTTAGATCTTTTCTCAGTTTACTAATGATGCTGTCTCCCTCATTTTGTTGTTTTGATAGCTGATCTTTTATCAGAATCATGTGCTGAAAGAAAAATAATTTGCATGGTAACTTTAAGACATTCTCTCATTTTAGTACCTAACAAAAATTCTGCAAAATGTCATAAATAATAGAAGAATAATCCTCAGATACTTCTAATCCTTCTTAAAACAATATTTTTTAAAAAAATCCCAACATTTAGGAGCACCTGGGTGGCGCAGTTGGTTAAGCCTCTGACTCTTGAGTTTTGGCTCAGGTCATGATCTCAGGGTCATGGGATCGAGGCCCACGTCAGTCTCCATGCTCAATGCACAGTCGGCTTGAGGCTCTTCCTCCCTCTGTCCCTTGCCCTGCTCATGTACACGCCCACACACACTCTCTCTCTCTCTCTCAAATATTTTTTTTTTAAGTCCCATCATTTAAACCCAACAAAATTACTAACATCTTAGAGCAAATCAATTTCATTATTTAGAGACTAGAACTTAAAACCAGAGAAGGTACATGACATATGTTGCTCATTTCCAACTCTTCAATACTGGGGTAGGAGTCATACAGCCCATGAGCCAAACCCGGCCAGCCACCTGTTTTTGTAGATCAAGTCTTACTGGGCTACAGCCACGCTCATAGTTTACATGTCACAAGAGCGGAGCTGAGTACAACTGAGACCACTATATGGCCTGCAGAGCCAAAAAATATTTACTATCTAACCCTTTACAGAAAAAGTTTGTCAACCTCTATGATTAGATTATCAATGAAGCAAAAATATTAATTGAATCACGTTGTAAATCACACCCATCACTTTCACTTGTTACTCCAGTGTTCAGTGTACTGAGAAGAGCTCTGGTTTTCACATTGTGTTACCTTTGTAGCTTCTTGGTTCTGTCTGTCCAATTCCTCTAACTCAGCTACAAGTATTTCCTTCTCAGTGAGACTCTGATTAAGTTCCTGCTCCTTTGCCTCCAAAGTCAGTCTTAAGTCATGTAATGTTGACTTTAAATCCATCTCTCTCGCAGCTGTACTTTTAATTACTTCATACTCACTGTTCAATTTTAAAAGTGATAGCTGAAGCTCTTCCTTAAATAATAAAAAGGGGGAAAAACAACATATACTGTCAACTGGAAGAAGACACTAAAAGATTAAAAAAAATATATATATATATATATACACACACACACAAAACTTGGGAATCTATTCTCAGATGCCTGTGTCGGAAACATTACTGAATAAGACCTCCGTAACAATACATAACATTCAACAAATCGGGGCGCCTGGGTGGCTCAGTTGTTAAGCGTCTGCCTTTGGCTTGGGTCGTGATCCCAGAGTCCTGGGATCGAGCCCCATGTTGGGCTCCCTGCTTGGCGGGAAGCCTGCTTCTCTCTCTCCCACTCCCCCTGCTCGTGTTCCCTCTCTCGCTGTCTCTCTCTCTGTCAAATAAATAAATAAAATCTTTAAACTAAATAATAAATAAAAATTCAACAAATTACAGCCTTCACTCATGTGCAATTTTATGTGTAGCTTCAAGAAAAACATTTCTGTAACACCAAGACAAGATGGAATGACTGTTCAAGTTCATCCAGCTCCAGCTTCTTTATTTAAAAACTTTCCCATTTGGGAGCCTTCCTGATCCCACTCCCACCGCTGCTTCCCTTCTGTCTGCTGCTTCTCTTGCCCCACACACACTCTTCAAAATCTTCCGATTCTCCCGTCTCTCTGCACTTCCGTTCCCTAATGTCCAGTCACCAACAACCATAAACTAAATAAACATCTATAAAAATCAACATTCATTCGCTCTCTAATTAGAAAACAAAAGGCTTCTTTTCCCTTATTAAAGGAATTTCCCTTATTACTGGCTCCTGTCAGCACATGAAACTTTTCTTTGACCCAAGAAAGTAGACTCCTTCCTTCCTTTGCCAACCAACCTGAGCAGAGACTAGGTTCCCCTCTCTCAACTCTTAACAGTCTTAAAGATCTATCTAACTATATATGATTTTTAAACTATATTTTATGTTCTGTTCTACTGGTATTTAATGCTTTTACTCCAAACTCCAGAAGTGGGACAGTTCTCTACGCTCCGACACTGTTGCAACCTCTGATTGTGATGTTTGTGATACAAGAGTTTAAAGCCTTCTTTCACTGACAGAGAAATATCAAACTTCTATGGAATCTACTTTAAAGCAAATAAGAATCTTAAATTTCTACAAATAAAGAGACTATACATACCTTACAAACAGACCAGTGAAAACTAGAACATCTGCCTCACGATTCTCATTTTAATTCCAATTGAAAAGTTTATTCTGAACTACAGTTGATGAAAACAGCATTCTCTTATGCCTTTCTAAAGTTATTATATGTGCTGGGCGCCTGGGTGGCTCAGTCGTTAAGTGTCTGCCTTCAGCTCAGGTCATGATCCCAGGGTCCTAGGATCGAGTCCCACATCGGGCTCCCTGCTCAGCGGGAAGCCTGCTTCTCCCTCTCCCACTCCCCCTGCTTGTATTACTGCTCTCGCTTGTCTCTCTCTGTCAAATAAATAAATAAAATCTTTAAAAATAAATAAATAAATAAAGTTATATGTGCGAGGGGACATGGGTGGGGGGATGGGGTAACTGGGTGATGGGCATTAAGGAGGGCATGTGATGTGACAGGCACTGGGTGTTATATGCAACTGATAAATTACTGAACTTTACATCTGAAACTAATGACGTACTATGTTGGCTAATTGAATTTAACTTAAAAAAATAGTTATATGTTCAATCAGGAGAATCACAAGTTTCTTCTCAGGTAGATGTTAAGAACATGCACGGCCTTGCAGGTACATTTGGCATTCTTAAGCAGTGAGCAGACCCGTAACAGAGAAAATTAAAGGACAAGTTATGAAGGATTACTTAACATCAAAGAAAGGAGCAACAGCTATCAGGCCTGGCTACAGAATCCAAAAATATCATGGCAAAGTTACAGATCTATCAGATATGCGCAGAGATCTGCAAACTACGAAGTACACCTAGGAGAGTTAGGGAAAGGAGCAGAATGCAAAGGGAGCAGAAAAGAGCAGAGAAAATATAGGTAATATAAGAATTAAAAAAGAGTAGGAGACACTGGCTTTTAGTAGATAGAAAGGGTGGGGGCAAGGATCCCACAATGCATACAACAGTGCATAAAACTAAGAAATTTCCATGCTGATAACATCCCTTTGAGAAACACTGCGTATATGCTAATGTGGAAGGATACTGAAAATATGTTAAGGTATATATGAATAGTATGTATAGTATGCTAACAGTTGTATTTTTTTAAAGTTATTTATATAGGGCGCCTGGGTGGCTCAGTTGGTTGAGCGACTGCCTTCGGCTCGGGTCATGATCCTGGAGTCCCAGGATCAAGTCCCACATCGGGCTCCCTGCTCAGCAGGAAGTCTGCTTCTCCCTCTGACCCTCTTCCCTCTCGTGCTCTCTGTCTCTCATTCTCTCTCTCTCTCAAATAAATAAATAAATAAAATCTTTAAAAAAAAATAAAGTTATTTATATAATCATACATACATAAGTGTAGTCTGGAAGGATGGACATACAAGAAACTGGTAACTGCCTTTAGGGGCGCCTGGGTGGCTCAGTCGGTTAAGCGTCTGCCTTCAGCTCAGGTCATGACTGGGATCGAGCCCTGCATCAGGCTCCCTGCTCAGCAGGGAGTCTGCTTGTCCCTCTCCCTCTACCCTTCCCACTGCTTGTGTGTCTCGCTCACTCTTGCTCTCTCTCCTCTTTCAAAGAAGTAAATAAAATCTTTAAAAAAAAAAAAAAGACTGTTTTTGGAAAAGAGGCCAATCAAAAGAGGTGCAAAGGATACTCCATTTGTACCATCTAAAGGTTTTCCATATGAATTACTGAATTTGTACATCAGTGAATATTATTTTTTATAAATTAATTTTTTCAATTGAGTTAAGACACTGGCATATAACTTAATAATACCAGCTTAGAACTATCCTGCATTTAAGCACCTGTCTTAGCCAGGGAATTATCCCCGAGTACTATAAACATAAAAAATACCTCTCCCCATCCCCAACACTGCATTACAGAATTTTATTCCAACACTGCTACCAATACACACAAAGACTCTATCTCTACCACTGAGAACGTATCCCTCTTCAGCCCTCACCACTAAGAAATTCCACCACACTAGAAGGTTCCAGAACATACGAGCAGTTGATAGATTCTGTAGGACGCCACTACAGCCACTCCAGACTCTAGAACCACCTGTGTATGTTGCTGCTGTCAGGACTTCATCGGAAACCAAAACAGAGTCTTTACCTATCTTTTTTGCTCCTATCTGTATGCTTACTGGCTGCCTTATCTGTAAATGTGAACTCTGGTCAGCCTCTCATACTCTGAACTTTGCCCAAATACCTCAGCCTGGTCTGACAAGCATCAATGACACCAGTTTTATCCTCAGGACTCTCAAGACCTAAACATTCCATTTTGATATAAACTGGCCCTCGGCTGTGACCTGTAATACACACATTTTAATTCTGCCCCCATTTTTACTGTACCTACCTTTTCTTGACTCAATAAGGACTTCTGTTTTTCTAAAGTTTCAACATGCATTTTAAGTTTCAAATTGTCTTCAGTGAGACTGTTGTCCTACAAAATGTTAAAACAGTGTGTTTTCAGATAAATTTCAAGTTTACAAAAAAGTAGGCAAGCTGTACTATTGTGCATTTTTACTCAGCCTTTCTCTAGTGACACATAAACATTATAGGCATGCAACCCTGGACCATCTAAAGCCAGTCACTCATTTTATAAATATTCTTAGAATTTTATTATATTTCAAAAAATATATAAATACATTTACAAAATAGCCTGTAATCATTAGTAACAGAAGCAACGCTGAATTCCTTAAGGGAAATCAAAATGCATTCCTCACTGTGGTGGAAAATCTGCTTCCACTATCCATAAACATAATGTCTGTCAAATTAATCTTGAAAGTGATATACTTGCATTTTTTAATTATGTAACTTTTAAAATTATGTCAATTTATGATTCAAAAAGTTTGTTATTAATCAGCAAACATAAAATTACTAAGATGCAAGTTCCTAGGATAAGTTCATGTGAATTTGTAAAAAACACAAAACAAGCAATTACAATAATCAAAATATTTTTTCTTAATAAATCAAAGCCAAAAGCTTTTTCTCTTTAAAATTAGTTTACCTGGCACCTGAATGGCTCAGTTGGTTAAGCGACTGCCTTCGGCTCAGGTCATGATCCTGGAGTCCTGGGATCGAGTCCCACACTGGACTCCCTGCTCAGCAGGGAGTCTGCTTCTCCCTCGGACCCTCCCCCCTCTCATGCTCTCTATCTCATTCTCTCTCTCAAATAAATAAATAAAATCTTAAAAAAATAAAAAAATAAAATGTTTACCTGGTTTAAATTACTCAGTCTCAAAATTTCATTTTCAGCATCTGTAAAAACAACAATGAATCTGACATTAAAATTCTTCAACTTAATAATTACCTCCTACATTAAACTCAGGAATAAAACTCAATTAAAACTTGACTGTATCAAAGAAATCAAAATATAAATAAATGCCAGTAGACGCTCCATTAAAATGCAGTCCTACGGAACCACAGAAAAAAGAATTATAATTGTATTCTGGATGAGTTATAAGTTATTGCCTTGATAAAAACATTAATAACAATGTTTCAAAATGAGTTGATTAGTTTGTGTAGCAGGAAACAGTAAAGGGACTGAGACTGGGGAGAAATGGTTAAAAACAAAAATGTACATTTATACCACAATGATACAATAATCTCTCAATTCTCTAAAGTGACTTAGACATGACGACAGATAAAAGGACCATTCAAGCTGATATTACAGATAGACCCACATACAGAAGCCGTTCTAGGAGAACACAAAGACAGAATACCATTAGTTCAACTAAAGTAATTCATTCAACTTTCATTCAGATAATAGTAGCCATTTTCTATGAGATCAGTTAGTTTCTGGACAACAAGATGAAAACATTTAGTCTCTGCTTGCTCTCAGGGAGCTTTCAATTCAGAGGGAAAGGAAGCACACGACTCCAGTACTGTGTGATACAGGGAGCACGAGGTGCTACTAGAGCAAAAAGGGCAAACACCTACTCCAGACTGCGGGGTGGGGGCTAAGGAGGGCCCGAAAAGCAGTAGCATAGGTACCTCCCAGCAGATACAATACCTGCAATGAATCATAATATACTTAAGAGTCAGCAGAGAGAAACAGACACACTCCACACAAATAGCAGCAAATGCGAAAACGAGAGAGCTAACAGACAAAGTCACTGGCTTAAGGAGCTATATACGAAGTTCAGTATGGCTAATGCTTAGCATGTTAGGAGAATGGGAAGAGGTGAAACTGAAGAGGGACACAGGCACCGGATCGTGAAAGACATCAGATGTCCAACAGGAAGTTCAGACTTTATCCTGAAGTTCACAGGGAGCCACAAAGTACTACCATCAGGGGAATTAAACCTGTTTTGTGTTTCTGAAAAACCTTTCTGGCTACAGAGAGAAAAAAGAAATTGACTGAAGGAATCATGGAGACCAGAGAATAATAACAGCTAACGCTTTTATAATGCTTACTGTAGGATAGCCCCTGTTCTAAAGAGAACTCTGCAGCTAGTAACTCTCAGAATCCCCATTACTACTACTACAACTATTTAGAAGATAGGAGTATTATCCTAACCAGAGGGATGGAAAAACCAAAGCATAGAGATGTTAATTAACTTGCCCAAGGTCAGCTAGTTAGTGATGATATTCTTAACCACTCCACTATTTTGATCCAGTAAGAAACGGCTATAGTCGGGACACCTGAGTGGCCCTGTGGGTTAACTATCTGCCTTCGGCTCAGGTCATGATCCCAGGGTCCTGGGATCGAGCCCCGCATCGGGCTCCCTGCTCAGCGGGAAGCCTGCTTCTCCCTCTCCCACTCCCCCTGCTTGTGTTCCCTTTCTCGCTGTATCTCTCTGTGTCAAATAAATAAAACCTTAAAAAAATAATAATAATAAATGAAAATAAAGCAAATAAACCCATATGAGTCATCCAATATGCTAAATAAATGGAAAAATGTATTTTGAAAGGAGCAGAGCTACTTGGAAGTCAAATGAGAGAGAAGTCTAGAACCCTAGTGAATGGCCTTCTCTTTGCCTTCACGGCAGCTCCCAGGACTGAGGCCCTTCTGAGAAACCCTAGAGCTCCTCTGGGATACAATCCTGAAATATTACTGAACCAGAGAAGCTAAGGAAACAGAACTTACAGGACATGCTGGGTGATGACTTCAAACTTTCTGGTGAGTCACCGAGGTAAGGAGAGGAAGAGGAGGAGGAGGACATGGTGACTTTGAACCTAACTCTAACTGGAGTTTATAGAGCTGGCCATCCAGGTCAGGAGCCCACGAGAAACAACTAGCCAAGGGGTGTGGGGAGCACAGCACACAAGGGCTAGAAACCCCCAGAGCAGCAACGAAACAGTTCATAAGGTGAGAGTTTATACTGTGAGAAGACAAGAGTGCAAAATAAAATCCATCTTCACAGCTAAGAGCTCCCATTACGTGCTCCCGGCATGAATGAACACCGGTGTTTGGCCTATCTCATTAAATAACTTACTTTTTCTAACACAGAACACAGGTAACTAAATATCATCTTGGGCATGGAAAATGGTGAAGGGCCTATGGCTCTTATCACTCTCATGTCTGCTTCGATACAGGACATCATTTCAAAAGGAAATACAGAATTTTGAAAAAGGCAGGCTGCGTTCCCTCATCGGAGGGTCTGAAACCTAGAGTTTCGGAAAGTATCTGGTTCCATGCAGACTAACAGAAATAGGCCCATACCGCCTCCCAATAAACAGCTATATATACATTTCTCAGAAAGCTACATGGCTTCCTACATCAATGATTCCATGTAACTACTTAAAGGATGAGAAAGGGAGGCTGAGAGACATCCAGCCAACAATGAAGACTTTTTAGTAGAAAATTCCATTTGTGAGCCATTAATTATGGCACCGAATCCAAAACCAAACAATTCTATTCCACTTCTACAGTCAATTACAGGAATACTCCACTTCCATAAAGTACTCAGTCTGTCTCTAAAAACTAGTACGTAATAAAACACCAGTCATAGGTGAGTTCCAAACCTTTTACACCAGACAGTGCTCGCTGCAGTTTGAGTACTCCCTCTCCCACCGATGTACTCTGTGGAAGGATTCGTTCTTTTTCTATCACAGTATCACTTTGCTTCACAGCTTCGGGCTGCAATTTCCTACATTCCAGTTTCCAGCTTTCACATTCTTCTGTTATTTGTCTGTTTTCAACATTTAGGCGTTCTTGTTCCTTCCTCAAAATCTCCCTGTCATTTTCTGTAGAAGATAATTTTTTATTTATGTCTTTTATTTTATCCTCAAGTTCTTCAATTCTTTTTATAGATGCTACTTTTTCATTTTGTAGATCCTGTATAGTTTTCTGCATATCATGGATTTTTGAGTGATGAGTTATTACCCCTGAGCCACCTAGAACATAAACAGAAAATCAAGGACAGCCAATGTCAACTACCGAGAGATAAATAGCTTGCTATATACTACCGAGAGATTTAACAGACTTGAGAACTTGGAAAATCTTAAAAAGTTAAGACAACAATGAGATATCATTACACTCCAATTAAAATGGCCAAAATTCAGAACACTCACAACACCAAATGCTGGTGAGCATGTGAAGCAATAAGAACTCTCATTCATTGCTGGCAAAATGCAAAATAGTAAAGCCACTTTTGGAAGACAGTTCAGCAGTCTCTAACAAAACACACCCTTAACATATGATCAGCAATTGCACTCCCCAGTATTTACTCAAAGGAACTGAAAACTCTTATCCACATGAAAACCTGAACAATGACATTTATAGCAGCTTCATTCATAACTGCCAAAACTTGGAAGCAAGGATGTCCTTCAGTAGGTGAATGGATAAACTGTGGTACATCCAGGCAATGGAATACTATTCAGCATTAAAAAGAACTGAGGTATCAAGCCATGAAAAAACATGGAGGAAACTCAAATGCACATTACTAGGTGAAAGAAATCAATCTGAAAAGGCTACATACTGTATGATTCCAACTATGTGATGTTCTGGAAAGGGCAAAACAATAGAAACAGTAGAAAGATTGTGGGGGAGGGTGGGTGGGAGGTGAGCAGGCAGAGCATAAAGGATTTTTAGAACACTGAAACTACTCTGTGTATTATAATGATGAATATATATCATATGTCTGTCCAACCCAGAGAATGTACAACACCAAGAGTGAACCCTAAGGTAAACTATACACTTTGAGGGATCATGATCTGTCAATATAGGTTAAAAAATATACCATTCTGATGAGTAATGGTGATAGTGGGGGTGGCTATGCATGTGTCAGGGCAGGGGTATATGGGAAATCTCTGTACTTCCTTCTCAATTTTGTTATGAAAAGAAAGTCTTTTAAAAAGTTAAGTTACCAAAATAAAGCATTCTTATTTTAGATTTTTTTTAAGTAATCTCTAGCCTCAATGTGGGGCTCAAACTCATGACCCCAAGATTAAGAGTTACACACTCCACTGACTAAGCCAACCAGGCACCGCCATAATAAAGCATTTTTAAATAAATAGTTGAGGAAAAATATTATTTGAATCAACTACTAAAACACTTATGTATATGAGTTTGAAAGAAAGTGAAAATATTTCTAATCATTTATTACCAAAGTATCATCACCAAACAATGCAAAAAAAATCTATATATTGTAACTATTTGTCACAAAGACAAAAGGACCTTACCATTTCTGCATAATCTTACAACAGTGATGCCATTGCAAATTTCAGGCAGATGAACAGAACGAGTCATTCACTCATTCTTTAGAATGTAGTCCAAGTTTACATCAGTGTGTTGGTCTTACAGTACTAGGCTTGTCATTTAATTATGTTATCTAATCCATTAAGTTAATAAAACGAACAACCTTGGGGCGCCTGGGGGGGGCTCAGTGGGTTAAGCAGCTGCCTTCGGCTCAGGTCATGATCTCGGGGTCCTGGGATCGAGCCCCGAGTTGGAATCTCTGCTCAGCGGGGAGCCTGCTTCTCCCTCTGCCCTTCCCCCCCTTGTGTTCTTTCGTTCTCTCAAATAAATAAAATCTTAAAAAAAAAACAAAAACTAACAACCTTGTTGTAACAAGTTTTCCAGTTCTTCAATTTGTTCTTCATAGTCACTTAATTCTTCTCGATGACGACGACTTATTTCTGTCAATTTCTGTTGGTATGCATTTTGTAAAACTGACATTTCATGTTGATGGTCATCGATTTCCTGACTTCGAGTCTGTTTGAGTTCCTTAAAAAATAAAAACAAGGTTAACTACATTTATAATCAATGACATACCTAAGCCATTTCATTGCTGTGCAAAAGTCTGTATTAAAAATAATTCTCTGAACATGCTAAGGCTATAAAGAATTTAAACACAGGCCCCAAATCTGGACAAATCTGAAAAATTCTACTCTTTCCTTTCTTGGGTCTTAAGAACAGTTTTTCTACTTTAATGAGAGAATACCAGCAAGAAAAAAAATGAAACAAAAGATGAATAAAAATATCTTGGCTACCCAAGTTAAGACCACCAGTCTCTCTCCTAAGGAATCTGGATCTTGAGCTTAGTCCTTCAAAAAAGGAAATTGTTAGGACCACAAGCACTGTGATAGCTGCACCCAGAAAAGTCTGTCCACTGTGTCCCACTATCTAGATCCCTGATCCTATTCCCATTCCTGTTCTGCCCAAGACCAGAATGCTCAATTCTTCTTTTAATCCTGGGGACAGACTACCCTGGGTCCTTCCTGTAAATCTTCTTTTGCTTTATTTAGCCAGAGATGGTTTTTGTTGCTTATAACCAAGAATCCTAATCAATAAATTAACTTCTATTTCCCGAGAAGACAAGTTATTCTTTAATCCTGTGCACTTACTTATGTGCCAACAGTTGGCAAGCAGCTTCACATTTAAACCTTAAAACGATCCTACAAGGAAGGTATGATGAAATCTACTATACTGATGATAAAATGGAAGCTTGGAAAGATTAAGTAACTTGCTCAAAGTACAACAGCTGGTAAATAGCAGAGTCAGGATTCATATACAAGTCTGACTTGGGACCCCACCCACGTTAGTATTGTAATAAAAATAAAACCAAAGACGAAAAATTCTACACCTGACGATAATTTTTTTTTTTTAATTTTAAAGAGTTTATCTGAGAGAGAGAAAGAGGGAGAGAGAGCATGCGCCTGTGTGCAAGAGAGGACAAGCAGGGTGGGGGGGGGGGAGGAGCAGAGAGAGTGGCAGAAGTTGACTCTCCACTGAGCACAGAGCCCAACATGGGGCTCAATCTGGGACCCTGGGATCATGACCTGAGCTGAAGGCAGACACTTAACCAACTGAGCCACCCAGGTGCCCCATATGCCTGACAATAATTTATACACTAAAAACAATTCATTGCCGTATGATACAATTATGTAACTAAGACTTTTCTTGAAATAACTGACAAAAAGTAGCAAAATTCCACCAAAATTAAGGGAAAATAATTATTTACAATGAACAGTATTAACATTTTATTTTGTCAATATCCTTTAACCCTAAACCCTGAAACTTTAACAACCTCGGAAATGTTTGAACAAAGACCATTTTGGTGAGCCTCAGTGGTTAATCGTCCGACTCTTGATTTCAGCTCAGGTCATGACCTCAGGATCATGGAATTCAAGCCACACATTGGGCTCTGTGCTCAGTGCAGAGTCTGCTTTAGATTCTCTCTCCCTCTCCCTCCCACTCACTCTCTAATAAACAAAACCCTTAAAAAAAAAAAAAGACAATTTTACAAGACGCAAATCAAGTAGAAACTAATGAAATATAAACTACTTAAAAAAACAAATGTTCAAAACCAAGTGATTTTGGAAAGAGACATTTTTATATACCTTGCTGTCGTAAAGGATGAAAATACAAAATGGTAAAAAGAAACAATCATAATCTATATAGTTTTATAACTGAGCCTTCTATTAGACTTATACTTTTTTTTTTTAAAGGTTTTTATTCATTTATTAGAGAGAGAGAGACAGAGAGAGCACACAAGCGGAGGAAGAAGCAGACTCTCTGAGCCCCATGCAGGGCTGGATCCCAGGACCGGGATCATGACCCGAGCAGAAGGCAGACGCTTAACTGAAGGAGCCACCCAGGCGCCCCAGACTTGTACTTTTACTTTTAATAAGCAAATTTTAGGTGTATAATGCCATTGTTCCAGGGCGCCTGGGTGGCTCAGTCAGTTAGGTGTCTGCCTTCGGCTCAGGTCATGATCCCAGGGTCCTGGGATCGAGCCCCACGTTGGTCTCCCTGCTCAACGGGGTGTCTGCTTCTCCCTCTCCCTGCTCCTTCTCTCTCTTGCTCTCTCTCAAATAAACAAGAAAATCTTAAGAAAAAATAGTCATGGGGCGCCTGGGTGGCTCAGTCGTTAAGCATCTGCCCTCGGCTCAGGTCATGATCCCAGGGTCCTGGGATCGAGCCCCGCATTGGGCTCCCTGCTCCGTGGGAAGCCTGCTTCCCCCTCTCCCACTCCCCCTGCTTGTGTTCCCTCTCTCGCTGTGTCTCTCTGTCAGATAAATATTAAAATCTTAAAAAAAAAAAAGAAAGAAAGAAAAAATAATCATTGTTCCAACAACCTCCTTACCTTAATGATACTTTGAAGTTTGCAGATTTCGCTTTGATCAGAGTTATTTGATCCTTGTGCTTTAGAAGTCTAGATCAAAAAAACAGAATTAGAAAATAATTGTGTTGGCTTTTTGTAAAAGAGAAAGTCACAAACTAATTTTATTAAAAAGTATTTTTCAGGGGCACTTAGGTGGCTCAGTCGGTTGAGCATCTGCCTTCAGGTCAGGTCATGATCCTGGGGTCCTGGGATTGAGCCCTGCATCAGGTTCCCTGCTCAGCGGGGAGTCTGCTTCTCCCTCTCCCTCCCCCTGCTCATTCTCTCTCTCTCTCTCAAATAAATAAAATCTTTTAAATATATATATATATATATATATATATATTTTTTAAGGGGCATTTCCCAGACAAATTCTGATTAAAGAATGCCAAGCACCTTTTAAAGAACTAAGTCCAATTGTGAGTAATACACAACAAATAAAAGATAATTTTCAAAGGACATCCAGGCTGTCAGTTAAGCATCCGACTCTTGATTTCAGCTCATCCTAGGCAGTGTTTCCTAAAATGTGTATCAGAATCACCTGAGGAATTTACTTGTTTGAATGCAATTTCCAAGGCTCTAAAATAGGCTATGAAATCCTAATTTCTAATGGTAGGACAGAGAATCTACGATTTTATAGTACTTTAAGAACTACTATATTTTTAGAGATAAGATGGACAAACTCATCGTTCTAAGATTTATTTTGGATATTGGGAATGTCTAGCAACTTGGGAAGCAAAAAGGTAATTTTAATTGGTAGGGTTTCTCCTTTATATAACTAGATCGCACTCACAAAAAAAAAAATAATTTCTTTACTTATATACTTGTTCTCCACACTGATGAAATGAAATCCAAATGTACAATGTTCCAGTTTCCTTTGGGTCTCATGTTGACTGACATCAATAGTATACAGAATCTGATATATACAGTGAAAAGTGTCCCTTGAAGGAAAGTTTATGCCCCAAATAGCAAGGATTTAATTTCTAATGTACAAAAAACATAAAAGTTTAACGTATTTTATACCAATGATCAGATTTTCATTTTACACATAACTGTTAAGAGGAACCTCAGAGAACATCTACGCAAGTAGTTTCAAATCTGGGGTCTTGGAGCCATGGAGTTGCCATCAAAGAAGCCTCAGGGACTCCAGAGGAATAGATGCTAGTTCAACCACAGCAACTCCATTTTTCTCTCTTTTAAGTCCTGGACTTTTAACTTTTCATTTTAAAACATGGTTCTGTTGCTCTCAATATATATATATATTTTAAGATTTTATTTCTTTATTTGGCAGAGAAAGAGTATAAGCAGGGGGAGTGACAGGCAGAGGGAGAGGAAGAAGCAGACTCCCCGCTGAGCAAGGAGCCCAATGCAGGACTCGATCCCAGGACCCTGGGATCATGACTTGAGCCACCCAGGCTCGCCAGCTCTCAGTTTTTTTGAAAATTTCTTCCAAATATTTTATAGAGGAGGAAACAGAGGCTAAGAAAGAAAAATGACCTGACCAAAATCACTCAGAAAAATCACTGGCAGAATTAGAACACAGGTTTTCAAATTCCTAGTCCAGGGTTCTTTCTGATACCAAAAGTTCTACATAGAGAACCACTATTTTTCCTCACTAATAGTTTTCAAAGACTCATGATAATTTTACCTACCTGAGCAATATGCCTCCAATGACCAACTTCAGATTCAAGTCTTGCAACTTCATTTGACAACCTGTTTATTTCTTGTTGTGACGAAATTATGTCACCAAAGTCCATGTCATCGTCGTGGAAAGCTGAAGCAGGGTGACTGACCCGACAGCCGAAGGGAGAGGAAGCAGGGGCTGCTGGTACGCCACCAGCTCCTGAATGTGTGGACTGAGCAGCTGACTGCAGCTTCAGCAGCTGATCCTGCAGTGCGATCTGTCTTGCTTTAAGATGGCTGATTTCTACCTACACATTTATAATCTGTATTTTAGAGAAGGTACTTTAAAATAACCATACTGATGTCTTTATAGACTCATAATGTTAAAAGTTATAATAATTTGTTTAAGATTATCCAATGATGGTAACTCTTTCAGCTGAATCCAAGTCTTCTATAACAACCCAACCAGTACATTTTTATTTAAAAACCAAACATGACTACCAGTTAAAGCATAGACAATGTTTCAAATAGTACAAAGATCAGAATATCTCACTCATATGTCAACTAGAACAATGAAATTCTCAGTTAAATATGGCCTTAACTATCTTCATGTATCAGGTAGTACAGGCAATTTCCAAGGGTTCTATTTGTATTATCAGAGCATAAGTGATGGGAAAATGAAAGCTGCAGTAGTCTGTGTGTTAGAAAGTTTCTTTGGAGCATCTGTTGGAATAGTCTTATGTTACTGATTATGGCGGAATTTAGGCTTAAAGTGCACCAGAATCAGGAGTAACTTTGTACTGGTCTGTACAATAGCTGGAAGAATGCTTTATTAATCCATTCTTAGGTAACAGTAAGCCTGTGGTTATTATTAGCCCTTGAGTCTTAGAAAGAAATCATATAATGAGAGAGGCCTTGGCTTTAGCCTTGGAAAAAGGAGCCAGTGAAAATTTGACTTTACTCAGGGAAAGAATAGTATAAAAATTCTGAGACCCTTAGTGGAGTTTTGACTAAGGTCTGGCAATACTAACTCACTGTCCAAAAGAAATTACGAACATATGGACTTACCACAATGCCATATCCATTCTCAGTGAGAGATTACTCAAAATATAAAAGTGAGTAAGCTAGGTAGAATTGAGATAAACTTTCTGTAAAATACCTACCCCAAAAGACATGCTGCCACAATGGAGACTATGATACTGGGAATTAGCCGACCAGTAACAATATTTCTACACATGTAAAGCCAAGCAATTAGACAAACAAAAACCAAACACAATTATGTCAAGTGTCATAACAAACAGGTTTCTTGTACCAAACCCCTTCTCTAAAAAAAAAAAATTTGAGAGACAGCACACATTTCATTCATTTGCCCATAACTGACATGAGTTAAATTGCATCTCTGAGGAATATGAACATCATAATGAGGGCAGAAAACAGCAGAACTTAAGTATATTCATATATTATCTTTCATTCTAGTACAAAATACTGAAACCCAAAATTATTTTCAAGTGTAGCTTTAATACAAAGTTCTCATTATAAAACTAGTATTTATATCATCACGTTAAAAAATGCAAGCTAATAACAAAGAGGCATTTCTAAACTAAAATGCTTAATTTGCCCTCTAATATCAACAGTTAAGTAGAAAATAAAATGCCAGATTTTCCACAGCAGTGTTTTCAATTAGGACGTAAGCATGAGAATCACCTATGGAGTTTCTGAAAAATACCAATACCAGGGCCCCTTCCCAGTACACCAAAATCAGAATCTCCTGGAGGACACAAATGTGTGTATTTTTTTAAAGTATCATGGATGATTCAGCTGTAAATCCCTGGGTGGGAACTACTGCACTACTGTAATATTTGTAAGTCAGTGCTGATCAAAGTGGTCTATGGACTGAAGGTATAAATGTTTACTACCAGTGGGCTTTTACCTTTAACTTGAACTTGTAATTTTCTTTTCTTATATTCATTTTATTTTTGTAGTAATTTATTTTTATTGTATTTTATGAAATCAATTCCCAACAGATTGGGAATTTAAGCTCTAGTTTATATTTATCTTTAACGTGGCTTGCTTTTATTTTTCATCTTAGTATGTTACTGAAAGAACTAAAAATCAATGCATGTAAATTTTAAAAACTCATATATGGGGATGCCTGGGTGGCTCAGTCGGTTGAGCATCCAACTCCTGGTTTCGGTTCAGGTCACGATTTCAGGGTCGTGAGTTCAAGCATGGTGTGAAGCTCCATGCTCAGGGCGGAGTCTGCTTGAGATTCTGTCTCTTCCTCTCCAACTACCCTTCCCTCCCCCACTCTCACACATGCTCTCTCTCTCTAAAATAAATAAATCTTTACACTTCATCTTAGCCAAAATGCCAAGAAGTGATAAAAATAAATAAATCTTTTAAACAAACAAAAAAAACCCAACTCATATGAATTTATGGTAGAAATGAATATTTAATCAACAAACTAAAGAAAACCCAAATGATCTGGATAATAAAACAAGAAATAGCTCAATTCCTAGGAGTATTTACTGAATTCCATTTATGTACTACACACTGAAGATAATTTAACAAAAAAATGAAACATGGAAACATAGTCTATATTTTAAGGATTCATTTTAGTGCTGTTTAAATTACATAATATCTACTACCAGCACTGCAAAGAAAAGATAAGCCAATTCCAAAATAAACATTTCTAACAAACTGAAGGGAAAAAATATTTATAGAACAACCTAAGTCAACTTAATATACTTAATATTCTGTTTTTCCATGGAAAGTCAAATAAATGCCAATTCAATATATATGAACACTGGTAGTCAAAATCATTTTTAAAAACGAAATGTCATTAGCAATGATCACATTGAGTCACAATTTTAAGTAAATAGAGGAAAGATTAGGTGTCATAAAATCAGAAATTATAAGCAACAGATGCCTGAAGATACTTTATTGGAAGAGTTTTCCTCTTTTGGAAGTAGGAAGTAAAGGTTAGCTTATAAAATATAAATTTAACAGAAAAGCTTAGAGTTCTTGTTAAAACAGCAGTATCAAACTGAGTTGGGAATTACTAACTTCATCACCCTTTCAGTATTTTTATGGATCTGTATATAGCTTGATTTATAACTCTTAAAAACCTTCCTAAAAACATTACTAGGAAATAAATATGAAGTAACTGTAATAACTTTTACCTCCTTCTGTTGTAGTTGATTCCGATAACTTGTAGATTGCTGCTTTATTTGAAGCTCTGACGCTTCATGCTTCTCTTCTAAATCAGTACAAAGTTTTTTGAGTCTCTCATTCTAGAAACAAAGAAAAAAAGTATTTTCAACAAAAAGACTAAAAGTAAAATATGTAAGTTATCTGCATGGCATCATGAAAAACAGATCACTTTATCCAGAAAAAGATATAAAATACAGAAGTTCTCAGACAGAATTCTGGCCTTTGAAATATAGTTTTTATGAAAGCTACAACAGCGGGGTGCCTGGGTGACTCAGTCGTTAAGCGTCTGCCTTCGGCTCAGGTCATGATCCCGGGGTCCTGGGATGGAGCCCCGCATCGGGCTCCCTGTTCCGCGGGAAGTCTGCTTCTCCCTCTCCCACCCTCCTGCTTGTGTTCCCTCTCTCGCTGTCTCTCTCTCTGTCAAATAAATAAATAAAAATCTTAAAAAAAAATAAAAATAAAAAATTAAAGCTACAAGAGCAATAAGCATGTTTATAGGAGATTATGCAAAATTTTGAACCAAAGTAAAAAAAAAAGTAAATCTTGTTCAGTTTGATTTTCTGCTAAAAAAAGGCCAATGATCAATGTTTCCCCCACTCTGCATATCCAGGGTCTAGCATATAATGGGCAGTATATGTCTGGTTAATGAATAAACTATATTACATTACACATTTCAACTTGTGTTTTCTTCCCAAACATAACTTTTTAAACGCAATCTTTTTAAAAAAGACTTCTTGCTGAAGTACACATAGGAGGCCAAAGCTTCATATTATCTATCATGCCTTCCACACTACCTATGTGCCAGGCTCCTGAGGCACCTCTGAAAAATCCAATTTGAAAACCATACTAGAGATCAGTTCAAAAACTAGTTAGAAGTACACAAAATATTCTAATTCAATGAATCTAGATATCATAGTCTTTTGTTCTAAGATTTTGGAAAATACGTTTAAAAAACTACTTAAAATTTTGGGACACCTGGTGGCTCAGTCAGTCAATTGTCCAACGTGGTTTCAGTTCAGGTCATGATCTCATGGGTCATGGGATCAAGCCCTGTGTTGGGTTCCCTGCTCAGCGGGGATTCTGCTTGAAAGATTCTCTCCCTCTGCCCCTCCCCCCACTCATGCCAGTACGCACACGCTCTCTCTCAAATAAATAAATCTTTAAAAAATTTACTTAAATTCTACGTACTCAAATATTAAATTACCTTAACCTATTATCATTCCTTGAGTTTCAATGAACAAGGACATTATGGAGCAACATAAATGGGCACTAAAGCTTTTTGCAAAAGAATTTACAAATTATCACAGATAACTTAGTAAGACTAAGAATTCCACTAATTTATCTACAAACACAATTTAACAATGAAAACTGAGAGAAAGGTGACAGATGTGGTGGGAAAAAAAGTTCCTGCTAGAAGGTAAAGACTTTTTCACTTTGAGAATATCACCCGTTTTCTTAGAGTCTAGGAATTTCTTACATCAACAGATGTGAAAGTTATGATTCAGGGAGATTATATAAATACATAGAGAAAAATCAAAGGAATAAACATAAACCCTAGTTTGGGAGTCTGCCTCCAGAAATCTAATACAGATTTTGGTTATGAAATAAGACACAGGCCCATGCAACTAATTATCTTCTATTCTTCTGGTGGCTTCTGCATGACTTTCTGTGAGCTTTTAACATGAAAAACACCAAACATAACTGAAGCAACACGATATAGTGAAGTCAAAACCCAGTCATAAAAGCCCACTCTAGGCTTTTTCAGATAAAAATAACTAAGGCTATTTGTTGAACTCTGGTTAATAACTAGAACTTGAAAACTTCCAATTTGGCCAATATCTAATTGCTTGTCTGCCCTCACCTCCCTAGCCATGTGAAGAGTCACAGTTAACAAAGTACATGAAGGACAGATTCTCTTCACGTGGCTGATCTATGACATTACTTGTGAGTGGCTGTATTTTCTATTATATGGAATACAGAACTAGGAGGGCTTGTCTGATGTGAAAGGAAAACGAATAAACACACATAAAGAACAGAGGAGTAAAAATGAGAGAGAAATCCCTGGTGGTCTGAAGTTTTGCTTGCATCCCCTTTCTAAAACCTGGTTATGATTTCTGCTCATGAAATCCATGAGATTCTCATATCCTTATATTATTCCATCATGCTCAACCTCTGTTATACCATCAAGGTCTACTGGAACCAACTTTACTTTTTGAGTTTCTTTTTTGAGCAGTCCTAACTATCTGTAAGGACAGATGCTTAAGACTTTATTCTTTCTTAGACGTCTTCTAACAAACAAAGAAAAATTACTTATTTTTTAAATAAAATAAAACTCAGAGCGCCTGGCTGGCTCAGTTGGTGGAGCGTGCAACTTGATCTTGAGGTTGTGGGTTTGAGCCCCACATTGGGAGCAGAGATTACTTCAAAATAAAATCTTCAAAATAAATAAATAATAAAATAAAATAAAATAAAACTCATTCTATCTTGCAATTACCATTAAGGGTCATTGAGCCCCTTATAAATCTAAGAATATTCACGAGGTTATAATGACCTTGTTTTTCTGTCTTTGAAACATTTTGATATTTTATCATCCTAAAAATTATTTTATCATTATTCACCAATTATTCTCAAGTAGGTTTAAAAAAAGTCTTATATAATAAGAAAACAGAAGCCTGACAGAATCACTCAGAAGAATGACGCAATAGTGAAATAACCAGTTTTCTGACTGCAGTGCACAAAGCACTGTACCACCTTTCAAAAAGGAAAAAGCTAGAGACACCCACCTAAGTAGCGTCCTTTTGGTTTTATTGTTTTTTGCTTTCAGGGAACACAAGAAAATTCAGAACTTTTGTTTCCATAAAGAAAAGAAAACCGACAGAAGAAAACATTTCATAGTTATTAAGACAACTTAGAAGACAAATGTGAAGAGACAGAAAACAGCAACCAGAGTCTGATGGTTGTGGTGAGCAGGCTGCAGAGGCAAAAATCCCAGCCAAGTCTGGAAGTAAAAATACCCTAGAGGAATCTTCTCAAACTCCAAAATTAATGAGTGAACAATATATTTCTAAGAACAAAAAAGAAATGTGGTGTTCTCATCAAGTTAGTCATTCAACAGGAAAAGATTTTACCTCACAGTATTTTGTGACAAGGCCCTGAGCCATCCCACTTTGCTAAATGGCTTTGTGACAGTATTCTTTTACTATATATGATACTTGAACACCAACATTTACTTGATATAGTTCAAACGTGGACAAATGCTGTAGGCAGGTGTGTATACAAAGGTGACTGGGAAGAAAAAGATGACATAAAGTGAAAAAAATTCAGTGGACTGATCATTCTAACTGGTATTTATATATCTAATTGGTATTTGTAAATCTGATATTTATAAATTGGCTTTGTAATTATGGAGCAAAGATGACAGTCATCATCTTTTCAACAAAATCATAAGCCATCAAAGTTTTCAAAAATACTGGTTTTAGTGACATGAGAAAAACCAAAGTCATGATCAGCTGAAACCTATTATAGATGTAACCGAAATTTGGAATCAGTATTTACAAAATAACATGCATTTCAGTTCATGCATAAGAGTTAAAAAGCAGTTAACTGCAAAGAACACTATTTTGAGTATATATGTTTTCAAAACCAGAAATATATGGAATAAAAATATGGACTTGCCATAAATAAGCCCTTTTTTTTAAGATTTTTTATTTATTTTTTTTTTGAGAGAGAGAGAGAGAGAGGACAAGAGCGGGGGGAGGGTCAGAGGGAGAAGCAGACTCCCCACTGAGCAGGGAGCCCGATCTGGGGCTCGATCCCGGGACTCCAGGATCATGACCTGAGCCGAAGGCAGCTATTCAACTGAATGAGCCACCCTGGCGCCCCGCCATAAATAAGTTCTTATTAAAATTTCTAATAAAGTTTTTCACTATCCATTTTACTCCTACTTCTGTAAATTACTTACAAAATGATTTAATACAAAAAAAATTGGGGGCGCCCGGGTGGCTCAGTCGTTAAGCGTCTCCTTCGGCTCAGGTCATGATCCCAGGGTCCTGGGATCGAGCCCCGCATTGGGCTCCCTGCTCTGCGGGAAGCCTGCTTCTCTCTCTCCCACTCCCCCTGCTTGTGTTCCCTCTCTCACTGTGTCTCTCTCTGTCAAATAAATAAAATCTTAAGAAAAAAAAAAATTTAAGAGTTCACTGGACCCAGATGGTAAATGTGATGAGACTTTTTCTTGGCATAGAGGGTTAAATTGAAGAAACCTAACTAACTCAGTCAGCTTCAAATATTAATGTCTGTAAGCAAATCTAATTTCCTCCGGAAAACACAATGACCTCTGTCTATACTAAAACTTTCTATTTAGGGCTGCCTGGGTGGCTCAGTTGGTTAAGCATCCAACTCTTGGTTTTGGCTCAGGTCATGATCTCAGGGTTGAGGGAACGAGCCCCACAGCTTGGAGCCTGTTTGAGATTCTCTCTCCCTCTCCCTCCGCCGCTCCTCCACTCACGCTCTTTCTTTCTCTAAAATAAATAAAATCTAAAGACTTTCTAAATAGAATTTTATATTTTTTAGTTTCCTGATGGCTTTAATCATAGCTTCACCTTATTCCCTTATTGCATAGTCATATATGGGGTGAGGGTATGAAGTGTTTTTGTGCTGACACACAGCAAGAATCAGTCACCTTAGAAAACAAAGCCCTTGGATAATCCAACAGTCTCTTTTCTTGTAGCAGGTGAGTAGCTCAAGCTACTGTGAATAAGCATCAAATGAGGAAGGTGGCTTTCATTTGGGGATGCATTATATCAAAAATATTTCTAAACACTAGAATCATGCTTGCATTAACCCCCCATGAGAGATTTGAAGTGAGATCAACAGGGGGACAGAAGAGTTCTCTCTTCCCTCTCAAGCTCAATAGAGAGCAGACATTCACTAAGCAGGTTCACCCTATTTATTTTTTCCCCCAAATGGACACTGGCGAATTTACCTAAATTAATGCCACTACACACATCTCTGCCATTTAATTTTTCTGGATGGGCCTGTACTAATTAATGAGTGCCTTCTCAAGGATTTCTTAGGGATTAAAGGAAAAATTTTCTCTCTCAGCCATACAAAGAAGTATTAAGTTCATCTGTCACCGAGGCATCTACTTATTAGGTAATTACACCTAATGCCTCAAGTGTCACCAAACTGCCATCTAGAATTGAGACAGAATACCATGACAATCCCTCTTGAGAGGTCCCTCTACATCCACCTTAGTAATCTGGGCCAGAGTTCAATAATGCTTGTCAGTAAATATTTTCTGGTATTTTAAATTCAATTTTCTCTGTTGATGGGCTCAGCAAAGAGGAAAACATGCTTACCACAGTCCCCTAAAAATATATTTTAATGAAATATTAAGTGTTCCCTCATTGTTCTTATCCATAGGCTAAACAGTTGAGTGTCATTAGTACTTTACAGTAGATCCCATTTTAAATCATTTCATTTTCTTTACAGCTTTCCTTCGAGCCTTTCCCAAGTTTTCCTCATCCCCATTAAGTACAATGTCCAGAGGTAGTCACCACGAGGCACTAACAACTGGGAAATAAATGGTAAAATTAGTTATACCTATACTCTTTACTTCTTTGTGTACAAATACCACTTTTTTTCATGTTAGCAGATTAAAAAGGTCTAGACTAAATAGAATTGCATTCTTCATATTATACTTCAATAAATGTACTACTGCAATTGAGCACACTGTCAGAACACAGTAATTCCTTGATAAATCGTTGCCACCAGTATTTCTACACTAGGCATTTTCCGACTTCCAGCATGTAAAAGATGATGGGAATGTTAAACAGCAAAGTGGAATAACATGTAAATATATTCTTCATCTAAAAGATGATGATAACACTGAAAAAGAACTGGGATAAAGGGGAAGAGATAAAACTGGCAAGCACTGCAGTAAAAAGAGAGAACTGAAAAACAGTGTAAGTTACTGTCATGCCTTCAAAAAAGAAAAAAAATCTTAAGTTCAATAATAGTCTTTAATTTTCCTTACCTCTGATCTTAAGACTGTATGAATGGCTTCAATTTCCTTTCTTCTAGAATTAGGTAATTCTGCTATGAAAGAAACAGCATATACTGAATGTATGATCAACACCATGTAAATAAACAGGCATTTTAAAGTACATATATTTCACTGAGCTTTCAAAAGAATGGTATGCTGATCTGAGAATAAACTCAGAAGACATATACCACTTGATTTTTATCACAATTTCCTATTGCCACATATGTGCTTTATCATCACGTAAGTCATTCTTTTTGCCTATCTTTTGTACCTAGGTAGGACATCTACATTTCCCCCTTGGAAGTGTTCATTAAAATTTTATTATGGAAAATTGAGTTTTACAAATTAAATCTCTCTCTGTGGGCTTAGTTTCATTTTAGATGAAACTTACACAACTGGGGTTTAGGCCTTACTTCTAACTTCTGCTCCCAATCTATCAAATAATAATGACTCCTAAATAAAGAATAAAAATGCACTAAAAAAACACTTATGTCAAGTAACATGGGCATTATTTAAAATGGGAATGAGCTCAGTCTGCTCTTGTACATTTTCATTTAAAAAGAGAGTCAGAGGGCGCCTGGGTGGCTCAGTTGGGTAAGCAACTGCCTTCAGCTCAGGTCAGGATCCTGGAGTCCCAGGATCGAGTCCCGCATCGGGCTCCCTGCTCAGCGGGGAGCCTGCTTCTCCCTCTGACCTTCCCCCCTCTCCTGCTCTCTCTCTCATTCTCTCTCTCAAATAAATAAATAAATCTTAAAAAAAAAACTATTAAAAAATAAAAAGAGAGTCAGAGGGTGCCTGGGTGGCTTAGTCGTTAAGCATCTGCCTCCTTTGGCTCAGGTCATGATCCCAAGGTCCTGGGATTGAGCCCCACGTCGAGCCCGAGCCCGTCGGGCTCCCTGCTCTGCGGGAAGCCTGCTTCTCCCTCTCCCACTTCCCCTGCTGTGTTCCCTCTCTCACTGTGCCTCCCTCTGTCAAATAAATAAATAAAATCTTTAAAAAATAAATAAATAAAAATAAAAGGAGAGTCAGAGACAGGGCACCTGGCTGGCTCAGCCAGTGGAGCGTGCAACTCTTGATCTCAGGGGTCGTGAGTTCAAGCCCCACACTGGGTGCAGAGTTTACTTAAAAAAAAATAATAATTTTTGTGGGGCGCCTGGGTGGCTCAGTCATAGGGCATCTGCCTTCGGCTCAGGTCATGATCCCAGGGTCCTGGGATCGAGCCCTGCATCGGGCTCCCTGCTCCGCGGGAAGCCTGCTTCTCCCTCTCCCACTCCCCCTGCTTGTGTTCCCTCTCTCGCTATGTCTCTCTCTGTCAAATAATAAATAAAATCTTTAAAAATAATTATTTTAAAAACTAAAAAAAAAACAAAAACAAAAAACAGAGTCAGAGGTCAGCTCTGTCAAAATGGCACTGTTGATGCAACCAGAACATCATCATCAGTTAAGATTTTTCTAGGTGCTAGTATTTTTCATTAGTCACAGCACTTTAATGCCATAGAAATAACTTCTCTGATTTACAGTTTAAATCAAAAGAAAATACAAGTGACATCCAATAAAGAAAAGTGACAAACCCACTTTTCTTGTTTTGAAAATCACCAGGTGCAGGTGCTTCTGTGGTTGTTTATACTTCTTGCTTGAACTCTGACAGGATTGTCTAATTGCTACTCAGAAGAGAACAAATTATAATCTAGTCTGTTTAGGAGGGTCATTGTTAGAAGCAGAAATTGTTTCAAAGAGGGATAAAAATAGGTTTATGCAACCCTCCTCTCTTACCTCCCTCCAAAAACCCCCCCCAAAAAAACAAAAAAACCTGGTCTTTTTAAGAATAAAGGGGAGATATTATGCAGACCAAAAAAATTCTTCCTCGCTGAGGGAAAACAAAAACAACAGCTACTCTTTATTTTTTTTTTTAAGATTTTATTTATTTATTTGAGAGAGAGAGCGCACATGAGAGGGGGGAGGGTCAGAGGGAGAAGCAGACTCCCTGCTGAGCAGGGAGCTCGAGGTGGGACTCGATCCAGGGACTCCAGGATCATGACCTGAGCTGAAGGCAGTCGCTTAACCAACTGAGCCACCCAGGCGCCCAACAGCCACTCTTTATTAATGCTTACCATCTGCTAGGCATTTTACACTCATGATTTCATTTAATCCTCCCAACCCCATGACAGGTATGATTACATCTATTTAACAGATAAGGAAACTCTGCTTTATGAGGTTAAGTATTTAAAAATTTGCCAAAGACCCACAATCTATAATGCATGGAAGTGGAATTTCAACCCATGTCTAATTGAAAAGCCCAAGTTTCTAACCCTGATAAATCAGTACAGTTTTGGTACAAGAGTAACTTTCTGGTATGTACAAATATGTACTTCAAGCTGTACCAACAGTGCTATTTTGAAACTGTTATCTTGTTCACTGCTGGCACAGGGTAGACGCTCAATAAATACCTGTTAAATGAATAAATGAACTGTACTCTGACCCTTTAAGTGATTTATAAAATCAATAAATTAGGTGTCAAGCAAGTCCCATTTTAATAGAAAGGGAAATAATAAAAGCATTAAGCAACTTTGCAGATTTTTAACACTCAGCAATTTTTTTACTTAGCATCTACTAGGTACCAAGGAAGGTGCCAAACACTGGTAATATAAGGATAAAAAAATATATATAGTCCCTATCCTGGGCATCAAGAAAAGAGGTAAATTATAACTCAACATGGTAAGTGCTCTCAAAGAGAGATCCACAAGATCACATGCAATCAACTCAGCCTGCCATGGACTGAGAATGGTTTCACCAAGTACCTGGCACGCAAGCAAAGTCATACAGGAAAAAACTGTTTTCCAAGCAAAGAAGGGTAGAGGAGGAAGTAGAAAAGGAAGGCCCTTCCATGCAGAAGCTTGGAGTTGTGTAGGGACTTCTCAAAGTTCCATGTGGCAAAAGCTCTGTGTGCAAGCGCATGTATGTGTGAACATGCATATGTATGGCAATTTGGAGAGAAGAGGAGGTAATAAGAGGTAAGACTAGAAAAGGGAGGTTGACCTCAGGATAGGTTTCTGGTCTCCCAAAACTAAGAGGTTTGGATTTTATCCTGTAAGGAACAGAGCTAAAAGATTTTAAAGCACCTATGTTTTAGAAAACTGGCAGCACACAGAAAATGGAAATGGAGTACGGAGAAATGGGTGACAGGATGGGAAGGAGAAAGTGCATGGGAGGGGGGGTTCTGAACTCAAGGAAACGGGTAAAAAAGGAAAGGACGAATATAAGAAACAATTCTGGCAGAGAATGAACAAGATTTGGTGACCAACTGGAAACAGGAAATGGAAAAGAGGCAAAACAAAGGTGACAACGATTTCTAGTTCAGCAGATTGGGGAGATGATGAAACCATTAAGAATGAGAATACAGGAGTACATTTGACAGGAAGAACAAATGCATTCCACCTTAAGCCCATAGGACAGTCAGGTGGGGGGGGGGCATCATATTTTCTAGGAATAGCCAACTGTTTTCCCCTACCTAGGCTACAAGGAGAGACTAGTCATTTTCCATGTCAACCAGCTCTTTTCTGTTCTAAATTTCAAGGTCACACGATCCTTTACCGAACACAGGGAGGGAGAATCCCTTTCACTCTCATCCCCAACCTGTCCCACCTAATGCAACTCCCACCCAAGGTGTACTCCAAGCAGTAAAATGGATTTCAGCAGCTCTCCAATGCTTTTCCTTTCTAAAGACAGAAATTCTAAATATACTTTTTTTCCTCAAACTATGTTTCTCTACTTCAACCCAATAAACTGGAAGTTTCAATTATATCAGGATAAAAAAATAAACCAGGATGCTAATTAATTTATAAGAAATAAAATTATCCAAGGAAGTGCTCTCATCCAAAAGAGCAGCCCATCGTCTCTGGGGAGGCAGACTTCCACTGAAATTAAAGTACTCTTGGGGCGCCTGGGTGGCTCAGTCGTTAAGTGTCTGCCTTCGGCTCAGGTCATGATCCCAGGGTCCTGGGATCAAGCCCCGCATCGGGCTCCCTGCTCCGCGGGAAGCCTGCTTCTCCCTCTCCGACTCCCCCTGCTTGTGTTCCCTCTCTCGCTGTCTCTCTCTCTGTCAAATAAATAAATAAAATCTCTTTAAAAAAAAGAAATTAAAGTACTCTTTAATTAATAAAGAACTCTTTAGATCTAAATACTACTTGCGGAAAGAAATGTCAAGAAATCAAAATATTAACGTAACTATTACTATGTAACTCTGGGTCACTATTCATTAGTAAAACAAAACAAGGACTTCAAAAATGAGTGAAAGTTGCTATGGATTGGTAGAGTATCTTCCTTGTTTTATTGTCGAAATGTGGGTAGAATGGGCAATTAGGCACAAAAATACATTTCAGCTGGAACGCTGTGTCACCAGAATAAGCAAAAACATAACTAACAGGAAAAACTTATAGCCATGTTTAACAATATATTCAAGTCAGAAAGGGCTTAAGATTCACTAAATATTTTAATGAGTTGTTTCAACTGTTACAAAACTCGAGGCAAAAAAGTAACTGTGTCACGCACAGATACTTTTTAATTGTGTCAGTATAAAGGAAAAGGATCAAAATCAGATCCGCCCCCAAGCTAAAGGCAAAGTAAGCGGTGGGCGTGGAAGAACCAAACAAAAATAAACTACTCGATGTAGGAGCGGTTTCCCTCCATTCTGAGATACCCACAGTATTCAATGGAAGAAGAACCAGAACTCTTCCCCGGACCCCAGTGTCTTTCATCAGAGAAAATCTGTTAAGAAGAGGCCAAAGAAGTATAACGAAAAAAGGGAGGACTGACACTCCCGACGGATGTAAGTGGGAACCGATCGGGGCGCTCCCAGGGTCCCAGAAAAGCACTCCCTCCCATCGCTCCAGCTGTTACCTTCCACTTCCTCCGTGCCCTCCATTAGCATATCCTTTGTAAAATTTGAAATCTGGTCAGTGAGGGAAGCCAGGCTGCCTCCGACTTGACCCAGAGACTGGCCCAAGCCGGAGCCGAGGCCCCCAAGCCAGGACGACATCGCTGCGGTTTAGAGAACGCGATGGTCCGCTCCGAGAAAATCGTCCAGCGTCGTCGGACGATCCAGCCAAAGCTCCTCGAACCGCTGCCTTCACGGGACCAATCCAAATCAAAACACTCAAGATTCGGTAACACAATGGGGTTCCTAGGCAACGCCGGCTTCGGGGGGCTCCCACCAACTGCCGGACTCTGCCTAGAAACGCAGAGGCCTGACCTGGGACGTTACCAGGGGCCCGTCTCCAGTGCCACTGTCAGCCCCGCGAGGCCTCTGCTCATTCCCACGACTTCCCAACGTCCAGGTTGGGCCACTTCTTCCCCTGTTTTAGTGACTTTCCCCAGCCCCGAGGGCAACTCCTGCCAACTCGACGCCGGCCGCCATGACACCCACTAAGAACGCGGCGACAGATCATAGAGAGGCGCCGCGCTGGCGTAGACGGGCTCTGCGGAGCTGCCGGACGTGTCCTTGGCGCAAGGGAGCATGGGATAGCGGAGGACCGAGAGCGGCGGCCTGAGGCCGCATACGTCCTGCGCAGGGGCAAGGTCAGCCTCCACGTAGCGCGCCGGCTTTGGTCTTTGAGGGAGCGGTCTCCAGAGCCAGGGGTGACGCGGCGGTTCCCGCCTGCGGCACTTGCCGTTCGGGCAGAGCCGTTCGTCAGTGGGTGCCTCTGGAAGCCGGCGTGGCCCGGGAAGCCCCTGAACCCTCACGGTGTCGGTGAAACCTGAGTGTTTAATTCTGACTACACGCGCAGCCGGCGGCGCAAGGGCACTTGGCAGGGTCGCTGCACTGCGCAGCAAGCGGTTTTACTTATCACAGTTTCGGTGTTGATTCTGCAACAGCCTGTCGGGCTGCTCTGTGCCCAACACTACGGTAGGAGCTCGGGATTCACAGAAAGGATGGGCTGCAAACTCGTGTCCAGGCAGGAAACACACGTTGGTTACTTTCTGTAGTATTTTTCCTGGTGGCTTTACAGCTCATAGTTGAAACCCTGCCTTCTCTGATATACCAAGAGCTTTGTTCATGAAGCCGATATAACCCATGAAGTTAAAGCATAGACCACCTTAAAAAAAAAAAAAAAACTCATTACAGGACAGCAGGACAACTTATTATGAAGAAATGCTGTTCTAAAAGAAACTCTCCTATGGTGTTGGTGGCACTAACTGTGCAAGTGCCCACCCCTCTCCCAGTCCTGTTACACGAGTGGGTGCACACAGCAGAGTGTCCTGCGAGGAAGAAAGGTCACATGACTTACAAGTACTTGCTGCAATGGTCTGGGAATGCATTACCCGGCCAGAGAGACTATCACGTTTTTTGCTTTAAATAAAAAGAATAGGTCTGCAGTCCTTTTAAGCATAGCACTACATATACTGGCCTCTTTCTCTTTGATTTTGTTTACAGGAGGGGTCACCGCAGATTACACTATTTGTGACTGGAACATTGGGAATGCCTCCACTGTTTAGAATCTGATGGCACCAGGCAATAGCAGCTCTCCCTGAAATCTGAATGCTTTTAAGAAGAAAATTGCATCCCATTCTGGAAGTGTTTATTAAATGTTTTATTTGTAAGACATCAGTGCCCAAGGGTTAGATGTGCAGACTCCAGGCCCTGACTGCCTGGAGCTGTTACTTATTAGCTGTACGACCTTGGGTGGGTTACTTAACCTCTCTGCGCATCAGTTTCTTTTTTGTAAAACGGAAAATGATAATAATAGTGTCTACTGGGTGGGGTCGTTAGGAGGATTAAATAGGGTAATATTTTTAAGTGCTTGGAACAGTGCCTGGTACCTGGTGAGTTCTATTTAAGTGTTTGTAAAGTTTCAAAAATGTGGCATACAGATGACCTGCAAGTTGATGTGTCTACCGTTATTCTGGGCATTGGGAGTACAGCAGGAGAAAAAAAAACCATGTAGTCCCTGGTCTCATGGAGCTTGCATTCTACTGGGAAGGGACAGATGATAAATAAAGTGTAATAAATATAGACAAGGAGTGACGACTGCTTGGAGGAAAAAAACACAGGGTCAGGATCATATGGAAAAGATAGGAGAGGGCACTTGTTATAGGAGGTAGTCAGGGAAGGCCTCACTGATAAGGTGATACTTGAACAGATACTCGAAGGAATTAAGAGAATGAGATATGTCAGGGCACCTGGCTGGCTCAGTCGGTGGAGCATGTGACTCTTGATTTCAAGGTTGTGAGTTTAAGCTCCACATTGGGTCTAGCGCTTGCTTAGGGGGGAAAAAGTGAGATATGTGGGTATATATGGAAAAGAGCAGTACAGGCAGAAAGAAACAGCTGCTGCAAAGGTCCTGAAGCAGGAGGAGGGTCCTTGGCAGGTTAGAGGATTAGCAAAAAGGCAGTGATGGCTGGAGCAGAGTGGGGTGAGGAAGGGTGATTAAGTGATGAGGACAAAAGAGTGGGAGAGCACCGATCACATAGGGCCTGGTAGGCCGTATTGTAAGGGCTCTGGCGTTTACTGAGTAGGATGGAGCACTACTAGCAGAGGGGAAAACTGCTTTGAACAGAGGAGTCACATAAACGTGGGACCTAACTGGGTTTCTGGACCATAGTGAAAAGTTTAGCTAGTGTAAATCAAGCTTTTATTGCCTACAGCTGTAAATTCTCTGGCGCACCATCCTATAAATTCATGTCATGCCATAAAGATACTGAAATTAATGAAGAAAACAAACACAATTCCATGCCTTTACATCATTTTTTAAAAAGACTTTATTTATTTGTGAGAGAGAATGAGAGAGAGCAGGGTCAGAAGGAGAAGCAGACTCCCCGCCGAGCAGGGAGCCCGATGTGGGGATCGATCCCGCGACTCCAGGATCATGACCTGAGCCGAAGGCAGTCGTCCAACCAACTGAGCCACCCAGGTGCCCGCCTTTACATCATTTTTAAAGTAACATAAAAAGCTATGTCCTAAAAGTTCCTTTTGGGGTATTTTTTTTTTTTCCTCTGGGATGAACTATGGCCCAAGAGACTTAAAGAATGATTCTGATAAATAACATGATGTTTGGGATGTGCTTCAAAATAATGGGAGCAGAGTAGATGAAACAGGAATTGCCAGGAATTGATCATTGTTGAAGCTGGGTACATAGAGGTTCATTATACTAGTCTTTTACTTATGCATATATTTGAAATTTTTTATAATAAAAAGTTAAAAGACATCCAAGTTTGATGAAGGTTGGGCTGAAGATCTCCTTTTCCTGCCAAATATCCCTGTAGCTAACATGGATGTTCATTATCACATAATGAGTAGCAAAACCAGCCCTGCACAATCAAACATTTCACATCAAAAAGAACCTATGAATCTGAGTGGCTCCAGGGGATGGGATCTAAGCTGCCTAGCTGGAATTCTGAACCTAGGATTTTTTTAAAGAGAGATCCAGCACACTATGGCGGGGGTGGGGGCAGGGGGCTCAGAGGCAGGGAGAGAGAATCTTAAGCAGGCTCCATGCCTATCACAGAGCCCCATGTGGGGCTGTCTCATGACCCTGAAATCATAACCTGGGCTGAAACCAAGAGTCACACACTTATATGACTGAGCCACCCAGGCGCCCCATGAACCTAGGATTTTTGAAACCTCAATAGCTAGAAACAAAAAAAGCAAACAAAAATATTATTGGCTGGAACCTGGTTTCTGTTTCTCAAGTGGTGGGATCAATACTTCTCCAGAAAAAAACAGTTCCTTTCTTGTGAGAAAACTGTCTAAATGGGTTTATTTATGCAAGGGTAAAGCAAAAAAAAAAAAAAAGTTTTATTTTTTAAGATTTTATTTATTTATTTGACAGAGAGAGACATAGCGAGAGCAGGAACACAAGCAGTGGGGGGTGGGAGAGGGAGAAGCAGGCTTCCCTCTGAGCAGGGAGCCCGATGTGGGGCTTGATCCCAGGACTCTGGGATCATGACCTGAGCCAAAGGCAGACGCTTAACGACTGAGCCACCCAGGTGCCCCCATTTTGTTTTATTTTAAAGATTTTATTTATTTATCTACTTATTTATTTATTTATCAGAGAGAGAGAGCACAAGCAGGGGGAGCGGCAGGCAGAGGGAGAAGCAGGCTCTCCGCTGAGCGGGGAGCCTGATGTGGGGCTCGATCCCAAGACCCTGGGCTCATGACCTGAGCAGAAGGCAGATGCTTAGCTGATTGAGCCACCCAGGTGCCCCTGATGCTCTGAAACGTGTTAATGATGTGTTTTGCGATGGGCTGTTTGTAGTTTCATTCATTATGCTGGGCATTCTGCAAACGCTTTCAAAAACCATGTCTTTTAGTTCTGCAAATTATTTGAAAGGGTGTTTTTGCTTGTTTGTTTTTAAAGATTTTATTTATTTATTTGAAAGAGAGAGAATGAGAGATAGCACGAGAGGGAAGAGGGTCAGAGGGAGAAGCAGACTCCCCACTGAGCAGGGAGCCCAATGTGGGACTCGATCCCAGGACTCCGGGATCATGACCTGAGCCGAAGGCAGTCGCTTAACCAACTGAGCCACTCAGGCACCTGTTTGTTTTTTAATTGATGAATGCCTCCTCTCTGGGGAATCTGCTCTTTTCAGAGATTTGTAATCAGTCCTCTTGATTTCAGTCCACATCTCACCCCCACCTTCCAAGATAGTTGTTGCTTTCGTTTCCTGTTTGCTATTGGGTGTGCTTCTCTTCAACACAATATTCAGCTTCCTCAGCTCTGCTCGCTCCTGTACAGACTTTCCATCTTTGCCCAAAACGCTACATCTTGCTTCTGCTGTTGCCTCGCTTAGCAGTGGCTAATCGTTCCCCGGAGTCTGATCTCCCCTTCGTGCACAGTTATTGAACCCTAACTTTTTGCCTGGATGCACGGTAGAGCAGAAAATGCCAGGGCCCCCTCCTGATCCCTTCATTCCTTTACCACTTTTGTGCACACCTTTTCTTGGGGTCCTTTCACTTTCAACGGGTGTTCCTGTCTGGCAGAGGACTGCCTTCAGGCTCCCAGAGCCCACACTGCCTGTGTGCCCAGAGATGCGGAAACAACCTTGTTTAGTAGAATTTAAAATGATGCAGCTCCCCTGCCCACGTTGTAACAACTCCAAGATGTGAATATACTGTGTGCAGCCGGACCTGTCTGCAGGATTGAGGCTTTGCTTATTGTTATACCCTTGCTTGGCTTCCTTTCCTTATTCCACTTTCTTACCCCACCATGCCCCTTCCCTTACTTCCTGGAAATACTTTTTATTTTTTTAAGATTTTAGTTATTTGAGAGAAAGAGTGCACGAGTAGGGGTAGGGGCAGAGGGAGCAGGAGAAGCAAGACTCCCTGCTGACTGGAGAGCCCAATGTGGGTCTTGATGCGGGGTTCAATGGGGGGCTCAATCCTGGGACCCTGAGATCGTGACCTGAAATGAAGTCAGACGCTTAACTGACTGAGCCACCCAGGTGCCCCTGAAAACACGTTTTAAAAAATTTTCACAGGAGGGCGCCTGGGTGGCTCGGTTGGTTAAGCGACTGCCTTCGGCTCAGGTCATGATCCTGGAGTCCCGGGATCGAGTCCCGCATCGGGCTCCGTGCTCAGCGGGGAGTCTGCTTCTCCCTCTGACCCTCTTCCCTCTCATGCTCTCTATCTCTCATTTTCTCTCTCAAATAAATAAATAAATAAATCTTTAAAAAAAAATTTTTTTCACAGGAATCCTCATCTTGGGGTCTGCCTCTAGGATGCCCAAGCTAAGACTCATGACCACCCAGAATAAAAACCATTTTATAGCTGGGAGTGGCCATGTGATTCAGTTCTGGCCCATGTAAATATAAGTGGAAATGGCATATGCAACTTCAAGGAGGTAACCTTAAAGAAAAGGCACATGGGGGCACCTGGCTGGCTCACTCAGTAGAGCATGTGACGCTTGATCTCAGGGTCGTGAATTCGAGCCCCACTTTAGGCTATAGATATTACTTTAAAAAAAAAGGGCGGGCACATGGCCTTCTTCCATCCTCCTTTTGCTTTCTGACTGTTGGGATGCAGATGTAATCATGGGCTCCGCAGCAGCTTTCTTGAACCATGAATTGATCTTAGCAATGAAGCCATCCATGTAAAGGAAGAATACAGAGAGCAGATTCTTTTAAAGTTTTTTTTAAAATTTATTTATTTGAGAGAGACACGGAGATATTGATAGAGAGCACGAGCTGGGGAGGAGAGGGAGAAGCAGGCTTCCTGCTGAGCAGGGAGCCTGACATGGAACTCGATTCCAGGACCCTGAGATCATGACCTGAGCCAAAGGCAGACACTTAACCGACTGAGCCACCTAGGTGCCCCCAGAAAGCAGATTCTTAAAAAAAAAAAAAAAAAAAAAAAATCTTTGTGTGATGCCCAATCAGCTCTGATTTCCTTAAGATGAGAGAGAAAAAACTTAGAGCTTATAAAGTCATATATTAAGTTTTTCTAGGACAACCAAATCTAAAGGCTGAAGTCTAAGTGAAGAGCTATGATATTGTTGCTCATGCTTCTATAATATGATGGTGTCCTGGACAAAAAGGGGCTGAGAGAGACAGAAGGAGAATAACTGGGAGATATCTGGATATTAATCTCTACAGTTGATGATGTGGATTAACAACCAAAATATGCTGAGATTTCAAAATGGAAGTATAATCGTCTGATAGTGATGAAAACAATTGCAGAGATATAAGAGGAAGAAAAACAAAAAGCACAATTGGGGAGTGGGAGCCTTGCCTGAAATCCTGATCTGAGGAATGTTAAGCAGTGTCTTTAATGCTAAAAATAACAGCCAGTTTTTTGGGTTGCTTAAGGTGAGCACTGGCATGCTCTTTGTTAGATGTAGTTACTAACCTTTTAAAAGATTATTTTTTCGGGGGCGCCTGGGTAGTTCAGTCAGTTAAGTGTCTGACTCTTGATTTCAGCTCAGGTCATGATCTCAGGGTTGGGGGGATTGAGCCCCGAGTCGGGCTCCGTGCTCAGCTGGGTGTCTCCTTGAGATTCATTGTCTCCCTCTGCTCATGCTCATGCAGGCACACACCTCTCTCTCTCTCTCGCTCTCTCTCTCAAATAAAGCCTTAAATTTTTTTTTAAAAGTCTTGGGAATATTCTAGAAAGAAGTGGGGAATATTTTAGAAAATGGAAGCAGATGTCTTGGTATAATGGCAAAAAAATACCATACACACTTATCTGTATTTATAAAAGCTTACATAAATTGTCTGCATCCTAATTCCGTCCTTCTTCACTACCTGGTAGCCTCTTTCAGCCTTCTCTCTGTTCCCCTGACACAAGCAGCCACCCCTCATCTCAGAGCTGCTGTGCTTGCTGTTTCCTCAGGCCGGTATCATGCCCCTCACCTCTGCATGGCTGCCTCATTTTTCAGGTGTCGGTGTGAAGGTCACCTCTGCAGAGGCCTTTCTTTTTTTTTTTTTTTAAGATTTTATTTATTTATTTGAGACAGAGAGAATGAGAGAGAGAGAGCACATGAGAGGGGGGAGGGTCAGAGGGAGAAGCAGACTCCCCGCCGAGTGGGGAGCCCGATGCGGGACTCGATCCAGGGACTCCAGGATCATGACCCGAGCCGAAGGCAGTCGCCCAACCAACTGAGCCACCCAGGCGCCCTGCAGAGGCCTTTCTTGAATCCAGTACAAAAACGGCTCTCCCTCTCAATCACACTCCATTACATCATCCTGTTTGTCTTCTATCTCACAGAACAAGCACAGTTCTTTACGTGTTATGAAGTTATGTTCCTTAAAGGTCTCCTCTGTGTAACAGCCAACCAGAATGCAAGGAGCATGAGAGCAAGGTATCTTATTCATGACTCTGTTTCCAAGGACCCCGAACCATGCCTGCGCTCAAATGTTTTGTTGAATGAGTGAATGAATGCCACAGTTGTTTTTCTCTAGCAGCCCAAGACAGGGTGGCAGTGGGTTCCCAACACAGAAAGAACTGGAACAATGGTGGGGGAGAACAGGGCACAGCAAAGGGTGTTAGTCCAGTTGAAAGAGTCCTCCCAGCAGGGGATGGCCAACAAACTTCTGGGGCTGGGATACCAAAAGAGAGAAGGGAAGGGGGTGAGGAGAATGTGAGGGAGTACCTGGGGGTGGGAAAGACCCGCAAGGAGGCCTGCTAGGACCACAGTGTGTAAAAGGGGACGTGTCAAGAGAACAGGGCAGCCTGACCCAAATTACTTAAAAAATGAACTTTTGAGCATTTGGTGACACAGATACAAAATGGTTAAAGGGTCCTCAAACATGCAAATCTTCAGGATAAAGACAACCCTCAAATTCCCTTTTACAAAAGATAAAGTTTTTAGCTAAAAGTTTTTAGCCATATAAAATGGTCCTTCGAATCAACTTATATTTCACGGGGCCCACAGGTAGGTGTTGATGAGATCAGAGCCATTTGGTGCCATTCAAAATCAATGAAATGGTCCTTTTAAAGCATTAAGTTACGAGGTTTTGCTAAGAAGATTCATGTAATCAATTTGAAAATTTTATATTTCAATATTTGTGCCCAATCATAATTAAGGATAAAATGGATATACAACCCTCATTATGATCTGAGGATTCTAGAATCCCATCAGTCCAAGTGGATTCCAATTACTGCAGTTGGATTCTGGTGTCCAGAGTTGGATGAGGAAAAAACAGCACTCATAAAAATTGTTACCGACATGGGATGCCTGGGTGGCTTAGTGGTTACACGTCTGCCTTTGGCTCAGGTCGTGATCCTGGGGTCCTGGGATCGAGCCCCGCATCGGGCTCCCTGCTCTGCAGGAAGCCTGCTTCTCCCTCTGACCCTCTTCCCTCTTGTGCTGTCTCTCATTCTCTCTCAAATAAATAAAATCTTAAAAAAAAATCAAATTTCAAGTAAAAATTTGGACTTAGTGTCTCTTAGAAAAAAGATGAGAGGTTCCAGTAATAATGGGTCCTTGGGCAGCCGTGAGCTCGAATGGAGTTATCAATGCTCCCGCCCATTTTACTCATCACTTGCAGCCCATAAAGCCATGCCTCTCAAACTTGAATCTGCATGTGAACTCCCTGGGGGTCTTATTAAAAATGCAGGTCCTGAGCCAGTAGGTGTGCCCTGAAGCTCTGGAACATTTCTGAAAAGCTCTCAGGTGGTTGCAGAGGCTGCTGGTCTTCCCACCATCCTTTGCGTAGCAAGGCGAGGAATTAACAGTCAATACAAATAAAAACAGAAATAAAAAAGCAAACATTATCTTTATTTAATAATCTTTGATATTTAAAATACAACTCATGGAACATCCACATTAACAATAGAATCCTCAGTGTTCAACAGTGCTTTGGAAGCCCGGCTTTTCTACGGACCAGAGAGGAAGGCCTGTGTGTGTAGTAACCGCAACAGAACTTGGAGGGGGGCACACACGGAGAGGGCTGCAGAGTTGGGTCCTGAGCAAATGGCACTGCCACAGAGCACTGGTGTCATGGCCAAAAGACAATGCTCTTTCAGGTGTTTTTCGTACTTGAATTTCAAATAGTTTATACAGAATAGTAATTTTTACAAAGTTCTTTCTAGTAGTCCAGTGTTATAGAAATTAATTTTTCACATTCAAATGTATATTTTTCTCTTTAAAAAAATTTTAAAAAGCTCCTGGAGACATTCGCCTTTGATCTATGCAAGAAACAGGTGAAGTGCTTCCTAAACGAATTAGGAATATTCACATATATTTCACTATTGCTTCCCATTCCTTGTCTGTGAATCCATAGTTTTAATTAAAATATTTACTGATACACTATTGTTAATTCAACATGCCAATTACTGTAAACTTAGAAATTATGTTACTAGCATCAATTTTTAAAATGTCAGAACATTTTGGAAAAAAAATAGCAAAGATTTTCTTCAAATTAAAAAAAAGTCAAAATTCAAGAATTAACCATGTCAATAATCTTTTCATTCATAAAAGTAAAATGGAACAAAGCGTTTTCCCTAATATAAGACTTAATACAAGCCAGTTCATCTTTTTAGCAAAAGAAGCTGATTCATAAAGGGACCAGGAATAAAGGAAAGTTTTTCTTTTGAAAATATGAAAAATTATTGACACTGCTGAAATGATTAGGTGATCCAATCTGTTTTTCTTAATTAAGATCACATATATAATATCTCCATAGTTGTTAGGGCCCAGATACAACAAACTATTTACTTTCAGGGCAGTGGTCATTGGGCTCTCCAGCTGCACATAAAGTTTTAAATAGGAAGTCATCAATATTAATTATTGAGTTCTCTTGAGAATTTAAAAACATTGAGATTTATTTCAACTGGAGATATTTTAATTTCTGTCACTATATTTTGCTTATGCCCTGACTCAATCTTCTTTAAATTTGCATGGGACCAATAGGCCAATTTTAAGACATTTAATAAATCTTGGCACTAGCATGATACTATTTAAAAAGAGTATCAGACATGCAGACATTCAAAATGTGATTTAGGCTCTGACAGGAATAAAATTTACTTTATTCAACTTAATATTAAATGAAAAAAACACAGACTATTGGTAGTTTTGAACTTTTTTCCTTACTAACTTTGGCATGAATAAAGTCTTAATTAAGGAAAATAAAGTTTTAAAGAAAGAAAAAAGCACCTCCTTAAATATTCTGGACTGTAAATTATTTGACCAAGATCTTAAAAGTTTAAATAGTTTACCTGCAGCAATCTTTTCAATTTACATTACTGAAATATTTGTATGTGAATTACTGTAAAAAATGTTTGATGGTTTTAGAGCAGAGGTTAACTACTGTTAATTTCTTTTAACTACTGTGAATTTTTAAAACATAAATAACTACTTATTATATCCATGGCATCTCAAAATATGAAAGTGGTGTTTCCAAAACTTGTTTAAACGCTAGCATCACCACTGTACGTATTTTATCCTGGTAACACAATTTATACATTAGAAAAATGACACCAACAGTTTAAATATTAAACATTAAGGTGTTCCCAATTGGTGAAACAGAATGGAATTCTTTATATAGAGTTCTTAGCAGACAGTTATCGTGAATTTCATTGTTTCTAACTTTCTTGCAGGTTGTTTACAGTAAATAACAGTTCCTGATGTGTGAACTATACCTTTGTATAACTAAGTTTTCTGATACTGTAGTTATGAGCATTGGCATCTCTTCATACTGGCCAATGAATTAAGGAATGGAATCTAAATTAAGTTTAAGCCAATCCAAACAAGTTGGCAGTTCTCTAGTCATTCTGGGTCGGCCTGCCAAATGCAACATTCATAAGAAATTAAATAAACACATTCAAATGTATCCAGTGTGTGCTCAGCTCTGCTGTAAAAAAAAAAAAAAAAAAAAATCCCTAAGTGAAGGTCAACATGCCATATTTCCTTAAGTGCTTTAATAAAGGCGTGTAATATAAGAACTTTATAAACTCTAAGGTTAAAACTTTCAAATGCATATTTCTTTTCTCATTTTTATATTAGGTAACTCATCCATTCAAGTGTATGAAAAATTTAATGTAATTTTTCAATGGGACAAGGTAAAAACTAATATCCATGGAAAATAGGACAAGCATATTGGGGACAACTACAGAAAAGTTCAATCTTAAAATATTTTGGTTTATAAATCTTGAGGGAGCAGTACTAAACTCCAACATCCCTTGCAATTCTAAAGTTTTAGAACTCTTCTGAAACATTTTCGATTCTCAAAAGAAAACTTTAGATTTTAAAGTGGTCTACTTTTGCAAGGGAAACTTCAGAAAATGTTATTTGGCACAAAATAATGACTAAAAAAAAATCTGTCTCTATCCAAAAAAAAAAAAGCTATATCATAATCATAAAAGGCATTTTTTCATCTCTTTTCACCTCGGCAATAAATCCTAGGTCAAAAAAACTTCCCTGATAAAATGTGTACAGCCATACACTAGTCATGGCAACACATCATACTTTAATTTTCTATGTTGTTGGCTGAAATTTCCTAACTTTTAGCTTATGAACAATTCAACATTCCAAACGGCTTCAAAGGGCGTGGAGAATGAGGGATGGGAAATCAGTGACAGAATCCGAAATGTCCATCTCAGAGAGACATAGTTAATTTTCACCAAAATCATACCACTGTATCAACCCAGCAAGAAACTCTCTGTGTATCCCAATTAAAGAATGTATATCAAAACTAAAGGCTTTATTTACAGACCCATTAAGTACTGTGTGACTTCTGTAATTCTTAAGCTACTTAAACATGATGTGAGTGTCAAAACACAGTATAAATGTAAATGTACTTTTGTTAGTAGATTATTTTCATGTTCCAGAGCATCATCTCTGGTGAGTGATACCTACTACAAGATACGCAGAAGCAGACATCTACGTTCCGTGACTCCACCGTAACCAGACAAGAGAGAATAAAATGAAGCTGCCGCTAAATCGAAAGCCAAATTTTGTCTCTTATACATTCATGGTGGGTATTATTTGTTAAGTCTGACACAGAAGGAAACTTGCTTGCATACTGTGCTTCTCCTATTTTTCTCAACTGGAGAAAAGGAAATATCAAGGTGCAGGAGAAAAGGTCTCAGCAGAGCTGTGACGGTCTAACATAACTGAGAAGACATTCATAAAACATCTGGAAAAGGATGTGCTCACACATTAAAAAAAAATTCTCATTTATTCTCAAATACTTGTGCAGAGTTGATTTCAGAGTTTCAGAATGCACCAGTATCATGAACTAATGATCCCATCTTAGAGGGCTTCAAAAAGCAAAACCTCAAGAAAGATTACCATCTTTCAAAAGAGCTGTAGAAAAGTAAGGAAAACCAAGTAGCAAAGAAATTGTGATCAGAGAAATAACATGAGAAAACATCCAAGGGCAAGCCACATAACTGGAAGGAAAGCAGCGAATCCTCCTGGAACCGTTACTACTATCAACACAGAAAAGAGACACTGTCCTAAATGGTTAACTTGCTTAATGAGAAAGAAAAGCAACTATGAGATGACGGAAAGTGAGTCAAGCAACCCGAACAGAAAGGATGAGAAGAACATGTATGGAAAAAGTTCTGTGGCAAGAGCTAATTAGTTGGTCTGCAAAAAGATCCAAGAAAAATGCCCTAATTTTAGACATGTTAGATATTGCACACTCAAAAAGAAAAAGGAACATTTAGAAAACTATTTTAAATTTCTTTAATTGCTAAATGCCTCTTTGGCTAGTCTTTGTGGAGGATCACTATTTAGTCCTACAATTGACTCATTTTTCCACTTTCTCATCTTTTTGTTGCAAACCACCTAAAAGTCTTATCTCCTCTGTTGAACATTGTTTGACACATTACTAAAATGGACCCTCTATGCTGTAACCACACAGAATAATAATGTTGGAAAGTATGAATAAATGATTTGTAAAAGGTATTATTTTTTCCCATCTGTTTTGAAATTATTTCTAACAGTTTCTAAAGACATGGTCACAGCTGCCTGAAGCATGTCTTCTTCACTCATAGCATCTCCTGTTGGGAAAGAAAACAAGTATCTCAGACATTTCTGGAAAATTCTTAAAGTCATCAAAAGGTAAGCTCTTAGAAAATGTATGTTTAACTACTATAGCTTCCTTTTTTGATTTTTAAAACTTACATAAAGCAACATGCCCTCTTTTACAGTTTTTTAAGTTTTGACAAATACATAGAGCTGTATAACTACCATCACCACCCAGATACGGAAATGCTCCACCGCCCCTTTGTGGTCAATCCCCATAATACATTTATTCTGTATTTCAAAACAAGTGCATTACGCCAAGGAAAAGATTTTACTTAGTTGTGCATATATATATGTGTGTGTGTGTGTGTGTGTATGTGTATATATATATATATATATATATATACACATATATATATAATTTGTTAAATTTTGTTTTGAAATAATGTATTTAGAGGAAGTTGCAAAGATAGTTCAGAGGGACCTTGTGTACATTTCAGCTCAATTTCACAGACTAGTTAAATCCTAGGTAACTACAGCTTAACCCAAAACTTGGATATTGACATTGGTACAAAGTTGTGTGACTTCTGTGCTATTTCATCACACATTTAGATCCCTGTAACCACCAGCACCACAATCAGGACGGAGAACTGTTCAAGTATCACAAAGATCTCTTTCCTGCTGTCCCTTTTGACTCACACCCCCTTCTCTGCCCCCACCCTTCCTAACTGCAGGCAGCCACTAATTTGTTCTCCATCTCTACAAATCTGTCATTTTTATTTTTTATTTTAATTTTTAAAAAAAGATTTTATTTGAGAGAGAGAGAGCACAAGCAGGGGGAGAGGCAGAGGGAGAAGCAGGTTCCCTGCTGAGCAAGGAGCCCGATGCGGGACTTGATCCCAGGACCCCGGGATCATGACCTGAACCGAAGGCAGACGCTTAACCAGCTGAGCCACCCAGGTGCCCCCAAATTTGTCATTTTTAGAATGTTACATAAATATAATCACACTGTAAGAGATCTTTCCTGCACTCAGCACAATGCCCTTGAGACTCATCCAAACTGTTGCATGTATCAAGAGCTGGTTTCTTTTTAGTCCTGAGTAGTATTCCACAGATGTACTACCATTTGTTTAACTGTTCACCTTCCTATAGGACATTTTGGTTGTTTCCAGATTTTGATTATGACAAATAAAGCTGCTATGAACATTTGTGTACAGTTTTTGCATGGACAGGTAAGTTTTCATTTCTCTGGGATAATGTCCAGGAGTCTTGGGGCGCCTGGGTGGCTGAGTTGGTTGAGTGACTGCCTTCAGCTCAGGTCATGATCCTGGAGTCCCTGGATCAAGTCCCGCATCGGGCTCCTGGCTCGGCGGGGAGTCTTCTTCTCCCTCTGACCCTCCCCCCCTCATGTGCTCTCTCTCTCATTCTCTTTCTCTCAAATAAATAAATAAAATCTTAAAAAAAAATGTCCAGGAGTCTAACTGCTGGGTTGTATGGTTAGTACAAGTTCAGTTTTTAAAGAAATTGACAAACTATTTTCCAGAATGACTCTAACAGTTGAAATGAAACACAGAAACCTCACCTCCTTTTACTCTACCATTTATAATGTAATTGCCTTAAATATTTTCTACATATACACTAACAACAAAATCAATATTCTAATTCTTCCCTCAATCATCAAATATAATTTAGAAAACTCAAAAGGAGAGGAATATCTATTGTTTACCCATATTTTTACCCTACTATTCTTTTTTTTCCTTCTGATGTTCCCAGATTAATTCCTTTAGCCATTATTTTAGGATGGGTCTACCAGTGAGAAATTCTAATTTTTCTCTTCATTCCTGAAATTTTCACTGGGAATTCTGGGGTGTTTTTCTTTTTTTTCTCCCCCCACCCCTTTTTTTTAAGATTTTATTTGAGAGAAAGAGGGAGAGAGAGCGAGCACCATCAAGGGGGAGGGGCAGAGGAAGAGAGAGAAGCAGACTCCCCACTAAGTAGGGATCCCGACTCGGGACTCAATCCCACGACTCTGCGATCATGACCTGAGCTGAAGGCAGATACTTAACCGACTGAGCCACCCAAGTGCCCCTGGGTTGTTTTTTCTTTCCAGCACTTGAAAAATGAAGGGCGCCTGGGTGGTTAAGCAACCAACTCTTGATTTTGGCTCAGGTCATGATCTCAGGGCCACGAGACTGAGCCCTGCGCTGGGCTCTGTGTTCAGTGGGGAATCTGCTTGAAGATTCTCTCTCTCTCCCCCTCTGCCCCTCCACCTGCTCGTGCATGCATGCGCATGCTCTAAAATAAATAAATCTTCAAAAAAAAATGTTGTGCCACTTCCTACTGATCTCCATAATTTCAGATGAGAAATGTGCTGTCATACAAATTGCTATAGGCAAGATGTTTTTAGCTGGTTTTAAGATTTTCCTCTTTTGTTCAGTTTTCAGAAGCTAGACTATGATGTCTTGGCATAAATTTTCTTTGGGCTTAACCCATTAGAGGTTCACTCAGCTTCTTAATTCTGTAGTTTATTTATTTTTTAGGCAGGGAGGGGCAGACAGAGAGGGAGAGAGACAGAATCTTAAGCAGGCTTCATGCGCAGTGTGGAACCCGACATGGGGCTCGATCTTACAACCCTGAGATCATGACCTGAGCCAAAATCAAGAGTCGGACGCTTAAACTACTGAGCAACCCAGGTGCCACAATTCTGTAGTTTTAGATCTTTTGCCAAAGCTGGGGATTTTCAGCCATTATGTCTTCAAATATTTTTTCAGCTGCACCCTCCTTCTCATCTCCTGGGATTCCCATGGCACATTAGATCTTCTACTACAGTCCCACAGGTATCGAGGCTTTGTTAATTTTTTCCAGTCTAATTCTCTGTGTTGTTCACAATGGGTAATTTCTATTGTCTTCAAGTTCACAGAGTCTTTCCTCTGTCCTTCCATTCACCTATTGGATCCAACCACTGCATTTCCAAATTTCAGGTATTGTTATTTTTCAGTTCTAAAATTTCCATTTAGTTCACTTTTATATCTTCTGTTTCTTTCTCGAAGCTATTTCTTCATTTCTTTTAAGGAGTTCATAATTGCTCAGTTTAGCATTTTTATGATGGCTGCTTTAAAAATCCTTGTGAGATTAATTCTGGTATCAGTGTCATTTTGGTGATGGTGTCTATGAACTGCCTTTTCTCAATTTTCCCTTGCTCTTGGTATGGTAACACTTCTGACCAAATCCTGAACATCTGCGGTGTTGCATGTTACAAGACTGTGAGTCTTACTTAAATCTTCTCTATTAGCAGGCTTCTGACACAGCACCATGGGGGGAGACGGATGCTGCCCTGCTGCGGCCAGAGAGGGGGAGCGTGTGTGTGATCATCACTGCTGTGCACACGTGGGAGTTCTGGCTCCCCACTGTCCTCCACTGCTATCTCCCTGACCAGAAGGGGTAGGAATGCCTCCTTACTGCTTCTCACTGACCTTCTGGGTGTGGCCTTGTTACTGCCTCGAATCAGTAACTCCTGATTCTCCATTGGGCCTCTTCTGAAACCACCCAGGCAGGAAGCCAGAGGGATGCCTCCATATTGTATTGGTGGGTGGAAGTCTAGGCTCCCTATGACCACGGACACCAAGGGAAAGGGCCCTTCCTTGTCTCCTAGAGGGAACCGAAGTCCCAGCTCCCCACTTGGCTTTCTCTGACATCACCCTGGCCAGGGGAAGCAGTTGGTACACCTTGCTCCTGCCAGGTGGGGTACCAGTCGACGCTCCTACTTGGCCTGTGCCGATGCGGTGGGGTGACAGTCAAGGCCAGTTTATTTACCTAATTCTGTTTGGCTACAAGAGAGTATTTATTATCTAATTTTACTTGCTAGGTAGTACCTTTTGACTACATAGAACAGACTTCGTCTCTGCTGTGGCTTCTTCAGCACCAAGTTCAGAGTATGTGAGACACACACACACACACACACACACACAAAATCCAGGCTACACACCACTACGTCATTCCTCTGGTCATCCAGCCTCCTATACAACCTGTCTTCTTTCTACCTTTCAGATTTTTCTTACATTTGTTTGCTATAAATGTCCACGGTTGTTAGCTGTAAACAGTAGGAGGAATAGGAAAAAGCACCAGTTCATTTTTTTTATTGTTAAACAGGAGTCCATTGTTTGCAAGTACCACGGTTTGTGCATCCATTCACCCCTGAAGGACAACAGTTAGGTAACTTCTAGTTTTTGACAATTACGAATGAAGCTGCTGTAAGCATTCACCTACAAGTTTTTCTGTGAACTTACTTTTTCTTTTTTCTTGGTTACATACCTAGGAGTGGGGCTACTGAATCATATGGTTAAGTGTACATTTAAGTTTATAAGAAAATACTAAACCGTTTTCCAAAGTTGCTGTGCCATTTTATATGTATGGGTGTCTAGCTGCTCTGATCCTAGACAGCATTTGGTACTGTCAATTTTTTTTATTAAGCCATTCTTATAATAAGGTGTGTAATGGTATCTCTTTGTATTTTTTAATTTGCATTTCCCTAATGATTATCAATTATTGACCATATTTTCATGTGCTTATTTGTCAACCATATGTTTGGTGAAGTATCTATTCTAGTCCTTCACCCATCTGAATTTTCTTCTTTCAGTTTTGAGAGTTCTTTACATGGTCTGCTTATAAGGCCTTTGTCACATACAGTTGTTTTCTTACTCAATTTGTACTACCAATAATTGGCCAAAGTTTAAAACCTATTAAACTGAGGCCTGATAAATAATTCTAGATTGCCTATTATTTAGACTACACTTGGGTGTTTTAGTTTTCCAGGTGGTAAAATCTATTCATCTTCCACCTACTAATACCCATTATCTCTGAGGAATTTTTGGAGAATGTATTAATTACTGTAAAGTTGCAAGTGTTGTTTATAATTTTAAAGCAACATATTCACTGAGTGCTCTAGTCTGCTGCTTCTTAATCGGAGGATATTTAGTAGATTACAAATTCATACAAGAGTTTCAGTATAATTAAAGAGGGGAGAAAAAAGCCTGTAAAGCCAAAATCACAGGGAGCCTATGTCTGGGCATGGTCGGAGACGCATACCTGGATCACTGCCTGGTGCTCCTGAACTTGTGGTCGGCCTCTCACTTGGTTGTGAAAGCTGCCCCGGTGGATCCTGTTGCTGCTGCTGCCTGAAACAGTCCAAAGTGATGTGCATTAAAAAAACAAACCCTAAGAATAAATATGCCATGAGAGAAAGTATTCACATGGAAAATACAAGGTTCCACAAACAAGAGTCATTGCCACGAGCTCTATAGAAGAATGCCAGAGCCATCAGTCTGATTTATGTTACTTAAAGGTATCACAGCGCCGATCCTAGGAAACCTAGATATAAAATCTGAATTATCAGACAATAGGTAAAGATTTTCACAAGATAACACATAAACACAAGCATTCGCTGGGAGCTATTCTTATGTAAATGTGTTGCTTTACAGATCCTTAATATCGTTGGAAGTCACTAAAAATAAGCACCTTTGAGAATATAAAGCATCCCCATTACCATGCAAGTTAACATGCTCTTTCCATGGCCGGCTCCTCCTTGTCATTCAGCTCTGAGCTTCAGCATGTCCTCGGAGAGACCTTTGCTGACCAGCCACCTGCAGCAGCCTCCAGGCATCCTCACTATCTCATCGCTGCTCCCTTTCAATTTCCAGCATCAGCTTATCACCATCTGATATTGTGTCTCCCTCTTTCCAGAATCAGCTAACAAGAGCACAAACCTTATCTTGTTTCCCAAGTGCCTAAAACAGTGCCTGTCACATGGTAGACATTCACCAAATACTTGATGAATGAAAGAATTACCTTTTGAAGATGTATGATCAAGCTTCAGTACCATTTATTGCATTAAAATAAATTTTCCCTGTATTTTTTTCCAGATGGAAAAACAATGTCAGAAAAATCCACATTTTAAAAACTTTTAAACATGATGGTTATGATGTAAATATGTAGGACAGTGTCCTTGTAGTAAAAAAATACACACTGAAGTATTGAGATGAATGGGAGATCAGATCTGCAAGTTATTCTCAAATCCCTCAGAAATGTCAACAATTGGGGAATTTGGGCAAAAAGGTATAAAGGAGTTCTGTGAACTATTTCTGCTTGTACATAAATTTCAAATTATTTCACATCATACACACATATATGTTGAAAATTAAAACTCACAAACAGCTGGTACTCTGAGAAGCCATAGCTTGAAAAAAAAAGCTTGGAAGGATTTTTTAAAGGAACCAGTATTTTAAATTTACCAGTAACACTATTAATAGAACAGCGTACTTTTTTCCCCTTAGAGTCTCAATCTTCTGTTTTAAATATGAGTACCAAAGAAAACCCAAGTACGCTGACGTTTGTCTCGGTTTATTCTCAGGCATGCGTGGCTAATGATGCACAAGAGGGCAGGAGGCTCCCATCAGCACACCCTGAGTCTGAGATGTGCATGAGAGAGAGAGGCTGTGAGGCAGGAGGAATCCTGGCCCATCAGATCTCTCTCCATGCCCTTTCCCCCTCCAATCAAGACAAAATGTCAGAACACAAGAGCATGGTAGGTGAGGCAGTGACCTTAGAGGGATAACCTTTATTCTACTTTAAATTTATGAAAAGTGAGAAGTAAATGAATTGCCAAACTTGAAACAATTTTGACACCTTTCATATTTGATGACACAGTAATATGCAACATGTTCAAACAGCAAGTCAGCACCATTCCCACTGTGGCTTTGAATGTGCCCTCGGAATCACAGAAGCCAGAAAGCTAAAAACAACATCTTAGGTCTCTCAACAGCTAGGATTCTGGTTATCAATTAAGCCCTCACAGAAATGAGACACAGCCATCCCCCTGCTGCTTTGGCTGTTCTCTGCTGGCAAGTAAAGTCAAGGAGCTGCCAGTCCCAGGATTCTGCTTCATGGCAGCTGCAGTCGGCACTAGACTTCGTGTTCCCATGTCTAGGCAACTGTGGTGGCAGCTTCCTGATCCTTGGATCACAGCTAGAGCAGTGTGTTCTTCAACTCCATATCCCGACTCCCCATCATGCCAACTGGGGCAGTGGACGCAGCTCTTCGAACAAGTCGGTCTGTGGAATTCTGGAAGCCTGGCCTACAGCCTGCACCTCCAGCTCTTCCTGAGACTGTGTAAGCCCTGAGTTTCTGTACTGCTTTCCTGTTTAAAATACCTCTACTAGCTTGTTTCTTTTTTTAAAAAAAAGATTTATTTGCTAGAGAGTGTGCGCACACGAGAGAGAGAGAGAGAAAGAGAGCACAGCAGGGGGAGCGACAGGCAGAGGGAGAAGCAGGCTCCCCACTGAGCGAGGAGCCCGATGCGGGACTCGACCCCAGGACCCTGGGATCATGATCTGAGCCAAAGGCAGATACTTAACTGAGTGAGCCACCCAGGTGTCCCTACTAGCTTGTTTCTTAAACTGAATCCTGTTATGCCATGCCACTGAGGTGGTGGCTCAAGTGTTAGACAATCAAAAAATCACAGCAATCCATGACCATAAAGACAATGCCCAGTAATTCCTTCTTTGTTAGCAAACACGTTTTTAGTAACAGAAGAAAAGAATCTGCATCGTTTCAGAGCTACACCTGGAGAAGACATTAAAATACTAAGATATCTGTGGAATACTTTATGGTTTACACAATAGTTTTACACAATAGTTTTACACACATTGCCTAATTTGATGCTCAGTTTGTGAGTTTTTAAGGTAGGTTTTATAGTGACATTGCTGATATAGTAAGAGTTTTACTTGGGGTTTTATAATAGGTTTTAATAGGTTTTTTAAATAGGTTTTAAAATGGATTTAGAGATTACTACTGGAAAAATATATCTCGGCTGTGAACATGTTACTTAACACTCATTCATTAACTATGACTTTGTTGTCTTTTTTTAGGATTTACTTTAGAGAGAGGGAGAGAGTGCATGCATGCGCGAGTGGGGGCAGGGGCAAAGGGAGAGAGAGGGGGGAGAGAGAGAATGAGAGAAGCGGACTCCCTGCTGAGTGGGGAGCCCAATGCAGGGCTGGATCTCACAACCCTGAGATCATGACCTGAGCCGAAGTCAAGAGTTGGGACACTCAACCAACTGAGCCGCCCAGGCGCCCCCATTAACTGTGACTTTGTAACAGGTAGGTGTCTAAACAGTATTTTTATGCTTGATGCATGAATACTGCGGTTACTACATTAGGCATGAAGCTTCAAATACTGTATAGGGAAAAAAAACTATTTGAATGAGTAACAAATAAACCATTTGAATGGGAAAAAAACCTTATTCTGAATTCAAAATTTGTTTGAATAACAAGTTAGCACCAGGGTCAGTTTGGAGAAGGTCAAAAACAAAAAATTAGCTCAATAACCTTAAAGCCAAGTTCCCAAAGATTGAAGCTAGAGAGACAAGGACCTTGTAGTTTTAATAATCAGGAATTCTAGTGAAAGGCCTCATATTGGAGACTAATACTGTTTCTCAGCTCCTTTACTAATGAGTCCTACAAGATTCTGAATGCTAGACAATGCTGAAAAGAAACACCAAGAAGTTAGCTCTTAACGCTTCTCAGCAACATGTGACTCTGTAAAATATTCTCTAGTTCTCCTTAAGTTCCCAGCAGTATTTTCAAGGACAGACCAGGAGGCAGAGGATGAAGCTGAAGCTGGAAACCATCACCGCACACCTTCCTCCCCAGTCAACTATCCTTCAACCGGGAAGGAGCTGCACTGATGCTCAAACACTTTAAATCCTTTCTACTATAAAGATTAAATGTATTAAAGTTCTGTATTTTCAATCTGCCTCCCCCCCCAAAAAAACTAAAAAATATTTTAAATAAAAAAGGGATTTGTTTTTTAAAGTATAAAAAATTTTCTTTTTCTTAGATCTACTTGTGAATTTTGTAGTTTTGCTATAAAGTATGTCTGTTTGGACCAATGTGATCTGGCAAAAAATGGAATGTGAAATAAGCATGATAGAAGTATCATTTGGGAACGTTCTGGAAAGCAGTTTAGAAATCTGTACCAAGACCTTAAAAAATGTTTCTGTCCTTTAACCCCAAAATTTCAGAATAATTGGAAGAAATGATGAGAGGTTTGAGGCATAGGGTTAGTACAAAGATTGTTCATTGCACTATTAATTGTAATAGTAAAGATCAAAGGTTCACATATAAATTATGATATATACCTTCATTTTATGAAATATCACACAGCCTATTACAAAGACTATTTACTATGATGGGAAAATGGATGTAACTAATATACATTATATGTGTCTGTGTGACTAGAAGAGAATGTGTCAAAATACTAACGTTCATTATTAAAGGACAGGATTGTTTTCTTTTAATTTTGATATGGCTTAAAATAAATTTTCTAGAATATCGGTTTTTATCTAATTAAACAGTTTTAATTTTTTTTAACAGATTTTATTTTTAAATAATATGTACACCCAATGTGGGGTTCTAACTTAAACAAGATAAGAGTTGCATGCTCCACTAAGTCAGCCAGGTACCCCTTAAGTTACTTTTTAACATTACCTAGATGTTTGATGATATTGTAGAATTACCAGTAATTATTGTGTGATAATTATTAACATTACAGTGTGACAATAACACTTTTCTATATTCCAAAAAAATGAATGAAAGGATACAATAATTTAGATTTGTCACAAAATAATCCCAGCTTGGGGGTGGGAGAGGGGAAAGCAGGAGGGATGCGGGGCACAGAAAACCATGACTGGCCATGTGCTGATATTTGTTAAAGCTGGGCAATGTTAGGTAAACAGGGGTTCATTATGCTGGTTTCTCTATTTTTTTTTTTAAAGATTTTATTTATTTATTTCAGAGAGAGAGAGAATGAGAGACAGAAAGCACGAGGGGGAAGGGGGTCAGAGGGAGAAGCAGACTCCCCGCCGAACAGGGAGCCCGATGCGGGACTCGATCCCGGGACTCCAGGATCATGACCTGAGCCGAAGGCAGTCGCCCAACCAACTGAGCCACCCAGGCGCCCTGGTTTCTCTATTTTTATAGATATTTGAAGTTTACCATAATTAAAAAAACTAAAAAAATTAAAAATCTGAAAGGAAGTGAAGCACTAATAAGTAAGCACTATTTTGAAATTTTATATAATTAAATCCATTAATCTATCACTGAATAAAGACTAGAAATATCTCACATTAAGAGGATGTCAGCTGATCAGAACTTTCCTCCATATACTTCTGAGTTGTGACTTAAAAAAAAAAAACAGAAAACAAGGTAAATATTATCTTCATTACACCATGAAATGTAAAATGCTCCAATACTGTAGATCCCACTAATACTGCCAATTATGATTTTAAGATGCTTCTCAATTGCAGAGATGTTGAAATGTGAAAATATGTACATCTCAGAATTGAAGAAACACAGGGAAGAGGCCAGATTCAGTCTCGGGCCTTCTGGTTTCCGATCTGGGATCAGAGGGTCTGAATATCTACCTAAAGATTACTGTGTAACCTTTAAAATAGTTTTCTCCTTAAAAAAAGAAAAAGGGAAGACAACTTGTGAATGGTAGTTACTGAAAAGGATGACATTTTTATTTTCTAATTTGAGAGCACTTACATAGTGTAGTTGGGTTTTGGGAGCTGATGATTCAGATTTATGGTTTGTCCCCACGTCCCTGTGCCGACAGGCCTGCAGTAACCCCTGAAGTGGCAATAAGAGGCAATAAGAACAATTAACCACCACCTCTATCTGGGATGGGAGACTGTTCCCTGACCACAATGCTGTTTTTCCTTTTAAGTGACAGAAGAACTTTGCTGGGTTGGTCAGGTAACCAAGAAGCACATCCAGAGGATCATTAGGCATTGTTCTTGCTTTGGTGCAATTCCATTTTCTTTTGATGACATAAATTTTACTGGGTTTCCTTCACCTTATTTCATATAAACTTAACTGGTATCGAGGCAAAGGTATTCCCTAAAACTCCGTATCATTTCACTTCATTTGCCGTAAATTTAAAAAAAGAATACACTCAGATGTTCAAAGGATTCAAGTGGTAACCAATCTTTTAAAAGGAGAGAATCCTAAGTAAAATAGTTTAAACCAAAGCTCTATGTGTAGAAACTGTAGACAAAACAAAGTACACATTAAATATGCAATTTTAATATTGTACCAACTACTTTACTTTTCAAAGTAGGCTTCTCTTCTCTTCCGGAGCTCTTCTGAAGTAAGATGTGTACCTGATGTCTGTGGAATATCTTGAGATATACTTCTGGAACTACCTGAAAACAAAAGAAAACAGAACAAAAAACTAATCATTTTATTTACCAATTTAAGCAATGCTATGTTTGTACTTATTTGAGCAAGTTTTTCAAAGTTTTCTTCTTAAAAATATTGTGCTACTATTTCTGTAAATATAAGAAAGGCTCTGAAACGCTCAAGGACAAATCTGAATAAGTTAGTTCAAATATAACCTGTGTCCACACCCATCTCTGATATAGCGGATGTGAGGATGTAAGTCCAACAACCAACCTGGAAGGAAGAGCCATTAATACCACACCTGTGGGCCCTCTTTAACTTATGAGAAATGAATGGGCACTTTCAACTAGAAACAACTTAAAGTGGGTGACCGTAAACCCATTATCTGTATTCCTCTATCCTAAAATACTTGCATGCTATACCAACTTAAGTGTGTGTCCCTGTTCTCACTTAATAACTGCACCAACCAGAGATCCTGCCCAGATGGTGAAATAAAGCGGGAAGAAAAGTGAAGGACATGAAAATATCTAAAATTATAAAAGCTGTTGCCTGTTAATTACTGGCTAATCCAGCAGGGCTCTACTAATCAAAAATGGGATTGCACATATGAAGCACTCCAAGGTGTGCCAGGAGGCATGAGAATTCGGGATAAAAAGCATAATCTTCATATTAATGTAAGTTCAATTTTATTTAGATATTTAAGAAATTCCATTGAGTAATCTCATTAAGTAAAAGGCAAATTCACATTAATTAGATGAAAACAAAACTGCCAAAGAAAACCACGCATACCTTTCAGTAAGCCTCTTTGAGCTACATCCCTGACAATTCCCTCTGCCTGGATTGCCTAAGGGATACATCTTCATTCTCCTCTGCTAGCTGGCTTATGTCACTATCATGTGGGCCCATCAACGTGGGCTTAAGTTGTTAAGTTGCAAAGCCACTAAGTGTTAGACTTTTTAAATATTTTCTGCCCAGGCCTTCCTTTGTATATAACGGCATACATTTGTAAAACAGCTGATCTGGGTAAGGGCCTCCCCACTTTCTGCCCACAAAGATTAAGCTCCATTTATTGTTATGTTAGTATAGTATTATAACCAAATGGAAAAACCAGAATAAAAATATAACTAGTCCTAATATAACTTACGCTGTAAAAAGTTATTTGTATTATAAGAAAGCTGAAAGAATAGCTGATTGTATGTCCATAATTACTGCTTCTACAGTAATTGTCAAAGAACTTCTACCAACGGTACATTAACTTCCAGGGGAAATAAGAATAATCTGAATCAATCCTTCAACAACAAATGAAGTACACATCCAAATGTCGATACCTTGCATACTGAGCTGAATAGCCCTGCGGAGATCTGCTTCTTCATCTTCCATGTCAATTTCTTGGCGACTTAGTGCCAGAGCCCTCTGCAAATCTTCCTCATCTTCGTCTAACACGGTTGACCCATCATTTGCTTCTAAGACTCGTTCCAGATCTGTTTTCTGGACTCTAAAGAACAAAAACAGATAGCAACTGCAGATCAGTCTTCTATTTTAAATAAAACATAGAGACACTTATAAATCAAAGATTTTTTTAAATAATTTTTTTAAGATTTTATTTTTAAGTAATCTCTACACCCAACATGGGGCTCGAACTTAGATTGTTTTTTTTGTTGTTGTTTTTTAGATTTTGTTTTTTTAAGTAATCTCTACATCCAATGTGGGGCTTAAACTCACAACCCTGCGATCAAGAGTTGCGTACTCTACTGACTGAGCCAACCAGTTGCCCCCAAAGAGTTTATGTAAGTCAAAAATTACATTTTCTGGCAGATAATCTAATAATATGAAGATTGTGCTGTGATGTGCATCTAAGCTAATTAAGTAATTCAAAGAGTTGATTCAAGTTTGAACAAAAAAGCTTCACTAAAAATAAAAGAAAGCTAAAAAAAAAATCACCAACAATAAAAGGACCACACATCCAATGTAAGCATGAAAATGTAATTCTTGGGGCACCTGGCTGACTTAGTAGAGCATGCAACTCTTGATCTCAGGGTTGTGAGTTCAAGCCCCACACTGGATGCAGAGATTACTTAAAAAAAAACAAAATCTTTAAAAAGAAAAAGAAAAAGAAAGTGCAATTCTTGTAATGAAATACTATCATATACTCCATACTGCAGGCTTAATTTTACCTCTGTTCTTTTAGTTGTGCTAATTCTTCTCCAATGAGTTTTGGTCTATGCATCTGTTGGACCCTGATCATCTGTAAAAGTTGGTCAGCTTCACAATCTGGCAGATCACCCTTAACAACAAATATAGAATAACCTAAAAAAAAGGCAAAAATAAACTAAAACAGCTAGTAAGAGATTAAAAATAGGTTAAAATGATAGCAGATGGAAAGGCAGCACAGTAGAGTGGAAAGAATACAAGCTGAAGAGTGAGAAAGACCGGGGTTCAAATAATGTCTCTTACACTTACTGGCAGGGTGATCTAGGACAAACTACTGAAAGTCTCTAAGCCCCACTTTCTTCATCTGTAAGACAGGAATAGCCATCTCATAGAATGACTGTGAGGAATAAATGAAATCATGTCTACAAAGGGCCCTACCAAAAAAGTACGTGAACCAAGGAGACTACTCACTAGATGGTAACAGAGAGGCAGGTAAAGGAGTGGGGAAGAGCAAGGAATTTGGAATCAGATGGCCAGGGTTTTGGTCCTAGCTCTTCCAATTCCAAGACTGAGCATGGTCTTCGGTAAATCACTTTACCCAGCTATGTCTTGGTTTATGCAATTGTTAGACTAATGATACTGGTACCTTCCTCAGAGGGCTGTTGTGAGGATACAATCAGATAATGTGTGTAATAATGTGAAATACAGGTAAAATGAATCATCTGTAGAAACAGCTGCCCTCCCCACCCTGACACACACGCACACACACACACACAACCCCCTCCTCACTGAAAACAGGAGTAGGGAAACCAACGCTCAAAATCTAGTCAAGGTGTTGCTGATATGGTTCATATTTTGAAAGAATTACACTGATTCAGTGTAATTTTTTATAAATATGATTTACAGCCAGAGTTTTCCCAGCTAAATACTCCACATAAAAACTGAACATGGGTGGACTATACCTAAGTCATTCTAAACAATATAAGCTTTTCTACCATAAATTTTTCTTAAACTTTGGTACTTATTACTGGATATCCTTTGTGAGCGTTAAAAGATAATGAAACAAATGAACAGAGATCAAAAGAACTGTTAATGGAAAAATTCAAAACAGTACAATATTTATTTTTTGAACAAGGACATAATATGATTAATATACTTTTTAAAAATAAGGACAAATGTGCTCAGAGTTCAGATGGTCTAGCGTGTCTTATGACAGTAAAATTGTTCCCAGATGTTAAAGTAATTGTGTCACCACCATGGCATTCCAGGAAGAGCATCATGAAGAACAGAAACTGTCTTGTTTAGGTGGCACAGTAAATACCTCAGGTTTTATTCAAGATGTTAGCTTTCATACTAAGTATGCTGGGAAGAAACTGAAGGATGAAGAGAGCAAGTGCCATAACATGCATTACACTGTTTAAAAAGCACTCTGGGCTACTTCATCAATATAACGTACAGGAACTAGAGTACAAGAAGAGAGAGCCTGACTAAAATGGAAAACCTGAGGGACAGCATATATTGGGAGAAGAAAAATCAGTCTTTTGCAGACACGTTCAGTTTGAAATGCTTCCTGGACGTCCCAAGTGGAGAGGTCAATGTGAGGAGTTTGGTGTTCAGGGTAGATGTGTAGGCAGAAGACAAAAGTTTAGGAATTATGGGCATACAGATTTTTTTAGAGATGGTATCTAAAATAATGGGATAGCGACAACAACAACAATAGGACAGCACATAATCAAGAAATTGTCCAAGGACTGACCTCTGGGTCACTTCAGCCACAAGAGATCAGTAAGGGTAAGACCCACAGAAGCAATCTGAAAGAGGCCAATGAGATGTGAGGAAAACCAGAGCACAGTGGCCCGGAAGCCAAGTGTAGACAGTATTTCAAGAAGGAAGGACATACTTAGGTACCAAGGTTTAGGCATAAAAGAAAAAAACATACTAGTATATGAAATCAAAGAAATAAAGATACTATAATCCTAAATGTAAATGGGAAAGAACAACATGACAATAAACCCAGTAGCAATAAGCATGCTCGTACCCAGACTGATCTTTCACAGGAACATAAAGGGCAAGAAACACACAAGGTAAGCCTGACACGTCTTGTCTAATGAGAAAGAAAGCCTTCAAAAAGCTACAATGGTCATTTCAGAAACCTAGGACTCAACTTCAAAAGGCTCCCCCTTGTCCGCGTGGGACAATCTGAGTATCAATATGAATAATAATTACAATGTACTGAAACACATGAACTATGTTTTGATGGATTAGTTTACCATGACATACAAGAAAACCCCAAACTAACTGGTTACCTTTGGAGGAAGGACACTATGAAACTCAACTCATCCTAAAAAGTGATAAAAGGGAAGAAAACGTATCCTGCTTTTCCCATATGAACTCTACTTCAGGATAACCAAATCACTGATCAAAGCTTATCTGTGTACAAGTATCCAGCTAATACAGGAAGGCACAATGGGAATCTAACACCACCCTTTTGCAACCCTTAATGAAATGATCGATCTAAGAACTGATCATCAATAGTTGCTCATATCACAAAGAGAGACAACCAGACATCAAGTGCCACACCATCTGTGAAGTGTTCCACTGTCTCCCCACGCTGCCCCCAAATTAACCTGAATCTAATCAGGTCTCAAACTCTAAAGGCCAGTCTGTTGGGTATCCAGGACTCAGAGGAAAATAAAGATGTAATCGGCAAAATTCAGAGCGTGGGAAAGAACAAATGACCCATTTTCTTAAAAAAACAAAAACAAAAAACAAGGGGGAAAAAAAAGAGAAGAGGAAACCTATAGTTAGACTTGGAAGACATATCAATCAATGCAATTAATGAACCTCATTTCAACCCGGCTAACCTGTGAAAATCCTAAGACACAACCAAAGAGATTGGAGAGGTGAACACTGACTGCGTATCTGATGTTATTAAACATTTTACAGAGAAAATAAGATGCTCAAAATAAGCAGGGGAAAGAAAAGGGTGTAACAAGATTGGCCATGAGATAACTGCTGAAGCTGGGTAAACGGTACATGATAATCTATCACATTATTTTCTCTATTTGTTTGAAATTTTCAATGAAAAAGTTTTGTTCTGTTCTATGTGAGGGTATAATCAACTATACCCTCAAGTGGTGAGGTCAAATAAAAGGCAGGCTGAGAACTGAATACAAATGTGGAGGTCACTGGTAACCTTGGGAAGAAGGCTTTTTTGGTGAAATGCTGGTTATGACAGTGTGACTGGAAAGAGTTCAAGAACAGGAGACAACAAGCCAGAGGTGAGTCTAAGGGGAAAATAAAAATGGCAGGCAGCTGGACTTTCCTGGAATCAAGAGAGGCTTTTTCTTTTTTGGTCAATAGAAATAAAAGGTTTATTTCTCTGCTGATAGGACTAATACAGAAAGGGGGTGAAGTGATCATGCAGGAAAGCAGAAAGGCAAAAGCAAGAGCAAAGATCTCGAGTAGGTGAGAGGAGCCGGGATCCCGTCCCAGAGTGAACAGGTTGGTCTTGGTCGGGAGCAGGGGACAACTGAGCTACTTTGCTAGGCTCAACACACAGGCTGACATACAGACAAGCTGACAGATTTGCTGGTAGAAAGATGGGGAAGTTCTCTTTTCTTTTTCAAGATTTTATTTATTTGTCAGAGAGAGAGAGAGAGAGCGAGCACACACAAGCAGGGGGAGCGGCAGGCAGAGGGAGAAGCTGAGCGGGGAGCCCGATGCAGGACTTGATCGCGGGACCCCGGGATCATGACCTGAGCAGAAAGCAGGCGCTCAACCGACTGAGCCACCCAGGTGTCCCAGGAAGTTCTCTTTTAATTGCTTCTGTTTTGTCAATAGAATACAAAGGAAGGTCACAAGCTAGGAGTGAGAGAGAGGGGAGTGGTCAGAGGTTTGAAGAGAGGAACTGGGAAATAAGCATCTTGGAGAGTGACAAGTGAACTTACTACAAAAACACAGTAGGAATGTCAAGTAGCCCTAAAGGATCCTCTGAAATTTGTGATCATAAATTTAAAGCAAAACCAGTCATCTGGTTTTTTTATGTTATCTGTAGCCATGTTCAGCTGCTCTGATGCCGGAACGGACAAGCCCAAGATCTTATTTTAACCAGAGCTTGCGTTTTGTCATGAAAGTATGATAGAAGGAAAGAAAGAGGAGTTGAGGCATGCATCAGATTGATTATAATGATGGGTTACAGAAATAAGCAGGGGCAGACAGGAAGTAAGGATGTAAGGGGAATGTTGGGGTAGGGTTTATTTTTATTTATCTTTTTAAAAGATTTTATTTATTTATTTATTTGAGAGAGAGAATGAGAGAGAGAGAGCATGAGAGAGGGGAGGGTCAGAGGGAGAAGCAGACTCCCTGCTGAGCAGGGAGCCCGATGTGGGACTCGATCCCGGGACTCCAGGATCATGACCTGAACCGAAGGCAGTCGCCCAACCAATTTAGCCACCCAGGCGCCCCTGGGTAGGGTTTAAAGAATTGCTGGATACAGACAACAGAGAAAATATGGTATAAAAATAGAAGGCGACTGTCAAAGAGTAAAATGTCTGTGATTGGGATTTGATGGTGGTACAGTTATTAGTAATGGCAAGGCAAGAGGGAAGAAAATGACCTTTGAAAATAAAAAGCAAGGTACTGAATTGGGTGAATTTTTGATGTAGAAATCACTTAAGAATGATGAAAGGAGTTCAAGTTGAGAGAACAGCGAGTCAGACTAAAAATCTGTGGAAAAGGAGGATCACAGATGAATGCAAAAGAGCAGGAGGGAGAGTTTACTCTAGTGTCAGGTGTTTTATTTTAGTTTTTTAATTGTGTGTGTGTGTGTGTGTGTGTGTGTGTGTGTGTGTGTGTGTGGTATTTTAAAAGAGCTGGAGTTTTCAGCGAAAGATAGTGGCCTAGGAGAGGCAAGGAGAAGCAAGAAGAATACCCACCCCCCACTCTTAGCCATGGGGTCTGTGGGGTCTGGAAGGAAAAGAGCCATCGCTTAGTGGGGCTGCTAAGGAAACAGCATCCTCAGGCAAGGGCGAAGTGTCAGTGAAAATTCTGCCCGGACGGTGTCATCCAAATCACAGATTAAAGTTCACCAAGATGATTTCACTGCCATAAAAACAGCTATTTTTATACTTACACCTAATAGAGCTAGTTTTCTTTAGCTACTTTGAAAGATAACACTATAAAAATGTCAGTCTTTATTTACCTTCCTGTTGTAATTGAGCCAAGAAAAGTGCAAGGTATGTGTCTGATATTAATTCTGGACCCGTCAAGAGAGAATTCAAGTTGAACCACTGGAAAAAAATTGTAAATATTTAAGTTAATGCACATTATAACTAATAAGGAAGTTCCATATGTTAAGAATAAATATAACCCATCTAAACTTATTAAGACTATCTAAATACCGAAAACACCGTAAAACCAAGATCTTTTAAAAGTAATTAAGTGATTTTTTAAGAACTGAAATAAGTGTTGCAGATTTATCGGTATTAAATGCCTTTAAAAATGTTTTAAAAATAAAATTTTGCATTAAGTCATAAATTTTTTTTTTTTAAAGATGTTTATTTGACAGAGAGACACAGCGAGAGAGGGAACACAAGCAGAGGGAGTGGGGGAGTGAGAAGCAGGCTTCCCGCCGAGCAGGGAGCCCGATGCCCACGGGGCTCAATCCCAGGACCCTGGGATCACGACCTGAGCCGAAGGCTGACGCTTAATGACTGAGCCACCTAGGCGCCCCTAAGTCATAAATTTTAAATCTCCCACTCCCAAAAAGAGTATAGAAATTGATAGTACTTTAAAGTATCCTTATTGATAGGTGTAATTAAATCTTTTTTCAAAGTATCAGCCCAGCAAAATCCTAATCACATTATACTGAAGAAAAATGAAACTACACAAAATTTTCCCAGTGCTGATTAATTTTGGTCAAAAGATTTCAGTGGTGCCTGGGTGGCTCAGTCGGTTAAGTGTCCAACTCTTGGTTTCAGCTCAGGTTATGGATTGAGCCCCATGTTGGGATCCAGGCTCAGTGCAGAGTCTACTCAAGGATTCTCTCTCCCTCTGCACCTCCCCCCCCCGCTCCTGTGCACGCTCTCCCTCCCTCTCGCTCTCTTAAATAAAATATAAAAATATTTCAATTGTGAGAAAACTAGACATTCCAGGAAGAGAATTTATAATTCCCAACTGATTTTACAAACATCACTAAGCCACTATCACATGTAATTAAAGTCATTTAGTCACTACTTCATAGGACTCCTAATTTAACCCACAAGATACAGAAGTTTCAAAAATTAGTGTCAGCATCATGACCGATTACTTTTCCCTGATTTTGACAGGGATAATGCTTTTCCAGTCATTCATTTCTCCAAAGACAATATGCAGATGGCCAAAAGACACATGAAAAGATGCTCAACATCACTCATCATCACAGAAATGAATATCAAAACTACCAGCAGCTGTCAGAATGGCTAAAATAAAAAACACAAGAAACAACAAGTGTTGGCAAGGATGTGGCGAAAGAGGAACCCTCAGGCTCTGCTGGTGGGAATGCAAACTGGTGCAGCCACTGCGGAGAACAGTATGGAGGTTCCTCAAAAAATTAAAAATAAAACTACCTTACAATCCAGTAATTCCACTACTGGGTATTTACCCAAAGAATGCCAAAACACTACTTTGAAAAGATATATGCACTTCTATGTTCACTGCAGCATTATTTACAATAGCCAAATTATGGAAGCAGCCCAAGTGTCTACCTACAGATGAATAACTAAAGATAGAAGACACACACACACAGGAATATTACTCAGCCATAAAAAAGAATGAAATCTTGGGGCACTTGGAGGAGCTCAGTCGTTTAAGCCTCTGACTCCTGATTTTGGCACAGGTCATGATCTGAGGGTCAAGAGATCAAGCCCTGAAGTCGGGCTCTGAGCTTAGCTCAGAGTCTGCTTAAGATTCTCTCTCCCTCCCCCTCTGACCCTCCCCCACAACTCATGCTCTCTCTCTAAATAAATAAATCTTAGACTTGTTAAATCATTATATTGTACACCTGAAACTAATATAACACTGTATGCTAACTATACTGGAATTAAAAACAATACACAGAAAAAAAAACTTTTCCAGTCATCTTTTTCATAATACAAGGAACTCATACAAAAGAGTGTGTAATGAAAAATATAGCTATAAACAAAAATATAAATTAGAGCCAAAGATAAGTCAAAACATAACATTTCTTGTATTTGTCAAAGATAAAACTAATTTAAAATGCAAAAATTCAGTTTTATTTATTTATATATATTTTTATTTTATTTTTTTAAAGATTTTATTTATTTATTTGAGAGAGAGCGCATGAGAGGGGGGAGGGTCCGAGGGAGAAGCAGACTCCCCGCTGAGCAGGGAGCCCGCTGCGGGACTCGATCCCGGGACTCCAGGATCATGACCTGAGCCGAAGGCAGTCACTTAACCAACTGAGCCACCCAGGCGCCCTATATATATTTTTAAAAAGGTCTATTTATTTGAAAGAGAGAGAGAAAGAGTGTGAGTGGGGGGAGGGGCAGAGGGAGAGAGAATGCTCAAGTGTGCTCCTTGCTCAGCAGGCTGGATTTCACAAACCATGAGATCAGACTTGAGCCAAAATCAAGACTTGGACATTTGATCAACTGAGCCACCCAGGCGCCCTGAAAATTCAATTTTAAAGAACTAAAATTTTGGGGATGTCTGGGTGGCTCAGTCAGTTAAGCGTCTGCCTTTGGTTCAGATCATGATCCCAGGGTCTTGGGATCGAGTTCCGCACTGGCTTCCTTGCTCAGTGGGGAGCCTGCTTCTCCCTCTGCTTGCCGCTCCCCCTGCTTGTGTGCTCTCTCGCTCTCTTTCTCTCTCTGACAAGTAAGTAAATAAAATCTTAAAAAAATAAAGAACTGAAATTTTTAAAACCTCTCAAAATAATGATGTTAAGTTTACATGCAAATCAATATAAAGGAACTTCTGGGACCAAAGTCTTCAGATCTTAAAAACATCCAGTGATTACCTTATACAGACAAAGGAATACTTGATCTTATTTTTTTTTTTAAATATAAATAAAAGCCAAAGGTTAAATAATCTTGGCAGTGTCCTCCCTGGTCCTTCCTTATAGTTGATCCCCACTCAGGTCAGCCTCTACTACGCCACACTGCCTTCCTTGCTCTTTGTAACTCAGGAGGGACCTTTAGAAATAACCATGTCACATGAAGCTGCTTCTAGGTGGCTGACTTATAAGAGTAGGGTTTCTGCTTTCAAATGATCTCTTATTGATTTAATCCAATGCACTCACGCTTGATTTCATTTTCTTTTTTGCTCTCTTTAGTTTTAAAAACAGTTTTACAGGGATGTAACTGACATGCGAGAAATTGCAACATCTAAAATGTCCAATTTGAAGTTTAACATATCTATACACCCATGAAACCATCACCACAACCAAGAGAGTTTCTGGCACCCGTTATGATCCTCCTCTCTCACTGCTCCTTGCTTTCCTCATCCCCAGGAAACCACTGGTTGATCTGCTTTCTGTCTCAATAATTTGCATTTTCTAGACCTTTATGTAAATGGAACCATCCAGTATGCAGTATTTTGTGTCTGGCTTCTTTCACTCAGCTTAATTATTTTTAGATCCATCCATGTTATTGAACACATCAAGAGTTCATTTCTTTTTATCAGATCATTTATAATAACTCTTTTTCGAAAATTCAAAATTCTAATAAAAAGGACTTTAAATAATTGTTTCAAAAGTGGCACCATGTATACAAAGATCTTTGGTAATTGTTTACAAAAATGACATCTTAGGTACATTTCTTGATCTTAAGAAAGGCTTGTTCAAGACACATTCCATGTTCTTTTTTGAAAACAAAACAAAAACAAAAACAAAGGAAAAAACCCAAAACCAGAAATGACTTTACATAGATGTATGTATTACATGGCATTTTGGCATGTGAATAATCTTGATATGCTAAAGCTAACATGACTGAAAACTTTTACTCATGCTGGACGTTGTTTCAGGCTTCATGACACTACTATACGTTAAACACAAATCTATAAAGTCACAGTTAACTGGAAAAACATCTTTATCACATAAAAACCCACTAAAAGTAACCACATCTGTATTGTATTAAATAGAAAGTTCTTATGATATAAATTGTGCAGTTGACCCTTGAACAATGTGGGGATCAGTGGTGCTGACCCTTTCCACAGTTGAAAATCCACATGTAACTTTTGCCTCCTCAAAAAACTCAACTACTAATAGCCTACTGGTGACCAGATGCCTTACTGCTAACATGAACGATTAACACATATTTTGTATAATGTATCATATACTGGTTTTTTTTTTTTTTTTAAGTGGGCTCCACACCCAACATGGGGCTTGGAACTCGCAACTCTGACACTAAGAGTTGCATGCTCTATGACCAGCCAGGTGCCCCTTATATATTTATTTTTACAATAAAGCCAGAGAAAAGAAAATGTTACTAAGAAAACCATACAGAAAATACATTTACAGTACTGTAAAAAAAAATCCACATATAAGTGGACCCATGTAGTTCAAACCCATGTTGTTCAAGAGTCAACTCTGTATGGTTGTTATAAATAAATCTATAAGGGAAACTGATATTGTCTTTTAAAACAGCAAATCTCTATCAAGATTAAAACCGTACCACACACACACATTACTGGTAAGTTTCTTCATCTTTAAGGTACCGATCCTTTACATTTTAGTGGCAAATGGAGTGCAAAATGAGAAAAAAGACAGGGAAGGTGAGAAATATTACCTGTTTCCCTAATTTTCTAACTGTAAACCAGTGTTCTTTGTAATTGCATATAAATGATCTTTCATTTCTAGAAAAAGAAAAAAAATACATACACAAGTTGAAATAGTAGAGTTCATATTCATTTACTTTATCTACTGGCAAGTATTATAAAAAACATTAGGATTATGCTTATAGTTAAGGATCACTGGTTTTTAAGAAATTACAAAACAGTATAAATCTCCCTGCAGATTAGTGGTGCCAGGCAAAAGTGCTGGCATCACACGTTATTTAAGGATCAGCTCTGTGCTGTGCTGTCGGACACTGAGGTGTGGGGGAGGCTCAGTGGGCAGATGTTCACGGACATCTCCAAAAGATGTAATAGGAAACTCTGAGGGAATGAAACAGGAAGTATCACAACAAAAACATTCAAAATATACTTTTCTTCTTTAAGAAATTATAATTTTAAAAATTAAATTTAGGAAAAGCAAAAAAAAAAAAGTCTTACATGGGATCGATCCTGAGCCTCTGATACTCCGGACTGTTGAAGAGAATTAGTTCTAAACCCCAAACTTTCAAGGCATTGCTTATAACCTGTTAAAAAAAAAAATAGCAACTTTCCATGAGCTAAACCATCAATTCCAAATTTAAGTAGTACAGTCATGTCTGGTGTCTGGTGTATAAGCAATTGTACTTTATATATAATTTTCCCCAGAAGGTTATGGTTTTTAAAAAAGTCTGTGTATATAGATACACCACTAAATCCATAAAAAAAAAAAAAGCATGAAAAGAGCGCTATTTACACTAGATTTCTGGAATGTTCCAGAGAAGCACACAATTCCTAGATAAAACTGCCTGAAAAATCCAGATGTACATTCTATTCAGTGGGTACTATTCTTTTTTTTTTTTTTTTAAGATTTTATTTATTTCTTTTGACAGAGAGAGACATAGTGAGAGAGGGAACACAAGCAGGGGGAGTGGGAGAGGGAGAGAGAGAAGCAGGCTTCCCGCGGAGCAGGGAGCCCGACGCGGGGCTCGATCCCAGGACCTTGGGATCATGACCTGAGCTGAAGGCAGACGACTTAACGACTGAGCCACCCAGGCGCCCCATTCAATGGGTACTATTCTTAAAGCTAGTCCAATATAGGGGCACCTGGGTGGCTCAGTTGTTAAGCGTCTGCTTTCGGCTCAGGTCATGATCCCAAGGTCCTGGGATCGAGCCCCGCGTCGGGCTCCCTGCTCCGCGGGAAGCCTGCTTCTCCCTCTCCCTCTGCCCCTGCTTGTGTTCCCTCTCTCGCTGTCTCTCTCTGTCAAATAAATAAATAAATAATCTTTAAAAAACAACAGGAAACTAGTCCAATATATACGTACGATAACTTGGCTGCTACAGGTCCTGCTTTAGAAAAGTTATATTCAACTCACTATCTGGGATGTCAGTAGTGACAAAAATTTTGTCTATTAAAAGGAGTTTTTCCTGGGAATTTAAATGGAAGCTTTCAGAATTTAAGCTTCTATTATCATGGGTTTGTAATCTGTAGGGGAAAAAAAATCCCACAGAAAACAAATCTGATTACTTCACACTGAGAAAACAAAAGGATTTCTGAGCACTCACTCTCTGCCCTCCCAGGGGAGGGGAAAGCAGGAAGTGAACCAGGTACCAGCACGGAGCTGGGAACAAAGCAGGAAGTGAACCAGGTACCAGCACGGAGAGGGAACGCAATGCAGTAGGCACATGTGAGTGGGCGCCGAGGGCACCACTGCATGCACAGGCACCGGCGGGTGCCCGGCCTCTTCCAGCTCTGCGGCAGCCGCAGTGGGCTGCAGTCCACCATGGAGCGCTGGGCGGAAATGCCGCTGGGTGAGGAGTCCAGCAGGACAGCACAGGGGAGTGCAACAGAGGCATGTGTAGAAACAGGCTCCTCATGAGAGGTTCTGAAGGAACTCTGGACACATCTCCCAGGGGTCAGAAACAGAATGAAAGACCCACAGATAAAAGGATCTCACAAGTACATGTACAATTACCCACAGAATTCAAGGGGAGATGTAAGTTTCAAAAAAAGAAAACAAGCCAAAGCCTTAGACCATAATAAAGGAATCCAATCCTGATAGGTGGATTTAAATGGTAGGTAGTGAGGTGTTGCATTTTCTCAAATTTACACAAGTAGTAAGTTTGAAATACTGTGACTTATTGGAATTACGGTTATCAGCATCCAGATGTAAATCAGTCTCCTTTCAAAAAGCCCTACTCTAAAAATGAAGGTTCTGGGGCGCTTGGGTGGCTCAGTCGGTTAAGTGTCTGACTCTTGATCTCAACTCAGGTCTTGATCTCAGGGTTGTGAGTTCAAGCCTCGTGTTGGGATCCAGGCTGGGCGTGGAGCCTACTTAAAAAAATAATAATAATAAAATAAAATAAAATAAAATGAAGGTTCTACTATCCTAATTTTCATGTTTATCTCTACAAAAATCTAGTACTCTAGAGTATAATCTTACCCTTTTTTTCAGTTTTTTTCCTTGTGCTCTATAGCTCATTTTTATTTTTTTAATAATCTTATCCTCCTTGACACTATCTATTGGAGGAATTTCTGAAAGTCGTACCATTACAAGACCATGAAAGGCTGTGAAAAGATATTCACACCAATCATACCCTCAGCTTGAACAGTGCCTGGGACATAATCCTTAGTACACGCTTGTGACTACTTACTTGAATAGAGAAAAAACCACTGTCATCCATATTTCCAGAAGGCTGCTGTTTAATTTAGATAGGTAGTTGAGGCGGGAGTTGAGGGTGGGGAGAAAAGGATAAAAACTGTCATTAGTGTGCATATTTAAAATAACATCTTGTGCGTTCCCATTTATACAGTCAAGAGCACAGTTATAATTAACAAGTCAGAGCCCCATAGGAAGAATGGTGCATCCTTTATCTAAACAGTACCCACATTTAAAAAAAAACATTTAGGGCGCCTGGGTGGCTCAGCTGGTTAAGCGACTGCCTTCGGCTCAGGTCATGATCCTGGAGTCCCGGGATCGAGTCCCGCATCGGGCTCCCTGCTGAGCCCTCGGACCCTCCCGCCTCTCATGTGCTCTCTCTCTCTCTCATTCTCGCTCTCTCAAATAAATAAATAAAATCTTAAAAAAAAAACCAAACAAACCATGATTTAGTGAGTTTAAAATCAGTACCTGTAAAAATGTGCGATAGTCTTCACTAGTAACTCCTCCTTCTGCCATTCTCATCCTTTCCTCTTCATCTAGCTGATGTGCAATTGAAGATAATTCCACAGGGCTAAAATATTCTCCTTGCAATAGATTATTCAAGCAATGTTGAGCACAAAGTGAGCCTTCTTGCTAATATTTCCAAAAGAAAAAATTCAAATGTGACTCGTTAAACAGATTTGTACAGTAGCTTCCTCTAAAGAGGAATTTAATCATTAACTTAATGCAGCCAAACGGAACCTTTTTGGTTTTAGATAAGCATGATTAACGTAAGTGCATGAGTTTTTATTTGTTAACACTTATTTTATAATTTTACCACTAATGGAACTACAATTATTTAGTTCTATGATCAAAAGCTTAAGAATGATTTATATTAAACAAATATCATTTTCTATCAGATAAGCCAAATTTCACACTTTACTAGAAACTACTCTATAAAAAACATTAGCACTTCTCATTTTCAGTACCTAAAATACATACATCTTTGGAGGTTCCACGGCAAATTAAAAATGCTGAAATGGAAATTTTAACCCCTAGAGCATTTGTATTCTTTTAACAAGACAATCTACTCAATCTAAATGCTTACTCAAGGAATTTGAAATCAATGAACAAAAGAATCTCAAGAACAGATACAGGTAAGAAAGATCCCATTTGACGTTAATGAAGACTTGGAGCTAAGAAAGCCAAGGTTCTCTTCCGGAAACTCAGCACAAAATGTGTATGTAGTACAGTACAATGAGAAAAACTTCCAAAAACCACCCCTGGAGCTCATTTCCAGACAAGCCAGCAAGGAGAGCTGCATCCGAGCAACCATGGGATCACTGGAATCACTGGCTTCCTATGTGGGGGGTGGAGGGAGTACAATTTCCCATGGGCCCCAGGGTTTTCAAGTGCTGGGCAGCTGGCTCTCACACAACTGGCACCCCAAATCTAAATCCAAGCTGCCTGGCACTGAGCAGTCTGTCTATCACCCTGCTCCCCACAACAATGCCCCTTTCCCACGCCTGCCTTATAAAAAGGGAGATTCACTGGCAGATGAGCTCCCTTCCTGTGAACACAGACCCCTCTGCAGGATGATGGCAGAAGATGAGAACACTTTTCTTCTGCTAACCCTGGCCCTCTAAGTTCTCCTTTCCCCCAGTTTCCATGCCTCAATCCAGCCTGTCTTACCTTGTGCAATTTGTTCTGAGCTATGTTACTCAACTGACGGTGACCCCAAAGAGCAATACCTGGCAAGACACATATTTTTCCTGATGAATTAATTTTCTAGCAACAAAATTCAGCTTCTGAAAATGATACAGGGTATATGTACACAACAAATAGGAAGGGAGCACTGAGTCTGAGTGTGAGACAGGGGACTGAGATAAGCTCATCTTCACATTTTGGTACAGAATAAGTAGCCTGAAGCTGAAGACACAATCTCTCCCTCAAGTCACAGCCACATAGTGAGAGAGAACTTGTCTCTTATCTTTTTTCCTTCTACTGTATTCCCACTGCCAGAAAGCAACTCCCTCTGAACAATACAATGTGAACTGAAGGGACACACAGACATCCTGCTAATATTCTACTGAAAAATGGGCAAGACAAACAAGTATTCACAAGAAAATAGTCAAATGGCTAAAAAACACAAAAAGATGCTCCACTTCATTAACCATCAGGGAATGATATATTAAAACCACAATATGTTATTCCTACACACTCTGCAAAATGGCTAAAGTGTTAGAGTTTAGAGACATTAAAACTACCGTATACTACTTGTAGTCATGTAAATTAGTACAACCACTCTGGAAAACTCTTTGGAGTATCTACTAAAGCTTAACATATACCAACCCTATGATCTAGCAATTCCACTACTAGGCGCATAATGCCAACAACAGAAATGTCATCATACATTCATCAAAAGACATCTATAAAAATGTTCACAGAAGCACTGTTCATAATGTTCCCAACCTAAATCACCCAGATGCCCATCACAGTAGACTAGGTAAACTGTGTTATATTCACAAGGAAATGCTATATGACAATGAGAATGAATTAACTACAACTATCTGCAACAATATGGATGCATCAACATTAAAGAAGACAAACTCAAGGGGCACCTGGGTGGCTCAGTTGGTTAAGTGTCCGACTCTTGATTTCAACTCAGGTCATGATCTCAGGGTCATGGGATCGAGCCCTACACTGGGCTCCACGCTCAGCAGAGTCTGCTTGAGATTCTCTCTCCCTCTCCCTCTGCCCCCCCCTTGCTCGCTCTCTGTAAATAAATAAAATCTTAAAAAAAAAAAAAAGAGACAGACTCAAGAGAGTACACATTATATGATTCTATTTACAAAAGCTCAAAAACAGGCAAAACTAAACTCCGATGTTAGAATTCAGGATAGTGATTACCCTTGCAGGGGTGAAGGTACGGAAGAGAGTGTCTGGAAGAGGGCCTAAGGGGAGCTTATAGAATGCAGGTAAATGTTTTGTTACCTGATCTAAGAATTATTTACACATGTGTGTTCACTTTGTGAGACCCCACTGAGCTGTACTCTGATGATCTGTGTGCCCCTAACATGTGACTGTTACACGTAAAAAAATTCAAATAACAACAAAAAGACCTCTTAGCTATTTCACATTATCAAGAGCTACCAACTATGGTGACCAGACACTGGATTTTCTGGTAACAATTCTAATGCAAATTTTCTGTCTGGCTGTCAGGCTACATGCCTCAACTTGGTACTCTCAAACTACTCACATTTAATACATAGATTGAAATTGTGAATCCAACTATTTGTTTAAAAATTCTCTCTATAAAAAACTCTGAAGAAAGTCTATAAAAAAGCTTTGAAATACAAAAAAATGAGCACTTAAAATCAAACCTTGTCTAAGTAAAACTGTACTGCTATATGAAAGATCAAGTTCTGTACTTCTAACATGACTTAATGGAAGAAAAGAACAAATTGTTCAGTCCAAATTTAAAATCATTTTTTAAAGTCACAAGATGAATCAAATTCTATATGAACCAAAAAAATTTGTACAAGGGCCCCACCTAAGATTATGCATTCCCTGCGCCCAACTTATCCCCACCCTCCTCTTTCTCACGGAGCTTTAACCAAAGTTGGATAGAAGTTTATCTGTGCCATAGTCAAATTTCAGCAGTATTGAAATTCCATGATTTCAGGCCCAGACTTATTGTGTTGGGATCAGAGGATGAACAAACTGTAGGTTCAGCTTTACCAAGATATTTTATTTTACTTTTATAAAGATTTTCTTTATTTATTTGAGAGAGAGAGAGAAAGCACAGGACAGAGGCAGAGGGAGAAGCAGACTCCCTGCCAAGCAGGGAGCCCCACGCAGGGCTCGATCCCAGGACCCTGAGATGATGACCTGAGCCGAAGGCAGACGCTTAACCAACTGGGCCACCCAGGTGCCCCTACCAAGATATTTTATAAAACCACAAATGGTAACTGTAACCACATCATTCCCTCACTGTCCCCAAAGTCTTTAGGACCAACCTGCAACTAGTTCAAATTCCCAGAAATACTACTGATTACAACAGGTTACAACAGAAACCAGGCATAAACCTAAGAGTGTGTTCTCGGAAATGGTCTAACCTAAAGGACCACACAATCAACCTAGCAGATCCTCATCTCATCTCAGTGATGATAAGGTCTCACCCCCTATTATGAGGTTCAGCAAACACATCTGAATAACAATAACCAGCATGTCTATATTGCTGGCCAGGAAGCATTCCAAGTGCTTAAAACCGAGGTAGACACTTTATTATCCTCACACCACAGAGCAGGAAACTGGAGCAGAGAGACAGAATAAGTAACTTGCCCAAGATCATATGGGTAGTAAATGGCAGAGCTGGGATTCAAAGCCAGGCAGAAGTTTCATGTCTGTGACATTACTACTTCCTCAGGGCACTCATTTGGAATTTGGTTATTCCTAAACCTCAAATATCCTAAAGACAATTAGAAACCAACAGTCACCAAAGGGCAAAGTGAATATCACAGTCAAAGCTCAGCATCTTTTTCCATTAATTTTAAACACAATCCCAACAAGTCTGATTATCATTCTCAGTTCATATTACATTAAAAATACCAATTGATGGGGCGCCTGGATGGCTCAGTCGTTAAGCGTCTGCCTTCGGCTCAGGTCATGATCCCCGGGGCCTGGGATGGAGCCCCACATCGGGCTCCCTGCTCAGCGGGAAGCCGGCTTCTCCCTCTCCCACTCCCCCTGCTTGTGTTCCCTCTCTCGCTGTGTCTCTGTCAAATAAATAAATAAAATCTTAAAAAAAAAATACCAATTGAGATAGCACAGTGACTGTACCAAGAGCAGGCAGCAACAGAAATGGTAACAAAAATGACAAAAAGCAGATACCAGAACCAAAACAAAAAACAAAACACCCAGCAGTTAGTGGCCATTTAGTATTAGGATTTAAGTTAGGGGTTGGCAAACTCTAGCCTATACGCCAAATACAACCTGCTCCAGTAGCTAAGAATGGTTTTTATGATTTTATTTTTTAAAGATGTTTTTATTTATTTTAGAGAGAGCAAGCACGCATGTAAGAGGGGAGGAGGGGTGGGAGGAGAGGCAGAAAGAACCTGAAGCAGACTCCATGCTCAGTATGAAGCCCCATGCGCAGCTGGACCCCACAACCCCTGAGATCCTGACCTGAGCTGAAACCAAGAGCCAGATGCTCAACTGACTGAGCTACCCAGGCGCCCTGGTTTTTATGATTTTAGATGGTTGGGTAACACACCCAAACACACATACAAACAAGAATACGTGAGAGACCATATATTACCTGCAAAGCCTAAAATATTTACAGAAAAATTATTTACTTTAATAAATAGCACCATACACATCTTAGAAGCTCAAGAAACTCTCAATTCAATAAAATATTTATTGAGCAATTACTATGTGCCAGGCACTATCTTAGGCACTGGGGACAGATCACCAAACAACTGTTAAGTTTACATTCTAACTTAAAAAAGGGCACTCAAAGTGATAACTCTAAGAACGGGGAAACCAACATCCCAAGAGGAAGTAGTTGCAAGGGCTGTTGTAGGTAGGTATCTCTCCATACACAGCTTCCTTAGAACCAAAGCTGGTTCTCTGGCTCTAGCAAAGGTTAAATGTGTGTGGCAGAGGGGAAGGGAGTGTGCTAGAAAATAGATTACACTAAAACATTCCCAGAATGGGCTGTATATGAGATCAACAATGGGCCCTATGGTTACAGGTGCTTTCCATTCTTGAAATATGCCCAAAAAATCTTACCAGCCTCATCTATAAAGTACATTTAAGCTGATGATAAAGGTAAATTGTGGGTGCCTGGGTGGCTCAGTTGGTTAAGCGACTGCCTTTGGCTCAGGTCATGATCCTGGAGTCCCAGGATCGAGTCCCGCATCCGGCTCCCTGCTCAGCAGGGAGTCTGCTTCTCCCTCTGATCCTCCCCCCTCACGTGCGCGCTCTCTCTCTCTCTCTCAAATAAGTAAATAAAATCTTAAAAAAAAAAGGTAAATTGTTCTTATTTATTTGACAGAGAGAGACAGAGCAAGAGAGGGAACAGAAGCAGGGGGAGTGGGAGAGGAAGAAGCAGGCTTCCCACTGAGCAGGGAGCCCGATGCGGGGCTCGAACCCAGGACCCTGGGATCATGACCTGAGCCGAAGGCAGATGCTTAACGACTGAGCCACCCAGGCGCCCCGGTAAATTGTACTTAAGTATCTTTAAGCCTAGTGACTGATGCTGAAGGTGACTTTTTTTTTTTCTTAAGAATTTATTTATTTGTCAAAGGGAGAGCGGGAGCCCCATGCGGGACTCGCTCCCAGGACCCCGGGATCATGACCCAAGCTGAAGGCAGACGCTCAACCAACCCGGCCACCCAGGCATCCCTGATAGTGACTTCTTTCAGAAAGTACACCTTTATGAGGCTAACACCCAGCTTCTTTTGATCCAGTGGTTCAGTCGTTACCTTCACTGAAATCTATCCAAATAGAGCCCCATATCCGCCAATCAGTATTTATAAAAACATATTATATGAATCTCAAGAGGTGGTGTGGAAATGTTTAAAGTCTTCCATCTGAAACATCTAGCCCTACACTAAAGCTTTTGAAAATTAGTAATAAAAATACGTATATGTAGGGGTCTCTTCATCCAGTCTCCTTAGCCAAGCAACTGAATTTCTCTTGTCCAAGATTCATTAATCATGTCAATCAAATCAAAAGGTTAGTGGTAACTATACCACTGAGTCCTTCCCCACACATAAAAACTGGTCTACTGCAGGGCCACAACGTGTTAAAATGTTTTCTATAGGGCGCCTGGGTGGCTCAGTTGGTTAAGCGACTGCCTTCGGCTCAGGTCATGATCCTGGAGTCCCGGGATCGAGTCCCGCATCGGGCTCCCCGCTCAGTGGGGAGTCTGCTTCTCCCTCTGACCCTCTTCCCTCTCGTGCTCTCTATCTCTCATTCTCTCTCTCTCAAATAAATAAATAAAATTAAAAAAAATAAAATAAAATGCTTTCTATAAAGAAAAGCATTCCATTTAACAATTTGTTTAGATTTATACTGTGCCTCTTTTGTCTTTGATGGTTTTGACTTGTGTTAATTTTTATTTTTAATTTTTATTATTTTTTTAAATGTTTTATTTATTTATTCATGAAAGTCTGAGAGAGAGAGAGAGGCAGAGGCAGAGGGAGAAGCAGGCTCCCCGCCTAGCAGGGAGCCTGATGCGGGACTCGATCCCAGGACCCTGGGATCATGACCTGAGCCGAAGGCAGACGCTTAACCATCTGAGCCACCCAGGCGCCCTGACTTGTGTTAATTTTTAAATGGATAAGTGATCGTTTACAAGTATTTAACAAAACAAAATCCCTTTGCTCCTACTAAATAATAGCCTCACCAGCAACCCTTTCCAAACATGAAACTATTGGGAAACAACATATCATGTGCCAAAGTTGTCCTGAGGAAGGTATCACTCACACCCAAACAGCTTGCTGATGTATGTGAGAAAAGACGAGGGAGTTTCTCCACATGCCACAAACAGCATCTTCAAGTGCGTGGTCATCCAAGAATAAAAGACAAACACTAGGCGGACAACAACACAATTATTCCAGTCCACCCCTAATAAACGAGCCGGCCTCCCTATCTGGAAAGATGCAACTACCAAAAGAAACGAAACCTAAACATCCCGTAACAAAAACTCTTGTGACGACTTCCCTATTTAGGGACGCGGAGGATTTCCTACCTCACTTCCTTAAGTGTCAGGCCCTACATGGGACGAGCCAGGGACCCCGCCCTCGGGAGGCTCCTGGACCTAGGGCAGGAGGACAAGAACACAACCCCAGAGATCCAAGTGCATGGGAGGTTCCAATATAGAATTGAGGAGCCCAGAGAAGGAAAAGTTAATTCTGCCGGGAGTAGGACTGGGGGAGTGGGGTGGAGTTGGGAAGGGTCGAGGGACTTGTCCAAGAGATGACTAGCTAGACACCGAGGGAGAGTGGAGAAGGGACTGGAGAACGAATCCCACGGAAAGTGGAGGGCAAGCGCAGAAGCTAGCCCATTCGGTGCCACTCTTCTCCCGTGCCCCATGGCGCCCCCGGCCCTGCTTCACTCCCTCCCAGCTCCGCGGGGCCCCCGGCCAGGGACTCCTCCGGCACCCGCCTCCGGGGCACAGGGTGCTGTGGGGGCGTTGGTGAAGCTCCCCTCCCTATGAAGCTCCTCCGCCCGGCGAGACTGGGATGGGGGCGACTCGGGCCCCCGCCAGCGCTCCCGGAAGAGGAGGTACCGCGCCCCACCGCAGCCACCGCACCGCAGACAGCTCCCCACCGAAGGCGGACACTCACTTTCTCGTGGAAGATGGACTCCATGTTTATTTGTCTGGAGCCAACGGCCCCCACGCCGAACCACCCCCCCTCCAGCCCCGCCCCTCGGCCCCACCCCTCCTCCCACCCTGCCCCGCCCCGCCTCGAGCCGCCCCTGCCCACGTGCCTCGTACAGACCAATCATCCCCGAGGATATGAATCACGTGGAACGAAGAGCGAGTGAACGCCGGGGCGGTAAATGCGAGCGCACGTGACCTTTGTAGCGCGTCCTCCCGTATCCCTTTATTTGGCCGGCTGGGGGTGTTGCAGCGCCACCTACGGTCTGGAGGAACTTCTCTGCTTCCCACCCATTGCTATGGATTTTTAGGCTATTAACGGGTCTGGATAAAGAACGCCTGGGTTCTATGTTTTTTTGTTTTCCACTTTGTACTTTCTGCTTATCATATCTGCATAGAATTATTTAATATCTTTCTCCTCTTTCCCCACTGAAAGCCTGATTAAGAAAAAGATATCACTGTATCCCCCAACACCTAGCACTTGTGTAAAAATGTAATTAATATTTATAAAGAGCTTACTGTAGGGTAGGCTTTCTTTTTGAACTACTTTGCATATATTAAAGAATTTAATACAACAACCTTTGATGTAGGTGTTGTTATGATCCCTATTTTACACATGAGGACACTGATGCACAGGGAGGTTAAGAAAAGAACCGTCTCCAAGGTCAACTAGTGAGTTGCCCTTGCTGGGGTCTAAATCCAGACACCTTGTTACTAAGAGTCTGCATTCTGACCCTGAAGAGGAAACATGACTTGGGGGAACTGAAAAGTCCAGTAAAGTGGGGGAAGGGATTTGATGAAGCTGGAGGAGTAGGAAAGAAGCAGATTTTGCACCTTGAAATTAGGTTAAGGAAGGTACGCTTTTTAAAGACAGCTGGGGAGTTATATAAAAATTTTTAAAGAAGAGACGCTCAGATTTGCATTTTATAAAGATCACTCTAGTTGCAGAAAAAAGCTGATGCTGTGGAAAGAATCTTGGGAGAGATGATGGTGTTTGGGCAAGAATAATGACCTGCAGTGGAGAGGAGACCGTTTTGAGAGATGATTAATAAATGGGGAGACTCAACAGAACTTGGTGAGAGTGGGGAGTGAGGAACACAGAAATGTTAGGGATGATGTCTGGGTTTCTGCCCTAGGCAGCCACTGTGGCAGGAATAGTATTCACTAAGATAGGGAATAGTGGAGGAAGGGGCAAGGTTTGGGGAATACCTATGATATGTAAGACAAGTAATGAGTGGAGGTTATCTATCATCTATCTATCTATCTATCTATCATCTATCTGTCTATCTATCTATCTAAATGGTCTGGAGTTCAGAGGCTTGGTTTTGCTGTAGAATGGGGAGTTATTCACAGGAGTGAGTAAAATCATCTAGGGGAAAAGGAAGAGATTGAAAAGAGGATCTAGAGTAGAACCCTGAGGGTAGAGAAGGAATAGCCAAGGAGAAGAGAGGAAAAGCAGGAGAGTGAAATCATCAAAGCCCTGTGAAGGGAATGTTTCAAGAATCAGTGTTGGTTGCTGCCAAGAAGTCCAGCAACATAAGGACTTACAAGAGTCCACTAAATTGTGTTGCTATGGAGACCATTGGGGACATTGGTGAGTGCAGGCTCAGAGGAACAGAAGGGGCAGCAGGTGGTAAGGAAATGGAGAGTACCAGTGCCGACCAGGTGCTCAAGGGTAGGATTTAGTTACCCTTTTCTGAATGCCGCTGTGTGCACAGTCCACACTCCTGCATTGGGGAAACAGTCCATGCATGTTCTTAAGGAACTGTGGCCTAATTGGGAAACAAATCACGGTCTCATGAAGTGAAAAAATATGCAAACCATTTTTTCCTGATTTATTTTTAAAGAAAGTGTGTGTGTACAGAAACACGTATCTATTTTTTGTTGTTTTTCGTATACACTACAAATCTCTGGAGGAATATACAGGAAACCCAGAGGTTATGTATGTGTTTGAGATGGGAAGGGAACTAGGCAAATAGGAGACAGGGATGGGAAGGAGACTTTTCACAGTATACAGTTTTATTCTTGATTTTTAAACTAATGTATTATTCAGAAAAAAAAGTGCTTGTATTCATTTCTTATGGCTGCTGCAGCAAATCATCACAAACTTGGTGGCTAAAAACAGAAATTTATTCTCACTGTTCTTGAGGCCAGAAGTCTGAAGCCAAGGTGTCAGCAGGGCCATGCTCGATGGTCACAGGGAGAATCCTTTCCTCACTTCTTCCAGCTTCTAGAGGCTCCTGGCATTGGTTGGCTTGTGGTTGCAGAACTCCAGCCTTGGCTTTGGTTTTCACGTGGCCTTTCTCCTTCTGTGCCTTATAAGTACCAATGACTGGATTTAGGTCCTACCCTAATCCAGGGTGATTTCATACTGAGATCTTTAATTATATTGACGAAGACCCTATCAGTGATAATTAGGGAGTATCATTTTATTGTAATTTTACTTCTCCTAAATTGAGTATGACCTGAAACAAAACGTTTTCTGAGAAGAGGTAGCTGAATACAACAGATGACGTGTGCATATATGGAACCAACAAGCAAGAAAATGAACAACCTATACCCCAAAGTTTCCTTGTGTCCCCTTGTAATTATTACCTCTAACCCCTTTCTGCCCCTTGCTCCTCCAGGCAACCACTAGTCGGCTTTGTTACTATAGTTTACAGTGTCTAACATTTTATATAAGTGGAACCATCAAGTGTGTGCTATCTGGCCTCTTTCACCCGGGATAATTAATTTGAAATTCATCAATGTCAGAGCAATAGATCATTCCTTTTTTTAATGTAGTATTCCATTGTATGAATTTAACACAATTTATCTATTTGTTGATATACATTTGGGTTAGCTCTAAGTTTTGGCTATTATAAATAAAGCTGCTATGAACATTCATGTAAGTCTTTGTGTGAACATATGCTTTCCTTTATCTTGGATGAATACCTCAGGGTGGAATGGCTGGGTCATATGGGAGGTGTTATTTTCATGTGGAACCACTAAACTGATTTCCAAAGTGGTACAACTCCTGGCAGCTACATTTTACATTCCTGCCAGCAGTGTGTGAGGTCCAGTTGCTCTGTACCCTTGCCAACACCAGGAATAGGATCAGTCTTTTGATTTTAAACATTCTAATAGGTGTGTAGTGGTATCTCATTGCGGCTTAAATTTGCATTTCCCTAATGACTACTGATGTTGGGAGTCTTTCCATGTGCTTTATTTACCATCCTCCTTTTTTTGTGAAGCGTCAATTAAAATCTTTTGCTTAGAGGTGTCTGGGTGGCTCAGTCGGTTAACCTTCAGTTCACGTCATGATCCCCAGGTCCTGGGATCAGGTCTCCCACTGGGCTCCCTGCTCAACAGGGAGCCTGCTTCTCTGTCTCCCACTGCCCCTGCTTGTGTTCTCTGTCAAATGAATAAATAAAATCTTAAAAAAAAATTCTTCTGCTCATTTAAAAAATTGGGTTCGGGGGGCACCTGGGTGGCTCAGTCATTATGCATCTGCCTTCGGCTTGGGTCATGATCCCGGGGTCCTGGGATCGGGTCCCGCATCAGGCTCCCTGCTCAGCAGGAAGCCTGCTTCTCCCTCTCCCACTCCCCCTGCTTGTGATCCCTTTCTCTCGCTGTCAAATAAATAAATAAAATCTTAAAAAAAAATTGGGTTCGGGCATCTAATTGGTTCAGTTGGAAGAACACTCGACTTGATCTCAAGGTTGTGAGTTTGAGTCCCACATTGGATGTAGAGATTACTTAAATAAATGAATAATTTTTAAAATTGGGTTGTATTACTAAGTTATAAGGGTTCTTTACATATTCTAGATAAAAGTTCTTTGTTGTATATTACATTTTGCAAGTACTTCCAGTTTATGGCTGCATTTTCATTTTCATAAGTGTATTATGAAGAGCAAAAAATTTTAAAACTAGTTCATACTTTGTGTTGCATTTAAGGGATCTTTGCCAAACTCAAGGTCACTAAAATTTTCGGTCAGTACCATCCTTCTAAAGCACACAGTTTGAAAAAAAAAAATTCTGCAAAATATCTGAGGAAAAAATTGGTTACACAATTTAATAGTACTATGGTCTAAAATGAGGAAAAGAAAATGAAACACTAATTGTAAATTTAACATCAATACACAATCAAGTACTCAATAATTTATTTTTAAGCTAAGTGTGCCTATTACTTGAAATGTGGAAGACGGCTTCGGCATAAAAAGAATCACACTTCAAACTAAACAATGAATGTGTTATTTCTCTCCTAATTTTTAAAATATGAACATTCTGTAATTCAGTCATGGGGGCCTTTACTTCCAGGTGACTTCCTCATTGGGTCTCAATTCCCTGTAGAAATTAAAAAGGAAAGAAAGGAAAAAGTACAAATTTAACTTTTATGGGGGGCAGAGAGTCAGAAGAGTATTCAATATTTTATATTCTATTTAATTTGACCCATTAAAATTTTGATACAGACTCAACATACTCATTCTAGTCTCTCATGCATCCCTTTGATTTCCTTCCTCCTGATTAAGGAACTGCAATTTCTTAGTCTGTATGAAAGCTATTTTCGTCTCAATGAGTTCATCTGAGGTTTTCTAAACCCTTTCTAATTCATTTTATCTTTCTTAAAATCCTTAACTGTAAACTTCCTCTCCATACCAACTGTGAGTGCTGCTCAAGCCTCTGGTCCCTTCAGCTTCTTCCCACCTCGCTGCACACCCAGTGACAGACACCCTGTCTTGCTAACTAACTCTCTGCTGCCAAAAGAGCCATCTCCAGAGACACAGTGGGACCAGGCAGCGGCCAGCTGCCTTCTGATCACTCACCCACCACGTCTAAAGCTCTCAAGCAGTGTTGCTGCAAATACAGCACCAAGCCACTATTAGTACCACAGATTTCAGCTGTTCTGGCTTAAGATAATATATGATAATATGTGAAACATATATTAAAGGCTTTGATGAGCTGGTTT